TACAAAGTCGATGATCTTCTGTCGTCGCAATCTCCCGCGCCTTACTAGTGTGACCCCAGAAGCGACGGCCCAGAATGTATTTCGTGCATATCTCCATCGCATCTTCCCCCATAAATCTCAAATTTGGCACACTTGATCTGTATCGTAGACAGTATATACCCGTAAAATATGAAGGCAATCGGTGGAATTTTGCTTCGAGCATCGTGGCATTACACGTCTGACCCCAGAAACGACGGAAAGGCGCCCACAGATTGTCACCAATGGTCACGGTGCCGAAGACTGCCGATTTAAACACCGCCATTATCAGTCGTTTGATAACGACGTTGGCGGAGGGAACACTAGTCGAGGCGCTCATAATCAAAGTCAGCCTTATCTCGGTCAGTGGCTGAATGTCACGCTCGAGAGACCCCCTTCCCATTCCTCAGGTACCGCAATCCGTAATCCTTCGAAAACTGAATAATCATACTCAGTGCACATGTTAGAAATAATTCCTAGAGTTACAAGAAGATCGGCCATGCCGATCTCTTTGTGGCAATTCAACAAGGTTAGTAAACCCCTGGAACCCTACTCAGATTGACTTGTATCGGGAGCGAATTTCTCCCGATTTCCTTCGTTCTTTGTGGAAGTAATAGTTCAGAAGCACATAGTCTCATGTGTAACATTTGTACATTTATTGACAGGGAAATGCGAGACCTGGAGGCGTGTCAGTCGCTTCTGGGGTCAGGCGCTTAATGCGTCGCTTCTGGGGTCGCACTAGTAGAGCCGCATCTTGGGGTCGGCGTCTTTGGCGTCTGTGCAATCTCGTCAGCTCCCGTCATGGTTGCGCACAGCCTTCTCTTGCCCATCGAGCAGCTATTATCACGCGCAGAAGTCTCACTTGATCCGGTGATGGCGGATGCATGTCCTTTGAAGAAAATGAATTGCCCGCTTAGCGGGGCCTCACCCTCGCCTGGGTGGACCCGGGTTGAATCTTCAACATGCTCGCAGTTACGAGGTCACTCCTCCCAAGCCTGCTGGCGATCGTCGCAGCTCCTGGGGTGCGGTCTATAGCATGTCCTGTACCCGCCACTCCTAGCCCATCTTCCTTCGCTGCTACCGCCTTCGATTACATTGTGATCGGTGAGTCTTGGCGGGCACCCCGGCGTCGAATTCTTGCTGACATGATACCATACAGGCGGCGGCACCGCTGGGACTGCGTTGTCTGCTAGGTAGGACATACTCATTCTACTATCGTTGTGTTAGCGTTCTCAACTTGACTCCTAGGCTTGCAGAGAACCCGTCTGCCGTCGTTGGGGTCATTGAGGCAGGGATATTACACTTGAATGACCCCATCCTCGACGTTCCCGGTCAGTACTCGATAATCTTCAGGTTTGTATCTCACTCACAGCAGCTTAGCATCCTCCGGTGTTGGCAATAAGACCTACGATTGGGACTTCGTCTCGACTCCACAGGTGAATGCCGGCGGGCGGAACCTGTCTCTCTCAAGGTACGTCACTGCGCAAGCACGCCGAGCGTAATATCCAACATCTATATTAGGGGCAAACTACTTGGAGGATCGAGTGGAATCAATGGGCTTGCGTGGGATCGGGCATCCGCAACGGAGTATGACGCGTGGGCAACCATCGCTGGTGACAAGAGCTGGAGTTGGTCCGGTCTGCTTCCGTTTCTGCAGAAGGCGGAGAATTTCTCCAAGACGCCTGCCGACCCGTTTCCGGGAATCACCCCTGCGGAAGCCGCCGAGGTTGAGGCAGACCTCCCCCACGTAGACGGCTTCTCTGGGCCTATCGTCGTAGGTCATCTGCAGTCGTTTCCAAGGGGAGCTGCACATTCAAGCTGTTCTTGCCAGGCTTCGCTCAATTCGCTTTATTTCGACACGGTTACGAACGTGACTGTGACGCTCAACAACCTTGGCATTGAGACCAACGCCGAGCCTGTACGTCTTCTACTACCGAAGTGTTATGAGAAGTCTGACGAGCTTGTCTTGAGCAGCAAGGTGGCAACACCACCGGAGTCTCGAACATTCGTCTTAGTCTGTACCGTACACAGGGTGTCCGCTCGTATGCCGCCACTGCGTACTACTGCTCGCACGCCAGTAAACCTAATTATCATGTCCTTACCGGCGCCCAGGTACCCCCAGTTATGTGCTCATTCATCTCGGTACCGGATCTGATCGTCGGTCCTATAGGCCACGAAGATCATCTTCTCGAAGACACGATATGGGCTTATCGCCACTCGAGTCCAGTTCATCTCTGACGGACAGCAGTACACTGCACACGCTTCGAAGGAGATCGTTCTGTCCGCCGGGACGATCCAAACTCCACAGCTTCTCGAGCTTTCAGGTAAGATGTCGTCATATCCTACTTGATAGACTTGAACTGACTTCGACACTAGGGATTGGGAATTCCACCATACTGAAGAGCAAGAACATTACGCCGCTCATCGATCTCCCTGGAGTTGGAGAATCATTCCAGGAGCACTTTTTCGCCGCGGCGCAGTGGCAGCTCCGGCCTGGTGTACAAACGTTCGGTATGTACGTCACAGCTCGGAGCCGAGACGCTGCCTGACAGTGGCTGTCAGATAGTCTTCGTAATAATGCGACATTTGCTGCTGAGCAACAAGCGCAATAGTAAGTATCCTGCAGACTGTATCGTGCGGCATTTCCTTATGCGGTACCTATAGCGCTGCCAACCACACCGGACTTCTCGCAGCAACCGACTCCCTGACGGCTTTCCTCACTCTGCAGGACATCGTCTCTCAAGATAGATTGCAGGAACTCCTCAGTATCTTTGACCAGGAGGCAAGTGCGCCGGGTCTTTCGGGTCTACAACAGCAGCAGTACGCGCTGCAGAGGGAGTGGTTCGCACAGGGCAACGTTCCCGCCGTCGAGCTTATCCTGTGGAGTAAAGGGCTCATCAATGTCGAGCAAGGAGAGAGCTATGCGGTCATACTTGGCGGTCTCATGGTACGTGTTTTCTTTTTCGCCCACCGGACTGCCTCTCAAAGGCTTCCACAGCATCCTGTGAGTCGTGGTAGCACAGTAAGTCAACTCTACTACAACCTGACAATACGACAACAATACTGAGTGCGCCATTAAGCACATTGCTTCCTGCGATCCGCTCGCTTCTCCCGCCATCGACCCGAAGTACCTGAGTCAAAACTTCGATACCGAGGTGCTCTTGGACGTCCTCAAGTTCCTGCAGAAGCTTGGACAGAGCGCTCCTTTCTCTGATTTGGTGACCGTTCAGACGAACCCTGATCCCACGGCGCAAACAGACGACGAACTCCTTGCGTGAGTACCGTTCTCGCATGACGACATCGCGCTCCTAGCCGCTTCGTCTGATGTCCTTCTCTCAGATACATCCGCGCGAGCTCCGCTGGTGGAGACCATCTAGTTGGCACGGCTGCCCTGGCTCCACAAGCTTCTGGAGGTATGTATTGCACTCAATGCATCTCGGGGCACTCCGCCGACTAAGCATTGACAGGTGTTGTGGACGGCTCGCTCAAGGTGTACGGCACGACGAACCTCCGTATCGTCGACGCCAGTGTCTTCCCTATCCAGATCGGGGCTCACAGTCAGGCTACTGTCTATGCCATCGCGGAAAAGGTAAAGTTTTGTCTGCTGAAGACGATGTGACCGCCGCTCACTGTGCGTGATCAGGCTGCACAGCTCATCGCGGCGGCAGAGAATGCAGACCAGTTTGTCTCGCACCCGCCCCACCCTCGTTCACCCCATTGAGAAGCAAGACCGGTGTCCATTCTAGCTAACTTATTCACGTTCGTGCCATCGCCGTTCTTTTTTGTGATCAATTTCATTTTCCGGCACGACTGCTATGTAGCGCATTTATAATTATTTTTACCCTGTACTCCCATTAGTAGTAATACCCACGTCTGATCCGTGGGTATAATCACGTTCTTTGGCTGCCACATGCACGCGCCGTGAGAGAAAGCTCGTTCCCCGAGGCTCCTGATCTGCCTTCATGATCACCGTCATCTTTCTTTCTGCGGGTTGAATCCCCCGGTCAACAAGCCTCCGCATGGCTAACCGCCCTCACTACCTTTGTGCAACGTCCATGTCTGCGTTTCTTCGCGCACCTACTGACGGGTGCCCCGTACGTAGACAGACTTGTCCCCGCGGCAAGGGCGTAAGATCCGTGATACATAAATACGCTCAAGGGAGGCAGAAGCATGTTATCAAAAGGGTACGCAGGATGGGTGCCTGATGAATTATGCGCGGATCATCCGCGCGGCTTTACAGTGGTGCCTCAGCAATCCGTCGGGGCGGTCGCAATGATTATCATCAGTTCGTGCAGGATGATTCTGACGTCCAGCCACAATTGTCGATCTCGCAGGGTCCCTTCCTCGAGGTTCTCCATCCCTACCGCCCTTCACAGCACGCAAAGTCGTAAGGCCATCTCTAGTTGATGTGATCTGTATGGCCGGTTGTGGGTGCCTACATCCTGTGTTTTGCTAGTGCACACCGCGAGATATGTTTTCGAGGCACTCTCGGATCCCTGCCCTTCTAAACCGTTCGAAAGCAACTGACACTGTGTATCCCTCCTCCAGCATGTTTCCCTCGCTCATTACAGCCTCACACCCTCGAGTCTCTCCCCCACCCTCTAGACCACCTCTGTCGCGCGTTATGTCGGGACTTATGACGATAATACGCTCCTGTAGATATCACGCGCGAACAGCAATGCTCTTTACGGTATCCGATCTGAAGACCATTCTACTCCCCGTAGTGCGTCCTCCAACCTTGTATAGAGTATCCGTACTCAATTGAGATTCTGCTCCAGTCAGCCTTCGCATGCGCGACAGCCCCTATCCACTCCTTCGACCGGCTCCTCCACGCCCTCATTTGGATTTGGATCCACCAATTAATGTGCAACGTCTCCAACCAGGCCCGGACGCGCCTGGAGGATGCCATCAACAAACCATGGCGTCCGCTCCCTTCGGGACGCATTAGCGAACCTCAAGCCCTTGTGCTTCGCTGGGTGACAGTCGGCGCCGCATTCAGCTGCTCTGCCATACATGGCGGCGATCTCATGCTCACCACTTTCTGTCTCTTTCTCACCACATTCGCATACGACGAGCTCGGTCTTGCCGGGCATCATATCGCCAAAAGTGTTTGCAACATTGGCGGCTACACCACGTTTGAAATTGGGGCGACGAAGCTAATGGGTACGTGCGGCCGTTTCTGCGAATACGCCTTCTACTAACATGTGCTGCGGTCGGCTACTTGTCCAGGAGCAACGCACGATCTAGACAACGTATCAGTCACCGCAGTGTGCATCAGCGGCGCTCTGATCTTCACCACTATCCAGGCTCAGGATTTTGCTGACGTTGAAGGCGATGCTATTTTGGGACGCAAGACGTTCCCTATCTACGCCCCAGAGCTATGCCGTATTGCGACAGTCATCGCAATGAGCGTATGGTCTCTGTTCCTAGTCTCGTTCTGGGGCATTGGAACTGTGTCAGGGGCCACATTTGTCGTCTTCGGGAGCTTCGTCGGAAGCCGGTATTACTTCCTCCGGAGACCCGACGACGACAAATTGTCCTACCTCCTATACAACGTAAGGAAGATCTCCACTATTCACCTTGATGGCACCACTGATACTGAGCGCCGAACCCAGATTTGGTTAACCATGGTGCATATCATGCCGAACCATGCGCGCACGCAGTTGTTCGCATACTAGATTGATATCTTTCGTGATGGACATCTCCTGTACCATATGCCTATTTCGTTGTGTATAATTCTTAGACATCCCGATAGAATGCTCCATCCCGACGGTCGTCGCTGACCGTTGTGCTTCACGCCCACTGGTCTGCATTCCATGCGTGCTAAGAATGGGTCGCGATCGTACCTATGTAACATAATCATTGTCAGCGAAGGAGCTCACGCCTCAGGCCCAGCAGTCATCTTAATGCAAAGATTTTGATTTGGTGAATTATTCCAGCGCCAAGCCTATGTAAACTTGTCATTACAGACGATTCTGTGTTATTCTCTTTCTGATTAAGATTTATTTATACGTATTCTGTTTCTCGTCAAGGAAGAAACGCCGCACAAATAGACGTCCCGCCCCGGGAGCATTCTCTTCCAAGCCCGAAGCAGTTGCCTAGCTACGATTTCACACCAGGGTCTTAGTGAAGAATGATAGGTACATTCTCTGAGTTCTCGTAATGCTCACATCTGAAATCCAGAGGCACTGGATGACCTGCTTTGGTCGTACTTTCTACAGAGAACACATCATGAACTTGACCTGCGCCAGCCGGGGATTCGGATGCTGAGCGCCTTGAGAGGCGTTAACTTCGGCCCCGAAAGAAGGGATCCGAAGTTACCGCCACCATCAAACATACGTTTTCACGCCGATGATCTATGTTGCTGGGACTGGGAGCAAGCGCTGAGGTACAGCCCACGATCAACTTCAGCTTGACTGAGAAAACATGGAGGCCGTCATCACGCTATCACGGTGACGCAGCGATACCTCGTGCTACGTTGGAGTCTCTACTTGAATAAGTTGCCAGCCCTTTCCCGTCGCGATTTCATCTTCGTGACTGGTCGCGTCGCAACCATGGCGGGTCTCCTGAACGACACGTTCAACTCCACGCCAGTGCTTGTCATCCTCGTTCTCGTGATTGTGTGGCGGCTCTCCGCAGCCTTTCGCCGCAAGTCTGTGCTCGAGTCCCTGCCTGTGCCAGTTAGTACTCGGCCGAGCGTCGCTTTGGACGGCGTTCACATTCACTAACGCCCTTCCATTTCCATGCATAGTCTGGGGCAGAGTTCGTCTGGGGCCATGAGAAGCAGGTGTTTATGAACGAACCAGGCCAAGCATACAGAAAATGGAAGAGCGAGCTTGGCTTGACCTATCGCATCAAGGCTGCGTTCGGGGTGCGTTTTCTCATGCTCTCGTAATGTTGGCGGTGTTGGCTCAAGGCTCAAGCAGGCACCCGACATTGTAAGAACGCCATACTGGATGGGTGCTCCCAATCATCTCACTTTGCCCACAGCTCGTGTTGAGCGATCCGGTTTCAATTGCCTATATCCTACAGAAGAAGATATACGACTATCGTAAGTGGTCCGCGGCAATTGCGCTATATATCATCTTGAATTGCAATGTAGATCACAGCAGGGTTGTGCGCCCCCGTGTAGCTCGCCTTCTAGGAAAGGGCCTTGGCTGGGTGGAGGGCGAGGCTGAGCACAAGCGGATGCGCCGGCTAGTCAGCCCGTCTCTGTCGTGCGTCCTCATTAGTTACCGCAGCCACGAGTGGCAAATGACTTTCACTCCTAGACCTGAGAATGTGAAGTCCATGTCGAGCGACGTGAGAGTTGCCGCACTGGAGGTCGTCGACCAATTCGTCAGCCATGTGCAGTCCGGAGCGGAGAAGCCTGTCAATATCCTCGACTGGACGTCGAAGGCAACGTATGTATGAGTCTGCGTCGGCAATCACGTATGCTAACGTTCAACTACCAGACTCAACGTTATAGGACGCGTTGTAAGCATCGGCTTGAGTCTTGTAGTCAACGTCTTTACTTAGCATTCTTTCAGGCGTTTCTGCATGACTTCCAAGCGGGGAATAGTCCTGAAGCCAAGCAGATCTTAGGCGGGAGACGTCGCAGTGTTTCTCGTGCCGCTAAATACGCTGGATTTTTGGTGCGATCTCATTCGCAGTTGGTTTCTCCTGTGGCGATCCCACTGAACATCGCAATGCCGATACGCACAGACCTTGATGCTGCTCCGCCGTTTCCCCATCTTGAACGATCTGCCTATCGCTGCCATTCAGTCCCAAGGCCTGGCAAAAGTCGCCATCCAGGTAAACCTATATGTCGCCTAATAGAGCATCGTCCTCGACCTCACTATCCGCAGACGGGCGTAGCACGCGAGCTGATTCGGCGCAATCAAGACATCGTCAAAAACGGAGATACTAAGGCCTCGAAAGATCTTCTGAGCAGACTTCGTTGAGTATATTTATCCTTGACGCCTCAATAAGACTTGACATTCGTTTACAGTGGTTGCACATGCTGCGGGAGACATCTCTGAGGAAGAGTTGTATGAGCAGGTACGGGCTGTTGCACATGCATCAAGTCCTCACGGTACTGATGAAGCGTATAGATATCCACATTCATGTACGATCTTCGCGTCTGCTTAAGCGGCGTTGACTGACAGTTCCTCAGCGTATCTGGTCACGAGACAACCACACAGACATTGGGTTTTACTATCTACGAACTCTCTCGGCATCCTGAGATACAAGCAAAGTTACGTGAGGAGCTGGCAGCGGTTAAGGGTGAACCAACCTATGACGACTTCCAGGCGCGTCTGCCTTACCTCGAAGCCGTCTTGCGAGAGACGTGAGTTTGCCTGTAAACCTCCCATCAATAAGACTACTCAACTAGTGTCATTAGACTGCGACTGTACCCCGGCCTTCCGTACATCGAACGCGTTGCGACTGTGCCCGACAGCATCCCTCTGGGAGAACCTGTCAAGCTCTCCAATGGCGAGGTCGTAAGCCAAATTCCCGTCCTTCCTGGCCAGGTTCGCTCCACTTCGATGCTTATAGTATTGCACGACTGACGAGTCGAAACTAGGTGGTCGTCATCCCATGCATCGCGATTCATCGTATGGACTCCGTGTGGGAGGATCCCGATGTCTTCCGACCTGAGCGCTGGCTGAAGGACCTTCCTGCAAGCGAGAAGCTCTGCTCCGGGTGGGCGAACACCCTCGCCTTCAGCGACGGCCCCCGCAATTGCGTTGGTTATCGGCTTGGTGCGTGGTATTCCTCCTACGCGCCCAATCGCACGGCTGAGTTCTCTTGTTCCCGCAACAGCCATCTTCCAGTACAAGGTCATCCTGACCTACCTCTTGGAGAGGCTCAAGTTCGGAGACGCCGGTATGGACATCACGTTGAAGATCGCTTCCAGTCTCCAAGCGTGGGTCAAGGACCGACCGGAGCTCGGAGGCTGCCTCCCAGTAAACGTTGATCTATTGTAGGTTTGATATATCCTGCGAAGGGCGATGTGTATAGAATGCTATGTATCCTCAGACTGTATAGCGATGTCTCCCCCTACACCAGCGCAAGTATTCCCATGCCTGCGTGATTATCAGGTGGAGCTGCACATCATATATCGGTAGAGCTGCTCCAAGCGTTTGCTTGTATTTGACTACACGACCAAGAGCCCTGAGTGTCGTATGTATGATCGTCTTGAGGCATCATCCGGGAAGTGGTGTGATACTGGCACAGGCCAAGCAGTGTGTCGGAAACGACCGGTATTTTGCTGGCGGTATGGCAACACCGAAGGACGGAGCTGAGACCCTGGACACTCCTGCAGATTACTCGCGCGCCCCTCATCGATCCAGGCGCTGGACGCATGCGTGACTTGCTTCCCTCCCTCCAAGACATGATCTGTCATTTGTTCATGCGGACATGCAGACGTGGCGCTGATGCGGCGAAGATGTCGCAGGCGCATCATGGAGTCTCCGTCCCGATGCATACATATGTATGTATCTGCATGCTGCGCCCAAGATCGGATTCCCAGGAATCGCGCGCATCTGTCATCCCAGCATCACGAATGCGTATCATGTGCTCTAGACAACAACGCCGCCGGAAGCATGTCTTGTTCTGACAGCAACAACTTCGCAGCTTCGGGTTCTTCTATTCTTCGATCGCGAGAAATCCTACACATCGTATTGGTACAATCCGTGCCGCCGATTTAGCCCCTGTAGTCAGAGAAGCAGAGTGACTTGATCCACTCCACCTCGAGTACTACTCACGCCTTATAGGGCTGATTTTGAAGTCTACTGATAAAGGTCGCTTCTGGAGTCCACTCAACTTACTTCGCAAGACTTTCCGTCATCCTCCCAGCTCCATCCTCCATGGCAGAGTACCGTCAACTCGGCAAGTCTGGCCTTCGGGTCTCTGTCCCCATCGTTAGTGCCCCTAGCTCAGCTGCGCAATGCATGTACTCATATGTCGCCCTTTACGCAGTACGGTGGCATGTCCATCGGAAACACGCAATGGAGTGTATGTTGTTCTCCAAGCCGTGCGCGGGACTTCGCTGATTACCTCTCATCGCGCACACGTAGCCATGGGTCCTCCCTGAAGAAGAGGTGAGCACGTCTACATCGCGCCTTAGCCCTGGCTAACACGCTCGATCGTGACACTACTAGGCTCTCACCGTTCTAAAGGCTGCGTGGGATCAGGGGATCAATACCTTCGACACTGCCAATCTCTACTCGAATGGTGATTCAGAGAGGGTTCTCAGTAAGTTCATCAACAAGGTACGTTCCCGCCGACACAGTTATGCACATTGGAAGCAGCACTGACCGCCGACCCATCTACATTGTATTCCGTGCGGGCTGAACAGTACAGCATTCCGCGCGAGAACGTCGTTATCCTCACCAAGGTGTTCTTCCTCGTTCACAAGGATGACCCTACCTCCGTCACCGTCCTTCGGCCAGATCTGAATGGTACCCGTGACTATGTCAACCAGGGTGGGCTCTCGCGCGCCGCGCTCTTCAATCAGGTCGAGGCGTCGCTCAAGCGTCTCGGCACGTCCTACATCGACATACTTCAGGTGCACACGTTCGATCCGACTACGCCCATTGAGGAGACGATGAAGGCTCTTCACGACCTCGTTGAAAGTGGAAAGGTGCGATACATCGGCGCATGCAACTTGCGTGCCTGGCAGTTTGCCGAGATGAATCGCGTTGCGGACGTGAACCACTGGACGAGGTTCTCGAGCATCCAGATCGAGTACTCGCTCTTGTACCGTCCTGAGGTGGGGTTTTCTCCGTAGATCCTGGTCTGCGAACTTCTCGTTGACGTAAGGCATGCTTTCAGGAATTGGAGATGATTGCGTACGCCAACTACCGTGGCATTGGCGTTATTGGCTACTCCCCGCTCCTTGATGGTCACCTTGCGCGCCCGCTCGATACTGTTACTCCTCGCTCGAAGAGCGTCTCTGGGACGTTCTTCGAAAAACCCCGGCGTGACTCCGACAAGAAGATCATCCAGCGCGTTGAGGAGCTCGCGAAGAAGAAGCAATGGACGATGAGTCAAGTCGCACTGTCTTGGGTGGCGTCAAAGATCACTGCACCCATTGTCGGTGCCAACTCGGTGCGTTGTCTCCTTGTAGCATCTTGCGAAAAACTGTCTCACTCTTCGCCTGCCATAGCCCGAGCGTGTTGCTGAGAGCGTCATCACTGGCAAGGTTCTCTCTGATGATGAACTCAAGTACCTCGAGGAGCCGTAAGTGCATGACCTCCGTTGCATATGTCGCTTCGCTGACGACAACCACGCAGCTATGAAATCCAGGGACCAAGGTTCTAAGTCACGCATGTGCGTGTGGAGTACTTCCGGGAACATTGTTGTCCGTTATCGCATGAAGCCCTCGGTCTGTTGATGCTGCGTGTTGTAGTAGTATTGTCCTGAACGTGTATGCCATTGTGGGCGATAGTGCATCGTGTAGCGCCTGTGCAGAGTGATAAGAATCTTTGCAACCTCGAAAAGGAGTAGCACGCGTGTACCGCCCTGTATTGTAGCGTGAGGGTCGATCAGCGGGGCGGACTGCGATGCAGATGGTGGCGTTCATCGGAGTTTTTGACTGATACCCTGGGTCCATTGACATCACGAACACAAAGTAGTAGGTTGCACCTAGATCACGAGGTAGGCTGAGGTTCTGTGGTATTAGCAGGTTCACGACAATGCCCAGTATCATCTGCAAATAGCTCAAGGCTTCGGTTTCTCTCAAGTCCTTGCTGGACATGACACGCCATGTAACGCTAGATGGCCTCGTGGGCACTTTTGAACCGCAGAGTTACGCGTTCGAACGTTTTCCCTATTATGCTGGTCTCGCGCATATTGTATCCAAGACAGCCAGTGGAAGACGGTAACGAGTTGCCAATCGCTCACCACCTGATGCGATCGGCTATCCATCTGGGCATGCCCGTCTGGATCTCAGTTGTCCCGCCGGCCCCAATGGGACCTTCGTGAGTCAATGGCTCTGACTTTTCGTCCGCTGATCCAATGTAGACATCGAACGGGTTTTGTACCCCGATGGGCTCGATATCTCAGCAATGCATCTTCCCAAAAAACAGGAGGAAGGTGGTCGGGCAATGATGTTGCCGTGTGCCTCAAAGTGATACGTATCTATGTAGAATAGTTATCCATTGATCAACTGTCTCGGAAACCTTCCCGGCACCGCACTTCCACTTGCCCTCTCCTAGAGCAGCGATGCCATGCGTATGCAAGCCCTTATAAGGATCCGATGTGCTAAGGATGTGATCCACCCCATCGCCACCCTCCCGCGGACGACAGCATGGCCGACGCAGCTAGTTTCGAGAACCCTGTGATCCTCAACCTGATGAGCTCCTATGGGCCCATCCTCATCGGGGCGATCTTCCAGTGCGTTCTGTATGGGATGGCCGTTCTCCAGTTGTGAGTCCTCCTTTCGCGCAGGTTCTTCCCGCAGTCTGATAGAGCTCCGCTCCAGGTTCTTGTATTTCAACAAGTGAGTCGATTGCGAGTACTAAGAAGACACGTACCTGATTGGGAATGTCCTAGCTACGAGAGGGATTCCATATGGATGAAGCTTTATGTGCGTAGCTTCACGATGTAGTGGCGCCTTCTAACAGCTCGTGTATGTCGTATAGGTCCTCTTCATATGGTACGTACCAACCTACCCTATCGGGATTCGGTCCTAGTGACACTATGCACAAACCAGGGCGATCGAGACAGCAAGCACCATATCGGTTCTGGCAGCTAGTGAGAGCGTTTGTCTTCATCTCTTGATTCGTCTCTGACAGATCCTCAAAGTATGGCCGGTTATGATTCTTCACTGGGGATCTCTACACCAGTTGTCGCTGACGCAGCTGTACGTCTCATCCCTACTAAGTCTCTGAGGTCTAGTTAATCATCCAACTCTAGGCCCATTCTGGTACGCACATTCGCTGCAACCCACAATTGCCTTTTGACCGTAGTTGATTGTACTTTGTACAGCATCGGGTCTGGATGACTGTGAGTTTATCGTCAACGTTCTCTAACTGGTATTCAGATAGATACTCACGACTACGTTAGGGTTTGTCGACCTTCCTTGTGCATATGTTCTTTATCTACCGTATTTACATGGGTGAGTCCGAGCGTTGCACCAACACGGTTTCATCTCACACTGTAGGGCATCAGTTAGTGGGCGGAGCTGGTACCCGCTGGTTCTGGTGTGTCTTTCAATCTCCCCCGTCGTTGTCTGCGGCTCACATGAACATGCAGATTCCGTTCACGTTGTATCAAATGGGTTCGTATTACCTCTCAGGACTTTCTCTTGGGTTTCGCTGATGCAGTGTATGCGTTCCCTAGTTGAGACTTGGGGTAAGTACTTCTTTGTCGAGCATAACTCCCTCGACTCATCCCTCTGTTCGCCAGTCTACGTAATCACGGCGTACGCGTTCAGCTCCTTCCCACCCCTCCTACATAGAAGCTAAATCTGTACTAGTCTGCGTAACCCCGACCTGGCGACACTCTCCGGAAGATTCCTGACGGTGAGTTCGCCGAAAATCTTCCTTGTATGGTGACTTGATGCACTTGCAGAATCTCGGAACCAGTGGTCGCTCAATCATTGCATTTGTCGACATCGCCATTGTAGCCATGATGATCTACTCCCTGCTTCGCGAGGGCTACCCGCGCTTCCAGAGGTCGGTCTTCTGCTTCGTTTTGCTTCGCTATACATTGACTGGCATTGGACATCTTGCAGCTCCCGAAGGATGATCTTCAGGTTGATCGTTCTTACCATCAATACTGGCCTCTGGACGGCCGTCTTTGCTATCATCGACCTTGGCCTGGTGCGTCTCTGTCAACATGGCCTTCACTCATGTTAGCTGCTCATTCACCCGTTCGACGAGCGCAGATTGTACCCTACCCGAACCAACTGTACTATTGTGCCGTCGACTTCCCCCTCACCTCTCTGTACTTGAACTCCTTGCTGGCCAACCTCAATGCCCGCGACTACATCCGCAGCGCAGCTGGTGACGTTGAGCACAATAGCTATCCCATGGGTGACTCCACCTTCCGCGCAACCACTCGCGGGATCACGAGCACGAATCAGGTTCGTGCCATTCGGTCATTACGATTGCAGGAACATGGTCCTCAATCCTTGACAGAGCCACGGTATTCATATTCAGACGAGCACCGACACTACCATCTACGGTGACACCGTCCTCGGTAGCAAGGTAGGATCCTGCAGTCTAGCAATAACTCGAGTGTTCTACGTGTATACTAAGAGTTCCGACTTGTCCAGGTTGCTAAGATGTAATGGGGGCCCCGACGCGCTTCAGTGTAGCTACCAATCATCGTGTACTTCGGAGGCGATAGGATGTCGTACGATACAGGGGTACTTCCGCTTTAAGTTATTATGATGTAACATTATTGTCCTATGAGTGCGCAAGGCTCATGTCGCTGAGGTCGTGCCTCCTTACAGCGACGTGTGCACACATTGTTAGTTCCTGGCACCTCAACAGGTACCTGAATGTATGGCTGCGTCTTCTAGCCTTGGTGATTGGAAAGATGATTGAGCATGCTGGGGCTGAAGCTCGGATAATAAGTACATCGTAAATCAAGCTGGGAGGATCGACATCAGCGTGCCAGGCGTGACTGATGCGCGTCTCGCGATTTAGCTTGGTGTGCAAATCAAAAGAGACACTTTCGGACGGATCATTTCATAGCTCTGCTAAATGTATACGCGAATGCGCGAGTGGGAAGCCCATGTAGCGACCGAACTCTGCCCACAAATGGACTGCGCACGAAGGATGATAAGAGTTCATCGGTTCCGGATTATAGAGATAGCATGTACCTTGATCGCCAACGAGATATTGGTGAAGAGGACCTTCTTTGAGAATTTGACTGTGATCGCTGATGTATGATAGCCTGGTTATGCCAGCGTATGGCGGCGAACCTGTGGCCAGGGCAGGTCCGAGGGGTCTACGCCCGACCGCAGACGAACAGAACCACCGTGAAATGGATTGCTGAGATCCGCCGCCAGGTCCTGTATTGCACGAGAGATCTCTGGACAGGATGACAGACAGATGCAGTGGCGATTATGATTATACGCACTTCCCATCCTCCCACCGCCTGCATGTCGCGGAAGACAAAAAAGGGTACGACCGCTGCAGACGCCGCCGCGTTCATTGCGCTTCCGCCAGTCGAGTTCCGTCCGGAACGAACCTTCGCTGCTGCTGGGTCTTCTGTCCGACGTTCCGGTTCTTCTAGCCTGGACAGTGGACACTAGCACCGAGTCGTTCCCCGGCGCCGACCTGCACGGATGTTCAAGCTGAGGGTGCTGCATACTTGTTGGTTCATGTGGATATAGTCAGTTCGTACAGGCCCTGCGTGAGGGAGACTACGACGTAGAAGTCTCCGTCAAGATCCAGAATGAGAAGAGCAGCGGAGGCAGGACGCGGTCCTACGGTCCCCCCGTCAGCGGCATCTCGAGTGTACGGTGGGACGGGCGGTGCCCAGCCTTCTGTGGCGGCGGACCGTGCACACGTCGGCGTGCTCGGGTGCCAGAGATTCGTGGCGCAAAGCCAATCTCGGAGGCTATCATACACAGAAGACATGAGGCCGCGAGCAGCAGCGCTGACGCAGACACCCCGCTGGCGACGATCGTCGGACGGCTGGAGACGGCGGCGGGCGCGCGCGTTCATGGACGCGAACTCGAGCTCGCGGAACTGCAGCTGCACTGCAGCTGCAGGCAGGTCGCGAGGCGCGAGGTGGGGATGCGGGAGGAACCGCGTCGGGCGCGTGCCGGGTGTTCCGGCACCCCGTAAGCGGCGGCGTTGTGGCGTCCATCACCGACGAACGTGGTTCGGCTTCTCGAACCACCCATCGCTGACTCCCGCGTCCGTCAAGCTTTCCTCTAGAAAGACCCCGCGCCGGGAAATGAGAATATAGAACAATGGAACAGATGTGGAACGTCTCAGAATTTAATATCCTGCTCCGAGGCGGAATGGAGGGACATATGCGCCCCGGCGCCAGCTAACGGCAATACGCCAGGCGGGTGCGGAGCCCAGTAGCCACTCCGTAGCAGTGCGTCTAGTAGCCGCTATCACTATAGCCATCCTCGGCCACAGCCCTGCGGCGCGCATGGGATGCGGACCCTGAGCGCGAACGAGTCCCCCCAATCGAGTTCGTCCGGGCCTCACGTAAATAATTGGCTCTGAAATGCAGCCGCGGAGGCTCCGAGGCGAAGCGCAACGGCATGCACTCCCAAGCCACACGGCTCCTGAGGCCTGGTGTCTTAGCTGCCAGTGTCGACACACGCACCCTTGGCTCGGAAGGTGCGTTGTGGGGATGGAGTTGACCCGCCATCTGACAGAGCGCAAGACTTACGGCAGAGGACCGCGGCCGAGGGCGCGCTCACGGGCAGTCTGCCCGCGGAGGTCGCCCCACCTTCTCTCTGCGAGCGCCGCCACTAAGCAGCGGGCGGCGAGCAGGTGGACAAATTGATCGAGCACAATATGGGCGTCGGCGGTGTGGCCTGGCGTCCACCCCGGCCCAGCGGTCCTCGGCATAGTGCGTCCCACTCCTCTAACGGACTGCCAAGCCATTGCCGCCCACGTCGACAGGGACTCAAGCACGTATGCGCGGACGATGTGAACCAACCTACCATCGGATAGACATACCGAGTGGAGGGGGGCCTCCCAAAACGGAAAGCGGCCGAACGAACGAATTGCCAGTAATGCGGCCGAGCAGCGCCCGCCGTCCCTCTCCCCTCCGACTCGCCAAGTATCATATGCTTACGCCTATGCCTATGCCTGCAGCAACAGCACGCGCACACAGGGTCCACTGACGACACACACCCACGGCGCGCGACCGGTGGCCAGGGGGTGCGAGATTCGAGAACGGCGGGAAGCGTTCGATCAGAGCCTGTCAGACAGGACGCGTCGACCGGCTCCAGTACGCCCCGTCTCGCTTTCGCTTGTGCATTTCATTTGACAAGGGCGCAGCGACGGCTTCCATCCCTAGCTATAGGCCAGCTGTTCGGCTGGCAGGCTTTCTGCATGCACACGGGCGGGGCAAAGAAGCAATCCGGCTAGGGGGGGGGTCGTTTGCAAGAAGTGGTGACTGACATTCAGGATATCGTGAGCTAGAACGCAGACAGACAAGCGCAGACAGAGAGACACGAAGGCGAAGGCGAAGACAAGAATGAGACGCTCCACGAGCTGTAGCATACGGTAGTAGAGATCTGCGTTACCGGCGCGGGCATGTATGAGATACGGATAGCTTAGCTGGGCGCATGAAATACTCTTCTGAGATTGACAAGATAAGCATAGACTAGGACTAGACAGGAGGAGGGGAGGAGGAGGGAGAACAGCGACGACGGCGGCGGGATTCGCACGATTGAACCAAGAAAGCGACGAGCGATACAGTCTGCAGCAGCGAACGGAGAGGGAGATGGGACATCGGACACGGACGTGAAACGGAAGCCGAAAGCGTTCGTTCGCGAGCCCACAATCCCACTCTCCCGCAGGTCCCCAGTACCGCACCCGACGACCACAGCCTCTGCGACAGAGGGCGCTCTGGGCGGGGTGCAGCAGGACGCGGGCCAGGCGACGGACGAGCGAGGGGGCCAGGAGCGACGATGGCGGTAAGCGATACACGACGAGGGCTCTACGGCGCGGGATGGGGGTGCAGCACGGCGCACGCACGCGCGGTCAAAAAATACACGATAAATACAGCGAAGAGCTCGAGGGCTGTCCGAGGGCAGATTTCATTCCGTTCGCACGCCGCGGCACACTAGTTGCTCGCCCGGTACGTCGCCTCCCGCCGCTCGTTCCGCGGCGAGTTCGGTATCGAGCCCGCGGAGACAGCGGGGGACGCCGTCGCCTGCGCGTGCGAATCGGGCGGGGGCGGGGGGCCCTGCTGCTGCTCGAGCGGCGAGCCCGAACGTTTGATGCCGTGAGGCGGCTGCGCGGGCTGCTGCAGGGGAGACTGACGGGGGGACCCACCAGACGAGCCTGCGGCGGCTTGGTTAGCCTGTGCCTCGCCAGGGCCGTTCAGCAGGGCGCCAATCTCCGTGACGCCCCCGCTCCGATATTGCTGCTGCGCGTCGGACGAGCGCGCGGCCATCAGCGGGGAAAGCGATGGGTGCGAATAGTGGTGCGGGGGCAGCATGTCTGCAGACATCGACGGCAGGCGTCGCGAGGGCTGCTGCTGCTGCTGTTGCTGGTGGGCCATCGCCGCTGCCGCGGCGGCCTGGGCGGCGTGTGATGGCGGCGGGGGCGTGTTACGGTGCTGCTTGAACTGGACGTTCACTACAGGGCCCCTTTTGTGTGGGAACTGCTCCGGCCGCGGGCGCGAGTGCGTGCGCTCGAACAGACCGCACTTGTTGCAGAGCTACACACGGCAGCGGGAGATTAGCGACACGCCGTGGACAGCGGAGAGACGCGGAGCTACATACCACTTTGCCGGGGGTGAGGCTCGACCGCCTCCAGGTGGAGGTGTCGGTCGTGCGGCAGTTGTAGCATTTTCGGCGGACGCGGTCGGAGAGCTTCGTTGACGCGTCGTCCGTGTGGATGATGTAGTTCGGCTGACCAGGGTATGGCTGGGCGGGCACGATAGTCGGACGGATAGACCGCGTCGACAGGTTCTGCGGCGGCGGAACACTGTAACCGGCTTGGGAGTCTTCATACCGGGGCATCGAGCCGTTGGGCTGATATGGGTAAGGAGGAGCCTGACTCATGGGCGGAGGTTGTGCCGGATGCGAGTAGTACGGTGTCGAGGGCTGCGTAATCTATGAGATATGACGGCGTCAGTGAGTGGGAATGAGATCACATGTGCATAGGTGATAGAAACACGAACCGGGGGCGAGGGCGAGATGGAGTTGCTGTCGAGGGACGATGCCGAGAGAGCAGGGGAGTGATGAAGGGTGGCGATGGGAGGGGGGGTCGGATGCGAGTGCGGCATGAACTGATATTGGGCTGGGCCGTCAGACCGATGGCTGTGGGAGGAACAAGTTATGGATGGGTGACGGGCGTTCTTATACGAAAATGGGGCGGTGCGAACCTTATTGACCGGTCGAGCGACATGTCTTCGACGCGATGGGGCATGCTTTGATGATGATACGGATATGGATAGAACGAGGGTGGATAGGGTCCGTGGGAGTAGTGCTGCAAACAAAGAAGACAGGCGAGAAAGGGCAAAACAGGTGATCGGAGATGGCGTGTTAAGGAGCGTAATACGATCAATGACGGACACGGACGCACCCAGCGCTGATCGACGTGACAGGGAGCTGGAGGAGACAGCGAGTTTTCGGACTTGAACCGTTTGTGCGGGGGAGATGCGGGCGGCGTGACTTGGTCGGTCACGGAAGGTGCAGACGACGCGGATTGGGACTGTTTCTGCGAGGGGGGCGGGGGCGGGGGTTGACGCGTATCTGAGACGCGACTGGCCGGACGCGAGTGGGCTTCGCGGTGGTGATAGGCGAGGTCGGGGCGGGGATGGTGCGGTGGGTGCTGGTAGTCGTGGAGAGGCGGGAGATGGTAGGCGTTGTGTAGAGATGGCGGAGAGGGCGATCTGGGCGGAAGTCTGTCTGTGGGCGGGGGGAGAGCGGGAGGGGAGTGGCTGTTGATATGATGATGTGAGTGCATATGATTTGGGCGTATATATACGAGCGACACGCACGGCCTGTCCATGGCGGGAGGAGGAATAGAGGAAGGCTGTCCTATGTGAGTGGGAGCTGTGCGGGAAGACGATGGGAAGGTGATGAGAAGGGATCAGGGAAGGCAGAAGAGGAAGACAAGGGACGCCCACCCGTTCTCGACACCAGCACACGCATAAGTACATCAATCCCAGCTCAATTTCACGCCGCTGCACCTGCCCACCACCCCCATATGGCAGTCCAATCAGCCCCATCAATGCCCGCTATTTTCGGTCTCCGCCCTATTTTCCATCACTCCGCGCGTTCTGCCGATCCTTGCAGTCCCCCCCCCGCGCCCGCCCTCCGTCCCCCAGCAATCGTGGCGGGCCCCTCCCGAGCCCCTCGCCGTCGCCGCTCCTCCGCTGCAGGACACAGAGCGCGGTGCGAGGGCCCTCCAGCGTCGGAATCAGGTCGATATGCTTCCGGTCCATCCTCGGCCGAGTGCCATCAGAGCCATCACCAGTGATCTATTTCCACGCCAGCTCAGAAGCTGTCGCCATCCTCCGGTCAGGGTCGCCGTGATAAGGTGTGACCGGGAGAAATGGGTTATCCGTACCTGACATGCATGACTGTATGTACTTACAGTATTCCGCCTGCATGGCCATTTGATCGCCCAGGCCACCTGAGCTGCCCACCAAGGAGACCCAATCTCAGATGATGGCCTTTGCCCGCAGGCCTCCCCAATCTGCCTCCGCTGCAGTGCCCATCTCTCAACGCCATCCGTGTGCTCTCGCTGTCGCCCTGAATATCACCTCTGCCCTGCCGGCCGCAGACCTCCGTTGAGTCCGCCCGATCGCGCCGTGTGCGCATCCCGCTCTCCACTGATGGGACGCGCCTGGGAAGGAAACCGCGTCCCCACCCTGCGTCCGCCTCGGAACCATCCCAGATTCAACACGTCAGCCCCAAATCTCACGTACTCCAGTCTTCTCTGCGGGCAGAAATAACAGCGTTCGCCCGGGCGACGCCATGGGCGCTGCTGCCGTTGCTGTCCACGCAGACGCCCCCCCCTCTTCCGTTCTGCCAGTTTCCAGCCTGGCCAAGTGGCTCCAGTGCACCGGCATCCTTCTGCGACGACGGAGCTCTGGGAACCCGGTTCATGCAGGCGGAAAACGATCGAACCTAATCCCACCTTGGGGCGTCCGTGTGCGCCATCGAGCACAGGACGGCCACTCAAGCTGTGATCCCAATCAAGCGATGGGGAACACCCCTTGTCCTGTGCGTGTCTCCGTGCGTGATCGATGGCTACACGGGTCCACCCGCCGGCTCGCGCGCGCGCAGGACCACCGTCCGTGTGCAGACGCAGACGCGCGGAAGCAAAAGCCACTTTCCACTCGTCCAGCACTCGTCCTCTGCGTTCCTGGACGATGCCGCGCTCGGCAGAGACGGCTCTGGGTGCAGACGATGATGTCGCGTCCTTCCCACGTCTGTCGCAGCCTGCGCGGTGGCGATGGATCATGGAACGCACTCACGCTGCACCGCCATCAGCGATACAAGGTTTGCGAGCTTGGACACACTCAGGCGCCCGCCATCCGACCTGTCCACCGTCAATTTTGACGAAACGAAGCGAGCCCTCCGGACCACCCACCTGTCAATTCTCCTCGGTCCACGACCGGCAGCCAGTGAGTCATACCGCCCTAATTTTATTGGAGACTGCAGTACTCTATTCAGCGACGCTTCGCATTTTATTTGATGTGACATCTTTCAGAACCTTCTCGGGCGCGCCTCCCTCTCAGACGTAGGCACCCGTAGTCTCCGTCTAGAGGCAGGCTGATGCGGTATTCCAAGCTACGCTGCGCTCTTACGTTTCGTCCAAGGCACCACCCACCCCCACCCGTTTTCATGACATGACGGGTTTTAGCTCGAAGCCCCACGCGGAGACCTCCGTCGTTCTCCAACGCGTCCGCATCCGCTGCAACTGCAAGGGCGTGTGTGGGCGCGCAAGGATATTCAAATCTGACGGAAAACTTTACGAATGAGAAGCCACCCCCCACGGCAGGAATGGAGAGGCGCACGCGTTCCGTTCCAGGCCTGACTGATGCATCCTGCGCCGTGCAGCCCTCCGGTCGACCCCATCAAATGCAAATGTCATATAATTCACATCGCTCCTGCCGCATTGGGGCGTCCCACGGATGGATGAAGCAGGCTCAGGCGGGCGCGCACACGGAGGCTGCGTGCTCCGAGGCAAGTCGGCGAGCACGGACGTGCTGTATGATATGATGTGTTCGACGCTGCTGTGCGGCGCGTCGTCAGGGTCCCCGAGCCATTTACGGACCATCACATCATGTTGCGGCGGTGGGAGCGCGAGCGAGGGGCCAATGCTCGCGCACCTTCGGTCCTTCGCTGTCGTGCGCGTGTCTGGGACGGGCAGGCCGGACAGATGCGGCGCGGTGCCCCATCGTCCATCGTCCGCCGGGCCTTCTTGCGTCGCAGACGTCGTCACGCCCGCGAGCATCATTCGTCTGGCGAAAACGAGATGCCCAGGACTGTGGATCTTTGCGAATGCGCGCGACACGGACTTCGAGAAGGGGAGTTCACAGGTATGCGTGTGCGGCGTCGCGTCGCAGCCCTCTCCGTCCATTCGTCCGCGGTGCGGATGGTGAGAGGGAGCAGCGCAACGGCTGCTAGGGACAGGGCGCGAACTTTGTCCGCGCCTCATCTGTTCGTCGTGCACTCGGCGGTGGTGCGCATCCCTCCGTTCGCTCTCTCCATCCATCCATCTTCCTATGCATCGAATCCGCTTCTTGACGAACGACTCGGCTGCTCAGCTGTCGCGATGGCTGCCGCGGTCGCCGACTGACCATCGACCATCGTCCAGCACCTGGTGTCGTCCCTGCACCGCGCATCCCATCAGCGAAGCCCGATGGCGAACCGTGCCCATGCTAGGCCTCGCAGCAATCCCCGCGGGCCGCTGTTGCGCGCGAAGCAGGGCCGACGATGGTTCTATTTCTGATTCGAATCCTAGCTCTTAATTACATTCCTGGGGGGCCGCCCACAACGCAAACAACGACCTGCGCGACCGCCATCGCGGGCCATCCCAGTTCGTCCATGTCGGACGGCGGAACTGGTGGGCTAATCTGCCGCTGTGGGGGCGCAGGGCCGTGAGCGCGGTGATCGTCATCTCTGCATCTCATCTTGTGCGCTGCTTCGCGATGTTCTCTTCATTTGCCCTGCCTGAATGAATGAACGGATTCCCTGTCGGTGGAGGGGGCAGGCTATCGCTGCTCGCACGCCGGCGTTGCCGAAAGAGGCCCACGCTTACGCTTTTGGAGACGCAGACTGCTATATGCGTCTGCGTGGGTGGCAGGGAGCTGGGAGTGGGAACAGCGCCTGGGTGCCGCAGGCTGATAGGTGCGTGCGTGCGTGATTGCGTTCGATCCAGCTCCGGCTCGGATCGCGCACGTCCCACGCCGGGCCCCTCCTGACATACGCGGCCTAGTCCGCTATTGGTTCGTCGCCTCCGAGTCCCGCCCCCTGCACGGCCCTCCGTCCCGGCGTGGCACAGCGAGTCTCGCAGCCGGCGCCACCTCTCGGGTGGTTTGCGCCCGCCCGACGTCGAGGCTTGGGACCGTGGCCGTCTGCGAGCTCGCCGTGCTGGGACTCGGTGGGAGGCCTGTGACGCCGCGTGCGACTGTGCTGACGTTCTTCGCTCTGGCGGTCTCTGATGCCGACTGGCATGTCCTCGCCTCCCTGGGCCCGACCGGCAGCGATGACTAGCCACGGAGCAGTCGCGGGCGGCATCCGAAGAGACTCGCAATCTGGTCAACTGTTCACGATGGCGTATTGTCAGGACGATGAGATGTGGGTCGAGATTCCGATGCACTCGCCCACGTTGGCAACACCCTCGAGCGAGATGCTAGGGACGAAAAAGGCACTTTGGCAGGCACACGCACGCATTGACCGTCACCGCCGTGACTGCCGCCGAGATAGGCTGCGTGCCAGGATCGATGCGGATGCGGTCGTGGTTCAATTATCAATGTTCGACGCTGGTCACCGCCGCTGTTCGTCAAACGCGTTGATTGTGTGACGTGCGGTGTCGCTCCACCATTCCCGCCTGGTATTTTGCACATGGGTCCGGAGCTGAGGTGGCGGAGAACTCTTGGTCGACACGGCGGCCTGAGGCGCGTTGCCGTCGACATGCGCTCTGGGCGTCGTTGGCCATCATGTAATGTGCTCATGAAATTGGTTTTCATTTGCGTTCGCGGTCAGCTGCGGACTCCCTCATCCCAGCCATCGGTCCTAGTCTCCCGAAGGAAAGAACGTTCACGGTCTCCAGGGCACCCCCAGACGAAAACCCCAAGCCTGCCTTTAGGTCAGGGTCTCCTAAATTTGACCCATGACGAGCCGCACGCTCCGACCCTTTCGTCTTCTGCCGCCTTCGTCGTCGTCGTCTATCCGTCGACGATTGTACGTTGCTTCCCCCAGCCGGCGCAGCGAGGCTGCAAGCGTCCGCCCAATCAACGTTACAGCCACCCCATTATCACTATCATCGCTCGCGATTATGGCGATCGCGGCCAATTCGAAATATCCCAGAATGGCAGGCAGAGTCGCCCGCGCGGGCCTCGTCTGGAGGACGGAGTGCTCGAAGGCGTCGTTCTCGTACCATTCGCGTGTGCTGGGCGTGCCAAGCTGAAACGGGCGGGCGTGGCCGCGTCGGGCAGCAGGAAGGCGCGTCAGCGTTCTGGCGGGGAGGTGGACTGCTTGGTTGGGAGTGTCCAGGGAGCGGGACCGGCGATTGGGCAGGGCGACTAACAGGTGTGTAGGCGAACCATCCCGCTTCGGGACGGGGCCTCGGACGGACCATTGCGAGAATTCGTCTGATAGAGGCGGGCAGCACGGCAGGCACGGCAAGTGCAGGATTCTCGCGCGCCACACCGGCAGGCGGGAGACCCCGCGGGGGACGCCGTCAGACATTCCTGTGGTTCCGTGGTACTCACACAGAGTTTGTACGGTCCAGAGAGTGGACACATGGGCCGCGGAGAAACCTGGCGCCATATGGGATTGTTCCAAGGTGTTCAAACCTTCGCGCTGCGACCGGGACTCACTTACCGCATCGCCTCGGTCTCTGTACATCGAAGACGCTATGCACGTCCTTTTGTACGTACCTGTGTCTCTCGCCGTTCTACGTGTGGCTTCGTCCCCTCGGTGATTACCATCTAGGAGAAGCCTTCACCGACCGTCTCGCTATCTCGGTACATACATCCTGCCCATTACAGATTGAACTGCCCTTGTGTTATTTAACCCCACCGGCCTCTGGTCCCTCGTTCGCCGCCCCTACCCGCTGCGTTATCGCGTGCACGGCGGAGGGTTGGAGACGGTGCAAGGTTCCCCAATTCCTGCAAATTTCCTGGTCACGGTGGCGCAATACGCGAGAAGGCGAACAGGGCGCCCGGACCCTAAGCCTGCGAGCACGAACCCCAGGCTCTCGCCGTCCGACACCGCCGCTCGCCCCTCTCCCTCCCCCGTGGCGTCGAGGCGAGATCAGAATGCCCGTGCTGGTTTGTTTCGACCGCCACGCGATGCGAAATCATCGTTCCACGACTCAGTTGCTCCTCCCTCGGTTTCATTGTTATTCTGAACGCACGTTCTTCGCGTCTCTGGTACGAGTCGATCCCTGCGACCTCATTTATCATGCGAGGAATACTAGCGACCGATGTGTCTATGCCGCAATGGGCTCGCTGCGGCCTCTGGCCGCATATGACTCCGCGGTCTGCACCCCCTATCTCGCCCGGACCCCTTGAACCTTCCGTCGGTGAGGCAACGTCGTCTCATCCCGTACGTCACGCGTCTCCTGTCGAGCTCGCAGTAGTCACTCGCTGCTCCCAGCATGCAGCCGTCGCCCAGCGTAGGCAGCTTTGACACATACGAGGGCACGAGGTACACCGCGACGTTCTAGACGATCCCAGGTGAGTATCGCCTACTGAATGAGGGGTGCAGACGGCCAGCTAAAAGGTGTTATCGGCCGCACTTTGTAACTCAGCGGCTCGCTCCCGGTCTGTTTCGAGGACTCGCCCTAAAAGGCACGTTCGTTATCTGACCACTGTTGCCCTCCGACGATGTCTGAAAGAGGTCAGCTCCAGACCGTCGCGACGGCGTCACGGCAGATCGTGTTGCGAGCTTGAGCGGCAGACGGGCCCTATGACCAGCTAGGACGCCTGCCGCATCTACGATGAAGTACGCCGCCCATGCAGTGTACATGTTTCTCCGTTGCCGGCCTCGCCTTCGCACTGCTGCTTCAGGACTACCGTCCTACCATCCACGGGAAACCGCGAGTCATGTCAAGTGCGCTGAGATATCCTCAGGCCTTCTTCACCCTCAAGCAGCGCAGGAATTTTCATCTGTCATCGCTGCGACCTCCCGCCGACCCCACGAAGCGACCGGGGCACAGATGAAAGGCCGGGTGCGTATAGCATCCGCGTCAATTGCCACACCGGTGAGCACAAGCGTCCCGCTCGAATGTCTATCACCCCAAAACACACAGCCTACACTGAGGGCGCCATGATATGTTTGCCGTGCTAGCAGCTTCCATTCGACCCATCACGAGGACGCATCAAGCAGCGCGCCCGCCGTCTTCTGGAACGTCTTCGCCGGCGCTAGGCCACCTTCGGCGACTCCCGCAGCCGGCGTTGGGCACGGCGGCGACGGATTAACGAATATAAGAACGAACGAGGAAACGCGATACGAACACGCCACGAATGAGTTACATAGCCAAGTGAGTGCTCACCTCCAATTCCTCCTGCACCTTGCTGCCACCTTCCCGCCCCGGGGATGCTCTCGGTCCGCGCAGCGCTTCGCGCTAACCACGCGTTTCTCATGCTGACGCATCAGCAAAGCCACGGTGACCCCCCTCTTTTCCCTGTTGCCGCACGTCCGTCGGAGAGAAGCACTTCGTAGGCGCCACGGTGAGACTCAGGGTGAGTTTGCCAATATGGGGGCCACGCGCCGCACTAGTCGGGCGTCCTCCCCGCTCTTCTGTCTTCTATCCTGGCACGTTGCACGGCATCCGTGAGTGGGAGAGGGCCCTATCAGTGTTTGGATTAGTGATGCGGAGCCGGAGATAAAAAATGCAACAGGGATTTGGTGATGGACGAGGGCACGCGTGCGGGTGACGTATTTTGCCAACGCGGCCGTTAGTGTTGGGCAAAGCTTCTTGTGTGTCTCAGGGCTGCGCTGATGCATATGGGCCTGATGCATATGGGGAGAAATGAAAGCGAAGCTCTGTCAATGTCACGGTACCTGGATACGAAAGGTTGAGTATGAACCTTAGTATCGTGCCTAGCTCTCCATTACGGCCGCGCACTACGGATTGGTAGGTGTTTCCCCCGTGCGCTCGGAGGGTCCCACGCTGCCGAAATACTTGCGCACGACCGAGACCTGGTGAGGCGTCGTTGAGTCTAGGAACGACATGGCTCTTGTGTTCGCTGTGACCGCTGTGTATTGCTTCAGTGTGCAATCCCCAGAGTGACAAGGACCTGAGTACATGTCTTGGCATGCATGGAACTGCTGAGCTGACTCCGCTTCTACCCAAGTTTGCTTCCGAATGGCGGATGCAGATATGATACTGATGCAAGGTTCAAGAGGCACCCGTCAGAACGGTCAAATAAGGCTTCACGACCCTAAGGGCGGTCCTGACATTGAATGGGGCCGGCGCTGCTATGGACTAGCGGTGCGCTATCAAAGATCAGGTATTCCGCCGAAGAAGTCGGATAGGTAGCGGACAGGTGGCGCCCAGATATGACTCTGGCTGGTGCTGATCGCAAAGACGGAGTGAATGACCGCTGTCCTTGGAACAGTGGTACGGTGTCGAAATGACGGTAGCAAAAGCTTGGACGTGCGTCACGGTTCTTGCTTCTTCATATTTGGGGGCACTGCCGTGATTTCGAAACGCCATCAAGCCAGACGTCAGCTGTGGTTGCAGGTGGCACCCCAGTCCTGATTTGCCGTCATCCGAGAGTCTGCGAGTATTCTGCGATTAGTCACACTATGCATTGACGTACGGAAGACAGGGTGCGGACCTTGAGAAAGCATCACTGCTGCTCTAGGAAACGGGTCCATTGCGCTCCGATCCGCCACGGATGAGCGTGAGTGCCTGAAATCGCGCCTGAGAACAACGAGCGCGGCATTTGCACTAGCGGACGCCTCCCCGTAGCCGATTCCCGCTGCAGCAGCCATGACGCATCACCGCATCGATCCCGGCGCCAGCATACATGTCGTTGGCGCGTGTCATAATCTAGCAAGCCACCCATGTATTGGCGTGGACCGTGGCTGCGGAGGATTGAGCATCATCTGCTTATAAATCGCTCAGAGCATCCACGTACACCCTACCCAGTCCTCGCGTGCAGTTCACGATGTAGCCGAGATATCGGCACAGGCGTGTTACTTCATCGTTGCCACGGGTCAATACTCGGATTGCTGATATGTCGCGTGTTGTCTTGTGACCATTTGGCGTATTCCGGATATGTCAAACAGAGGCGGGGTGATTGTGGATATTTGTGAGCTGATGGTGGAGTGCGAGTGTCGAGTTGTGGGCGGCGCGGAACAATCTGGCGGCGATCTCGATCAGGCATCACCCGAAATCTCCCCCGCCACGCGCCCGGCCTCCCGCAGCGTGCTCGCTTGTCCCCCACGCCCTCGACCACGTCCTGGACACAACTCCTCGTTGATCGCATAGTGCTGTCTTGTGCGCCCCGAACAGCCCACACGATGCACAAGACCGCGTGGACACAGAAGGGGTCTTCCCTGCCGTCAGAAAGGATCCCGTCCAAGAAGCAAGCTCCCCAACCGACGAAAGCGAAGGGCAAGCAGAAGGACGCTGGTCCGCCGAAAAGCAAGGAGGTCGTGAAGCTGGAGAAGCTACGAGACGATCTCCGCAATGCGACTGGGAAGGAAAGAGACCCAAAGCGTGGATGCTTCTGCCAAGGTCCGTCCGCATGTCGTACGCTGCACCGTCGTTAACTGCGTTCCTCACTCTACTTGCTCGCTATCGCATATCCCTCCATCAATCGGTTTCCGATCCGTCCGATTTATACCTGGAATCTACTCCATGGCGTTCGCGATCTCAGCCAGGTTGCATCCGCTCTCTTCGTACACACCCATCTGCCGCACGTGCGGTCTGATTCTATGCGAACTCAACTTACCCAACTTTGCATGCCCACACTGTGGCGAATCGACCCTTTTACCGGCGGCACGCAACGCACTTATTGCCACGTTGGATGCACAAATCAGTGAGGCCATCGCGAAAGAGGAAGAGGGCCGCGCCCGCGCCATCCAAGAAGCACGCGCAGCCGAGGGCGCGTTCCCTACCCTCTCCGCCGCTTCCCGGGCGAGCACGCCCGGCTCCGGGTCTGACTCGCAAGCTTCCCACCCGGTCAACCAGACCCACAAGGTGTTGTCACTCAACTCGAAGACGAGGAAGATCAAGGTCGAGTCATACACGCCGCCCGCCATCTCTCGCGCCGCGTCGGCGGAGAGAGTCAAACAGGCAGAGCCTGAGCACAAGCGCGTCCCTGCACCACCGGCGGAGGTCGTTATATCGCGAACACAACCGGATCCTCAGCGGCCATGGACGAACACGCGGGGGCTGAACGTGACGTACGTTCCGCCTTCGAGGATATGACGTGTGTAATATGTTTAGGTGAATAATACCGCGGCTATCATCTTACGGTCCATACCGCACGGTTGTCGTTGCAGCAATATTGTCTTTATTCCGTCATACGCTGGTTGTACGACAGACATTGCGTTTGACTGAGTGATGTCACCTCACAGCCTTCAGGGTATCTACAGGGTGGCTGCCGTACGTCTGCAGGAAGTGATTGAACGCTGTCTTTCGCAGGCCAGATCGGTCGCTGGGGCTAGTAGAATCATCTCGTCTTACTCACTTCACATATGACAAGAGATTGACGGATAAGGACATGGATCACAAAGCATTGCCCTGCTATGCTAGCGTAACATAATGGTCGTGTCTATGGCGCACTAGCAGCCCGGACGGTTCCTGTTCGGACCTTCCAGCGGGCTAGTATGCGGCGTGAAGGCACCGCGTCTCTAGCAGTCGCTATCTTAACGATTCTGACATGATTCTTTTGCTAGTTGGGGACCGCAACGCATTGCCTTGCTCTGTGACATTGCTACACCCCCTCCGTCGCCGGCACATCGGATCCATCCGGCGAACCTTCCCTCGCTGAAAACCGCCTTCGTTCCCCGCTCTAGTACAGCGTTTCTCACAACGCTCGACACGCCGGCAGCTAGATCACTCCCGCAACTCTTCGATCATGTACCTGTACGTCTATCTACCTGTATCAGTCTTGAGACGTTCTTCGTCGGGCTGAGCGGGAACACTCCCGTCTGTGTCTGCTCCTCTGACCTCGCTTCTCCATCAGCAAAACACCCCCTTGGTGCCGCAACATCGACCGGCTGTTGTCCCACTGACACGTAACGTAGCCCAAGAACTCCCCAGAATTCCACCAGTCTGCTGCGGGCGCTCTCGCCGAAACCTACGGCCGGCCGAGCACTCGGGAAAACAAGCCGGCATTAACTTAGCCCCTGGCTTCGGGATGCACAGGCGGAGAAGATACGAGTGCCCACCAGGACTGTTGGCATCTGAGCATCGTTGTTACGTCTCCCGCGAGTGCACAGGTGTTGTGATACTCTGCTCAGGTTGGTATTGATTCTTGACAGATCAGGAGCGGGGTGAGGATAGCATCCGTGACGTTGATACAAGTGGACTTCTGACGAATAAGATGAGAGGGGTGAAGATGGGGATAGCGCGACTGATGATACGGGAAGTGCATGACACGACAGAAAGGTAAATCCAAGATAGACAAATGGACAGACGAACAGACATTTACGATGGGCTATCGGTAACAACAACAAATCAAGGAGCACATACCGTCCGTGTCCTAGTCAGTATACATAGCCATAACCTTGGCTGAGACACACAACACACTCTACGGAAACCCGTAGAGCCTTACAACACCGACAACGGAAACGTTCTCCCAAGCCATCAAGCATAATCCGCCGACCTACGCGGCAGAAGCGTCCAAGTCCGACGACCCCACCAAACCCAGTTTCATCGCGCCTTCCCCTTCAGGTGATGGGCTACCCTCGCCTCCGGAAGCTAAACCTTGGCGGAGGTGCAGAACAGGGGCGTACCATCACCCCAAGCCTCCCCAGCCAACAACAGCGACGTATGACTGCATCAGCGGACACAGCTCAAGAAGCCGGAGCGGGTGCATCCTACTACCCACCGAGAACCTTGCTGCATTCGCCCGTCCTTCCTCCGTCACCCCATCGCTCTGATCGCTCTACAAGCTGTGCGTGCAGCATGTGAAGCAGCTTCTAGTATTTGTGTCGGCTAGAGAGCGTATTCGCCTGCGCCTGCGCTATCGCATTCCCGTCTTCTTGCATTCCATGCTCCGCGCGAACGTGACCATCAAGCTCGGGCGAAGAGCAAAAGGCGAAGCGTTCCCCTGCGCGTGTGACCATGTCAATATCAGTTCCATCAACTGTCATCCGCTTGCATCCGCGCCACCCGGCGAACCGGCGACACCGAACAACAACACGCACCGTGTTTGGACAGGCACCGCCTGCGGAGTGCCCCGAGGAACGTACGGCAGACGCCAGCACCGATGAACAAAGTTGAATGAAAAGTAAGATGGCTTGGATTCGACCTCGGGATCTGATGACTCCATTAACGGGGCCGTTAATAGACAGCTGATGCAGGGTCGCGCCGGAAGGGTCACGATGGGCGGACAAGAACATAGACGCGGGCATGTTCTCTCCAGCGCCCCAGCAGGAGTTCAACGGAATTGGGAGGTTCACAATCAGCATGCGCCACCACCGACATCACCGCGCACGCCGCTCGCGTCTCCCTCGCCCTCCACAGTTTCTCTATGGGCTTCCTACAGAGCATTTTCGGGGTCGCGATGGGCATGGACGCCACCCGAGCTGCCCGCGTCGCCGTCTGTGACCTCGCCACGGAGCCGGGAAGTCGTGACGCAAAGCTGCGCGAGCGCAGCGTTCGTATCTTCAAGCTCGCGTGTCTTCACATCAAGACTGCGCTGCACTTCGTTGAACTCGCGCTCGATCTCGTCGACGCGCGCCTGCGTCGCGCTCTCCACGCGTGCGAGCAGATCTGACGAGATGCTTGGAGGCCGAGTCAGCAGCTGAGGCGAAGCATGCGCGCTCTTAGACAGGGTTGGTGACGGAGCCTGACGGTGGGGGGGAGACGACACGAGCGGGGGCCGGAACGCTAAGGGAGGCGAATCCGCCCAGTCGCCATCAGGAGAAATAGGAAGAGGAATGTCGGAAGGCTCGACATACGAGTGCGTGGTCGTGCTGGATGGGAGCGACGGCGGGTTCGGCGGAGGTATGAGCAGGTCGTCATCAGCTAGCGAGAGAATCGTCGGGTGCAAGGGTGTCGCCAGCTCCATGGATTGCTCCTCCATCTCACTTCCGGCTCCGTTGTCGGCCACCTCGGTGTTTTGGGTATGCTTCTCGCTCGTGAATTCGTCTCCATCGTCGATGACGTTGACTGCGGGTACATTATGGCTCGGGTAGAGGTGCTGAAGGGGCGATAGGACCGATGACGCCGGGGTAATAGGTGGGGACGGGCGGGCTGATGGTGATTGCAGCGCGAGAGGCACTTTCGAATCGCCGGGCGCACAGCGCGTCTCGTCATCGTCCGTGGAGTCGCGTTGTTGTGCGCGTAGGGTGAGGAGAGCTTGCTGTAGAGCGTCGATCTCCGCTTGCATTTCCTGCTCTCTGCGGACGCGTTCGAGGATGAACTTATCGAGTTGCTCGCGAAGCATACAATGTGCACTGTGAAGCTTGACCTAAGACTATCAAAACGAAGGCAAGGAAGGGAGGCGACGCACCTAGCACACGAGGCTTCGTGATGCAAAGATGGGGCAGGGGTTAGCTCCGGAACACCGTCACCGTCGGTTGGAGGTGGCGCTCCCGAACTCTGAACGACATGCTCCTGTGTTGGCTGGTCAACATTTCTGAACGAGAAGATGTACCCATTGCATGACACACCTGGATATGGGCGTCGGTGAGCGTTTTCTTGAGGGCATCCCGCTCTGCACTGAACGCATCGATTTCAGCTGAAAGAGCTTCAATTTGCTGCTTCAGGTCGTCCGAACCGAAGCGCGCACTCCTGACAGGGGTTGGTTCTTGTTCAATAACATCGTATGTCATGTAAGGATCCAGAGGACTCTGCGATCCATGCGCACGCGAGGGAGTCCGCGCATTCGCTGGTGTCAAAACGTATGGGGAAGGTGAAGCGATCGCAGTTCGCGGGCGTAATTGAGGACTCGAAGGGATACACACTGGGGCACGGTGAGTCTGTTCTAGTGCATCTGCCGACTTGCTGGATCTTGCTGCAGTAAATGCTTCTACCTCAAGGTCCGAGTGGCGCGTCGTTGTCCGCAAGATTGAGGGAGGAGGGGTATGAGCATCGGCATTCACTGTCGTAGCTCTCATCCGACTTGTTTGGGCGTGCCGTAGCTATATGTCTCAATTAATCTCATTTCTCGCAATCTCGCGCGCATAGGCTTACCTGTCCTTGCAGAAAATCGACTTCCCGCTCTAAGATTCGTTGGCGAGTAACAGTAAGGGACACTACTGGATCTCGCTCGTCCTGAGAGACTGCGCTATATGATCTGTACGATGATCCTGGAACGGCTTCACATGTGCATGGGGCACGCCCACCTGCCCGGGCGATTTGCTGCGGGTGGTGCATGTCCGTGGACAGTGAAGACGACAATAGCACTCGATGGCCCGAGTGGGTAACGCATGCCTCAAGCTCTGCATCGCGTCGTGCGACCATGGCTCTGAGTCTGAGAATCTCTGCATCGGCCTCCTCCTTGGTACGCGTATGGGAATGCCTCTCTTCCTCGAGTTTCTTATGCAAAGTTGCGAGGAGCGCGGTGCGCACCATCTCTCCGTCACGGTCGACTTGTGTGCTGTCGTTTTGTAAAGCAATATAAGTATCTATGAACCACGGTGGTGAGGGGAGCGGGCAAGGATTAAGTCGTAGAATGCGGCAGATGGTGAAGATGGTGACCAACCGAGAGGACGGGTAAGGCTCATGCGGGCACACGGCCAAGCAGAGTAATTATTGCATGCTTCAACTACACACAGACAGGAGACGTATGTATGAGTGCTAGGTATGTTCCCTTCGCGCATCACTTTCCCACAACGAAATCAAGATACGCACCTTTCTCGACCAAGATCGAAACCACCTCGCGCATCTCATCCTTCTCGGCATCCGCTCTCTTCACTTCGTCCAAGTAACGATCGAGCTTCTCGCTTAGTTTCTCCTTTGCGCGTCGTTCCGCCTTGAGCTCGAGCTGATGGGCGTTGCGCGACGCGTCGAGCTCGTCGAGCGTCGCCATAAGACGCGCCTGCATTTGCGAGAGCTTGAGATTGCATAGCTGCAGCTCTTTCCGGAGACGGGCTACCTGAATGTGAAGCAATCGGCTTAGCAACCACTCGCCTAGGAACGGAGATGTACACAAACCTCGTTATCGGGCTGTACGACAGAGCTCGCCTGCAGAGTTTTACCGTTCTTCGCACCAGGTCCTGGCATGCGATGTCTGCGCGTGAATAGGGTCAATTTAGCGATAAGTTACGCGTAATCGTAAACAAAAACAGATTCAAGAGATACAAGCGTCAGCAAAGCATACGGAAAGCAAGCAACAGGCGGAGAGCAGGCAGAGGTAGTGGAGGACAACGTTCAAGCGGTGGGCCACAATACCTTCCCTATTGTTGGTATCATTAAGCGCCCATGCGTCCTCAATAAGCGCCCTTGATTCAGCCGCGGCGCGAACTTCACGATCATCCACGCCGTGTTCTTCGTAACTCATAAAGCTCTCTAGCTCCGCCAATACTGTAGTCTGGAGAGATAGGCAGTTCCTGATATTCATATATCCTCAACATACTTTTGGAGCTTATGTCGTTGGACGATACTGAGCGCAAGTCGAGAGTCAAACCAGCCAACTTACGCGACCCAGGATTCTCGACGTCATATCGGGCGATGTCGTGTAGCTCAATAATCGATATACATGACTTTCGCAGCCAAGTTGTCTTCATATAAGATAATCGCACGAACAGATCTGTCAAGACGTTCGAAAGAATCCAGAAGACGAGCAGAGAAAAAACGACGGCCGTTCACGCATATCTTTTTCCATACTGATGTGTACTATCCTCCGTCATTCGAACCAACCCCACAAGTCATATCGCACCAGGAACGCTAAGCCCACACTGATTCACCCTCCGCACAGAGCCTCCCTCTGCGTTGTATCCTGGACCGCGTGTCAGGACTCTCGGATCAAATCAACCGGGCATGAAAACGAGCAGCTCAGAGCCATCCGAGTCGATCAAGTTCATGGTCACAAAATACCGGGGTGTGCTACGCCTTTCTAGCAGTCTGCTAGGAAAAGACCCTCGTTCTCCGTCTGGTGCGGAAGTACTCCCCTCGGCTTGTCGTCGACGGGGGGGATTTCAGGAGTATTAGGTCGCTTCCTCCGACGAGTCATCAGCGTCTTCAGGCGATTGGACATCCCATGGAGTACCTCTCCAAGACACCGGCTGCATGTGTCTATGGGGGCGCATACTAGACGCTCCCGGGACCTGCGAATCAAACAGCTTCCAGCCCAAGATTGCTCCCGGTCTCCGGAACTGCCGACGGGGCGTCTTGGCAAAGGCAAACGACCAATGCTCGGATTGCTATGTGCCAGGCACCGCGGAGGTGCGTGCATGTCCTACCGCCCCTTCATAGTGATCATATTGCTCCCGGGATGATGTAGTCCATTGACCCAGAGCGGTTGGGGGACCTTCGGTGGTACATCTTTGTTGTGAAGTGGGTTGGACACCTGTACCTGTGCCACATGAGCCTCTTCAGGTTGTTCGGGCGTACTCATCGCTCGAGTCCTTGGCCATGCACTAGCAGCTTTCTGGGGTTGTAAGTGGATGTGTCAACGAAAGTTCCAAAAAGCAAACGGCTGCCTTGAGCCGCCGTGACCCGCCTTGCGCCGATTCGAGGCTGATGATCCCACGCTCGCGGTGCAAGGTTCGTATCTGGGTATCACTGCCACCGCTGTTTGGTGGCCATGGATGGCTCCGCCTGACAAGCCTGCCTACGGCCGATGGTCTGTGTATTCTATTGCGTCTATCGTGGTCTAGTTCGTCCTGACGTCACTAGCTGTTCACTCCAGCCCCTGTGTGAGCTAGCGCATCCGGACAAGGCGCACCATCTCGCACACGACCCGGCGCTCTTGTGCACTCCACAATTTTGAGCACCCCCAAATATCTTCGTACTCGCTCGCACCACCCTTCTCTTGCCTGCCGACGTCGGTCGAACTCTGCGCGTGACATCCCAGGCCATGAAGCCCACCCGCTCTACGGACCGTCGTTGGGCAAGATGAGGCCTCCTCTAGCAAACCCTGCGACATTATGCAACACCAGTACGATGCATTGGGTAGACGAGGAGACATGGCTACTCGCTTGCAGCAAAAGAAGGTCGGGCGACATTTGGTCGGTGGCAATTCACTGTGGCAGTCCAAGTGGTGCGCCCTCCAGACGCGTCAATGGCTGGTCCTTACCCGGACCTCAAGCTATAGTTCGGAACAGACAGCGGCAGCGCGGGGCGCCGCGCTCAGCGGATCCCTCGAGCGTTAGGAGCGACGCATTCGCGGAGCGCTCTGTGAAGGTGCCGTAGTTCCTTTGTCTCCTTCATTTTCTTCGTCTCCTGCTGCACTCAGGCCTCAGTGCTCGTAATCGTGTCAGCGCGCTCGCCGGGGCATCTCTGCCCAGAATCTCCCCGCACGACGCGCATGTGGTGCAGGATGCAAGCGCAGGGGACTTGAGCCTGTATTTAAGAGAGGGCGGTCGAAGGCTACATCTAACATTTTAAGCAACCAACTCCTGCACCTACCTCCCCAGCCAGTCATCCATACCTTCGCCACCACAACCATGCAGTTTACCATCGCTACCATCGTGCTCGCCGCCATGCTCCCGGCCGCGCTGGCAGCCAATTGCCAGAACAGCGGCGGCGTCGCTAATGGCGAATGTGTCAAATTCTACTCGAACGACCAGTGCAAGGGTGGTGCAATCGGGAGCTACAAGCCGACGTGCGAAGGCAACTGCTTCCAAGGCAGCTTCAGCAGCGTGGAGGTCTCAGGCGATGGCACCTACGGTACGGACTGCACCATCTACTCCGACTCGAATTGCAACAATGAGCAAACTGTGAGTGTAGTTTCCTGTTACTCAATACAGTTCTTGGGTACTGATCATAATCGACGACCAGGAAACCGGAAACTCCGTTGCTGGAGCTGGCAAGTGCGGTTCCTCGCCCAATGCCGGGAGCATGAAGTGCTACTACCGCTGCTGAACGTCAACAGCTCCGTCGTAGAGGTGCGTTCCTGCATGACAAAACATCCGCGTACTTTGTGGTACTCATCTGGCCTTGTTTCCGTTAGCAGTCTCTTCGTGATCGACGCGTCTTGTCGGCGACGCAAGTCGCGATGTGTCCGAGTCGCCCCACGTGACCGCGTTAGAGGCGTCTGACACGAGCCTATTAACGATCTCCTGCAAATCCGGCTCTGACCCTGATGTACAACTAGTATCGGTTTTCGCCTATGTAACAATAATCTTAGCCCGTAAAGTAGTGTGCAATAAAGGCGCACTCTAAGCTCATTTTCGCTCTCATCTGAACCCCACTCCGAGTCCTACCGAGACGTTTAAGGAATAGGGCGGGACGTGGATCGACAGCAGTACATGTAAGGCCCTGGACAGGTCCCCACTGCCGGTGTTGGAGTTGACGCTCGTCTTGGGGTCGCTCGTTGCGTGAGTGGCGGAGAATCTCCCATCGACCGCCGCTCCGACCAGTTCTGCGGCTGCGGTATGGCCATGCATCGAGGCTGTTGGACGCGAGCAGCGCGTATGACCTGCGTCATCGTAATTAGTGCCGGTGCGCGTGCGTTACGGTACACATGCCCGGTAACATCACGCGGATGTAATGCTCTGCCAGCTGAGCTGCGGATTCTACTGCCTGACGAGGTCGCTTTGGGTCATCAACCTGGAGCTTCAGAGGGACTCGGAGTCCATCAATCACTAACACATGTCTCTCCTAAAGCCACGCTCATTCAAGTGCCAATCTCATCGCAGTGTACCTTCGTCACATAAATGACCATTATGTGTCCTCGTGCATCAGAACACTAACGGTACGTTCACCTTCACCCAGGACGGGCGGGATGAAATTTCCTTCCACCATCTGATATCCCGTGTTCAGCAGTCACATTATGCGCGCCTTCCAGACCAACTCACCTAGCAACGCTAGGCCACCTGGGAGATTCTAGGAAGTCGAGACCCGCGTCCCTGAGATAACTCCCGTACGAGAGATGGAAGAGGTCGACCAACGATACCTCCTGGGACGGAGGACGGCAGATGTGAGCATACATTGCGATGTAAGCCCTGGCTTTACTCACATCCCCGGCTAGGAACTTCGTCTTGGAGAGCAGAGCCTCATACCCGTCCATCTTGCCTTCAAGCAGAGCCGTCTGCGCCTTGACGGCCGCGGTGTCAGAAGGCAGCCCGAGGCCGCTGGGGGGTCAGTATCAGTCCCGCATATATATCCATCCACAGACGACATACGGATGGAAGACGGCCTCCCATACGATTTTCGTCGCCAGCGGATCAAAGTCGAAAGCCTCCACGCTAGCAGCCTGTTCGAACTTCGCAGTGGCCTCGACGTCGCTCTGCGCGGGGATGAGTTTCCCGATGCCCCCGTACTTGAGCGCGAGGTAGCGGGAGATCGCCCGGGACTCGAAAATCTCGAAGCCGTCGTCCTCGATGTAAGGGATCTGGCCGAAGGGTTGGTGCGCTAGGTGCTCGGGGCTCTTGTGCGCTCGGTTCTCGACGTCGACGAGGACCAGCTCGTGTGGGATCTTCAGCTCCTCGACGACGGTCAAAACGCGCTTGGTGCAGGAGGCGTAAGGGGTGCCGTGGATCTTGAGAACCATGGTTAGCAAGTCGGATGGGGGGGGGGGGTGAGCGTTCCGCAGGACACTGTTAAGTTGCCGTTAGCCTCCGCGTCCTCCTACAATATATATTCCCAAAAGGCGGGCCTTACCAGTCTCGCACTTGAGCTTGCAGCCTTTGTCAGCAAATTCCGTGTTCATAGTTGGATGGTCGTTAGTCATCTATGGGCGTGCTCGCCTTCCAGATGCGGAACAAAGCGCTCAGGTGTTGTTCCCCGAGTATTCGGAGATACGCCCCGGCGCAGTGTACTGATTGCGCGCACCGTGTACGAGGAAGATGACTAAGTTACACAAGTGGCATACAACGAGGTCTGCAGACCTCCCTTTCCCGCGGGACGAATGGTAAGAAGATTGATAAGTAGCCATGCCCTGATGCGCCCGGTAGAGGAGAGGGACAAAGGCAATGCGCGCATGATGAAACGATAGGCGAGAGACGGGGGGAAAATACGAGCTGGAGAGCCCAAGGGGTGGGCGGAAGAGTCGAGGGCCCGATCCACGCGTGTGCACACCACGGCGGCAACGACGACGGCGACCGCGAAGAATGACAGTGGTAAGCATCTAACGTGACGCAAACTCCCTCGTACCCATCATCTTGCTTTCACCCTTCTCGGCCTCGACCGCTGTCGTGTCCGTCTGCTGCCCGAAGAACCTGAAAGCAGCCGTCAGTCCCACTTCGTGAGCGCGCTACACAGACGACTTACGGCTTGAAGACGCCCTCAATCGCGAGCCCTACCGCCGGGGGCATCGCTCGATGCTGGCCGCCTGCGCGAACTTCGCCGTGGCCCCGATATCGCTCTGTGGAGGTATGAGCTTCCCGATGCCCCCGTGCTTGAGTGGGAGGTAGCGGCCGCTCGCACGGCGCTCGAAAAGCACCAAGCCGTCGTCCTCGATGTACGGGACCTGGCCGAAAGGCTGGTGTGCAAGATACTCTGGGGTCTTGTGTGCGCCTTTGTTAAATTCGATGAGCATGAGCTCTTGAGCGACGGTCAAGGTGCGCTTAGTGCAGGTAATGACCGATAGGACTGACGGTCGGGAGACGCCGTCGACCTGTCGGCCCGAGCGCTTGCTCTCGTTGATAGTACTTGGCATCACGAGTGCATATAAGGAGCTCCCTGACTGACGACTTTGTCCCGTAAACATATACGGTAGGATAACTTGGACAACTTCCGTTTCTTCACCTACAAGCAGGCGCGAACGACGGGTATGACCAGGTAAGTGCACAGGCAAAAAAAATTCAACATAGTCTAGATGCATCATCAGTAGGTAGAAAACAGCCTATTATACCAGTACCGCCTATCAAGTACGGTGGGACAGTGTGGATGGGGGTCGGGTTCGTAAAGTCATCGACGTGAATGAGACAGGAGAAGAAGGGAGCGGACAGCGTTGCACAATGCACGTAAGATCGTAAAGAAAACAAGCAGGACAGGGAACACATAACAGGGGGGTAATACTTCTTCTACTTAATCCTTGGCTTCTTGTTGCGTACTCGTGAATCCTCTACTGCCCAGGGACGAACGCAGTCAGACCCGCCGCCTGAACCTTGCCGGGCTCCTCGCGGTTCAAGAGACCAATAAGGTTGATGACCTCTGCCCGGATTTCGTCACCGACCTGATCGGGGCCTGTGGGGTCGAGCACGAACGCGAACACATGCAGGAGCTTGTCGAGGTGCGGGTGGAGAACAGCAGGCTGGGTATTGAAGAGGTGGAAAATCGCGCGGAAGACAGGCCTGTTCTCAAGGTAGTCGTTCCGAAGCGGCAGTGCGCTGAGGAACACGGGCAGGACCTGGTCGAGCGGGAGTGCGGCGGTGTTCTTGACGATCATCCGCGCGACCGCACCAACGGCGTTATCACGCGCATTGAGCTTAGCGGCAGGCGCATCTGCGGGGACTTCGAAGATGGGCCGGAGCGCGCCAAGGATGGTGAGGTACTGTGGCGAGAGGTCGACGTTGGAGTACTCGATGAGGAGACCGGTGGCGAACGCTGCGTTGCACTGAACCTCGGGCTCCTCATCGCTCAACGCGCGGTAGAAGAGGTCGATGAGTTCCTGGGTGTAGGGCGTGACGGCGCTCTTCATACCACCAATGATCTCGGACAGAGTACCAATGGCAGACGAGCGGTCGCTGAGGGACCGGTTCTTTTTCTGCAGACCGATCAGATGAGCCTAGAGTTCAATGTGCGGCTGAGCCTGATGACTCACATAATACTTCGTAATCAGGGGCGCAAACTTCTCGTAACCAGACACAAAGTCGGGTCCGAGAGCGGTAGCGAGCGCAGCGACGAGGTCTCCTGCTGACGAGATGAGAATCGAGTCGTACTCCGCGGAGTCTTCGGGAGCTTCCTCAGCCTCATCCTGGTCGGGGTCCTGCTGGCAGATCGCCTTCTGCTCGAGGACTTGGATAGCAATCTTCGCGATGAGCTCGATGCCTATCATCGGTAGTCAGTGTGCTGTACAATCTATGAGGCTGATGTTGTACTCACGGTTTTCTACGAAGGCGGGGCCGATCTTGGTGATCGTCTCGGCAAGACCTACGCACAAGGACGACACAACCTTCCTGTATAACACAAGTCGGGGTCAGCACCGGAAACAACGAAGCAATGATTATAAGAGGATTGAAGGTCAGGGAACAGAAATCTATGGTTACGTCTCACGCGCCCGTCGGGCATCGAAGTGAGCTGAGTAAATTCTTTCATCTCGCCAAACTGCACTCGGCGCTCAAGTGCAGTAAGATATGATAGGGGGACAAACGAGAACACGTACTTGTTGTCCTCCGTCTCGTACATCTCCAATAGCGGGGGAAGAGAGACGTTAACGAGCTCCTTGACACGAGGGTTGAGAGGGGGGTAGCCCTGGATCATCAAAGAGGTCAGCTGCACAGATTCAGCATGCAAGCCGCATCAACTTACGTGAAGGCCAGGCTGCCACTCCTGCGGGTCACTCAGCTCATAGAAACTGCGAACGATCTCAAGCAGCGAATCCGTTGCGCTCTTACGGATCCCGTCGTAGTAGTGCGACAGGAGCTCGACGAGTGTCACCGTGCACTGCTCAACGTACGGCAGGAAGTGGCCCTTTGTGTGCGCAAAAAGGACGCCGATGGTGTCCGCCGCGATCTCCTTCTCGATGCAGATCGTGCTATTCACGTCGAGCAGCTTGTCAAGGTCGGTGCCGTCGTCTTCGTCGATGTTCACGAGCTCGTCCGAGACTTTGATGGCGCTCGAAGGCGTGAGGCCAGTTGCGAAATTCGCCGCGAAGTCAGGGTTCTGGACTGTGGTGTCGGAAGTCAGCTCCTAGTGTTCAGATGGAGATGGTGGAAAAACAGAGACTTGCATGTGAGGCTCTCCTCCTCGCCGTGCTCAGCCTGCTTGCAGCTCTGGATGAGCGCAGGGACGACAGTAGGGAGGTACGGCGCAAAGTCGTCGCCGAACACCCTCGACATGACCCCGAAGAACAAGAAGCTGCACTCGCGCAGGCGCGCCGAGCCGAGCTCGATACCGTTAAACGCCTGGCCCATCATATCGTTGAAGTACGGTGCGAAGTGTTGCTTGCCGACCGCCTCTGCAAACGTGCCGACGGCGTCCATCGTGATCCCGCGGAGCTCCTGCTCCTCCCCTTCGCCGGTGAGAACGAGGAAGTGCTTGAAGCGTTCCATCGTCGGCTGGAAGTACGGTAGGAACTTCTCCTTGGACGCGTGCGCCGCGCTCCCAATCGCGCCAATCACGACCGACTTCACCGCGAGGGGCGCCGTGTCGAGCAGGCCGACGAGGCGCTCCATGATGAGGTTCAAGTACTGGTCGATGACTTCGTGCATAATCTCGAGTAGTGCATCGAGTGCGGTGCACGCGGGGCGCTGCGTGACGGGGTCGTTCACAAGCTGCATCATCGTCGGGACGAGGAACGCGTGCTTGGCTGCGCACTCCTCCTCGAGCCACTCGCACAGGCAGCTGACGGCGACGCAGGACGCCTTGCGCACGGTCGCGTCGCTGTCCTGGAGGCCGGCCTCGATCATTGGCCAGACCTCGCCCATGAGAGGAGTCATGTACTCGCTGCAACCCTCAACTGACACGCCGAGTGCGAGCATGGCGCCACGACGCTGAGCAGGATCAGAAGACGTGAAGTACTGGCGGATGAGCTTGCTGAGAGCGGGGAAGACCTGACCAGGGGGGAGGCTAGTCGCGAGGCAGTCGACGATGCGAAGGGCAGAACGAGAGGGCGCGTCGTCGTCGATGTCGTCGGGCTCATCCTCGGTGGTGATAGGCATAAGGCCCTCGAGAATGGCGGGGGCAAGGCCCAGCGCTTGGACCTTGGACTTTTTGCTATGAATGAGAACGTCAGCATAAGCATACAGGGACGGCCAGATGGTCTCCTTACTATTGAACGGTCCAGTTCAGGGCGTTCAGGGCCAGGACACGGAGTTCCGGGTCATAGTTGCGGTTCGCACCACAACGGAGGAGGAATTCGGCAAGCGGGGTGATGTGATTGCTGAGAAGAGGGATTTCCTATACACCGAAGGCGTCAACTAACTTGGATAAGGGGTCAGCCGTTCTCTTGATAGACTTACGAGGATGAGAAGCGTCTCGAAAACATCAAAAAGTTGACGGGCGCCAGCCTCGTTGCCACTCTCGACACTCTGACCAATCACGTTGATCATGGCAGGAAGGAGCTCTTGGAAGGATTTCTACGGTTCAATTATAAGCGAGAAGTCTCCTGCTCCTGAGCATGACGGGCTTACGATATCTGCTTTATCATCGGCGTCGATGTATTGAGCAATGACACCAAGAGCACTGCGATGAAGGATGATCAGCATCTAATGAGAGGGATCAAGGCGAGTCGGCTTACCGAACGGTCGTTATCCGAACCTCAACGCTTTCTGGGTCATTGAGGAGGTTGCCGAAGAGCTTGAAGAGCGTCTGCAAATGTGACTCGAAGCCCTCGACGATATTTTCAAGGACGGCGAAGAGGATGTAGATGCCGACTTCGCGGTGCGCGGCCTGCGGAGACAGGCAGGTCTGTTCGAGGAATGGCAAGAGGGTGGGCCAGTGGCCGAGGGGGATTTCAACGGAGGCGATGGCGGCAATGACACGGGCGATAGAATGGCGGACGAGGTTGCTGGTAGGGGTTGAGCTTCGGAGCCGACGTGAAGACCCATACATACTTACTTCGATTCGGCGAGGACGATCTCGGGAAGCTTGCTCTTGATCTCCTCCCTGCTGTTAGCGTCCACCTGCGTCCAGAAGTCTCCGCTAGCCTGTATGGTGCGTTTTCGAAGCTCGACGGCGGCGAGTTGACGAACCTGTCAACATGCATCTAGTCAGCGTCACCTCGAGCAGTGATAGACAACCTAGCAGATATATTTGGTAGACGTGGTGCGAGGCGCCACACCGGGAGGCACGCCTCGGAGTTGAGGGTCCGCGTCAGGAAGTGGAAGATCAATACTCAAAACGGTAAGCGATGATGTTTCGAATGCCTCCGCACGTCCTGAAGCAAAGTCCGAGGGCACGGATGACTGACGACGCGCGCGATCTTGACGATGGGTAGGTAGTAGAGATAACGGAGTCGCTTGACCTCAATGTCCGGAACGTGATCGCCGACATGCATACGATCTAATCGAAATCCTCTTACGCGTTGCCGAACAAGAGCATCGCATACACGAGAGACAGGAGAGAAATGTGGGGACAAACGAGGAAGCAACACTCACTGCCTGCTCCGGAGAGCTAGCCATGATGCTCGCGAGAGCAGGGATACATTGCGGGTTCTTGTAGAACTCCTTGTTTAGCTGAGCCGTGGCCTACAATTGCATGCGCGTAAGAGCTGTGTCTGGAAACTGGATCGGGCAAGGGGGTTGCTCACCGCCTTCAGCTGAACGGTGTCATTGGAGGTAAACTGTATGAGGAGACTGTGCAGATTCTGGACGAAGGTGGGCTGGAAAGAAACTATAAGAGCGTGCATTAGAGCATAATTTTACGCAGAAAATACGCACGTCCATGTCTGCAACAACCAGGACTAGCGGAGGGGAGGAGAAGGAGGAGGAGGATCCGGGCAGAGATGGAATTTGAGCAGGGCGCTCGGACACACTTGCCTTGTCCAAATTTTTGGCTGAGATTGATCTGCGCTAGACTATCTCGGCCACGTGCTTATCGTTCTCGGCTATCCTCCGCCTCGGCTTGCCCTCGTGTCCTTCGTAGCCTACTGAACGTCTCTGGGTGAAGTTTGCCCCTTCTCAACTTGGCTTCTGTGGGTTCCTAGGACACTGAAAGACAATATACTAGTATATGACACCTCAGCGCTTTCCATGGGAACCCTTGTTGTTTCGCTGACCTCTGCAGTCTTGCTTTGTTCTCCGTTCACTTGATCATGTGCACGGCGGTCGACCTGCGATGTTGTACAGTATGTCCACACCAATGCACTCCCCTCTATACCTATACTCAAGTCACTTTGGCAGTCATACTTCTAGTGAGGCTAGTGCCCCACTCGGCTTTACATAATCGCACAAATCCTTGCGTGTTACATCGCTCCGTTCCTCCATAAAGCTATCTCTACTAACCCCCGGCCGTGCTAGCGGAATAGTCCGGTATTCCGCCTTGCTTTGTCCTCGCTGCTATCGCCGCCGCCGCCCAGCACTGTCTCCGGCGCTGTGAACCGTGGCCCCCGATGGCCTTCGGTGGCTCGACTCCCCTCCCATTGTACGCATCTAGACCGTCGCGCTCCATCATTACACGCGTTCGTATGTCTCTCCTCTCTCATAGCCATGCTTCTTCGTGCCGCTATCCGACCTTTTGGCAGGGCCACACTTGTGAAATGCGAAATTCGCTCGGTGGCACCTGCAGCTTTGTTGGTCCTCAACAGTCTAGGCTTCAGCTATATAATACGTCCCCCGTCCCCCCACTGATGTCGCGAGTCGAACCCGGCTTCCCGCGCATTCCCTCTCTGCACCGGTGTTATCCGCTCCCAGGTTCATCTTGCCATGCTCCCGTTCCCGCCAATGCCTGCCGCCATGGATGCACGAGCATACCGAGACGTCACCTGGGTAGACGCATACCCAAGCGTTACCTCCCTCCGTTCAATCCACTCGCACCGCACCTATCACTCCTCACGTGGGGACACGTACAACCACCGCCCCGCTTACGACTACCGCTCCGCTCGCCCAAGGCAGCGCACGACCTCATCTCGCTCCCATATCGAGCCCCTACTCGCCCACCACCCGTACGTATCGCACACCGCACCCGCCCGCCCCCCATTCTTTCACTTCTGCAGCACATTGTGCTGACATTATCCCCGTTCCCTCGTCACAGACACAGACGGCCGCGCGGGCCCAGCGTTCGCCGGACCCATGTCCACCCTCGCAGGGACTACACGTTAGGCCATCGCTTCCGCCGCTCGATCGTCGGCATGTGGAAGCGCGTCACGGCGGCTCTGCGTCGCGAACCGTCGGAGTGCGAGCCTCACTCCTCTACGGGGTTCGTGATGGTGCAATGCGCACCTTCCACCGCTAATATGCGGTATGGCGGATGGTAGACGGGACGCCATCGCCAGTATATGGCAAAATTCTCTCGAATGGCGCTATAGTGCAGTGATTATCACTTGGGATTCTGAATTGTGTCTTCCCAAAACCCAGGTTCGAGCCCTGGTAGCGCCTGAGCGCCTTGTAGTCTTCGATTCGTTTTGTATTCTCTCTCCCTTGTCTCAAATTTTCCCATCTGTATGAGACATGCTCTATTTCTGTGTCGCCGGTTTGGTGCATGGTGAGGCCTCCCCAGGCCTTCTGTTCTACAATCTTGTCTCCTATCGTAGTTCTTCCATAGTTGCTCAGATATCCCTCTAAATTGTGCCTAAAGTTGAACGACGATCACTCACGCTGGTGAAAAGTGGTGTCGATGCCCCCACAAGTAGCAGGGGTATAGATTTCGCGAAACATCCATGCAAAATGATGAGAGTGGGATAGGATGAGATCTGGACGAAATAGATTGCATGGAATCCCCTAGTTTGGCGCCTTAGACCGCTCGGCCATCTCACCGTATGGGAGCGTCTTTTTTTAGACACATGAAACCTAGTCGCTCTGGGCGCCCCGCGCTTGAAGCAAGTTCGAAATCTTCGACAACCATCAGTACTTGAGAACAGTTTGAAAAGCTATGGGCCCTTCTTCTTATGTTAGTCTGTAGGACCAGCACCTTATGTGAGTCTACTCAGGTAGTTTGGCACTTAGAGCCCAGCAAGGTGAGTTCAAGCCGTCTCATGGACTATCACTAGTGGCCCCTTTCAGCCGTTTGGGTGACGATCTAACTCGCACCTTGGCCTCTAACCAACCTGAGCCTGTCATTCATTTGTAGAGGGCCTATTATTTTGCGAACCGCCATATACTAGGTTACCACCGGCGGCAGCTGTCACCGAATCTTCCATTGCTTGGGCAGGGCGGCGGTTACTTTGCATAATAGGACACGGGGCCATAGCTTCCTCATATCTGGGCACGTTTCAACTTCCCACGTTGTATCTGGCAGAGAATCAATACACTGCCCTTTCTCGTGTCCGTACTGCATGCCAGCCAGCCTCTCCAGCAGTCTCAGTTGCATGCCCCTCGTAACCCCTGTATCATAGCCAGGCTAGGGCTGCCAAGTTCCTCGTCGCCCCATCTCGGAGCTCACAAGCTGGTTAGTACCCCACCTCATAGACCTCTCTTATATACTGAGCAACCGTTTCAGCGAGTCCCTCGAGGGGAATGTGGCTCCTCTGCACAGGCCGTGCCGAACTGCATCACTTTGATCGCCCTGATGAGGTCGAGGGTGGTTACGCCATCCTCTCCCATGTCTGGGATTCCGATGAGAAGTCGTTCCAAGACATGCAGGATTTACGAAAGAGATGCGAGGCAGATGGGACTGTACCTCGCGACCACGCCTCCGATAAGATCCGTGAGTCGTGCATCATTGCTGAACGGCACGGGCACAAGTGGATCTGGAACGACACCTGCTGCATCGACAAGAGCAGTAGTTCGGAACTCTCGGAAGCCATTAATTCAATGTATCGATACTATTCCTTGGCAAGGGCATGCTACGCATATCTTCGAGACGTCTCTAGGAACAGCCGGGGAGAGTTGTGCGCAGATCGCTCAGACTTCCGAGAGAGCAAATGGCATAGAAGAGGCTGGACGCTACAAGTACGATGTCATACGCACGTATTCGTGTTCCTGGAATATTGACGATGCTGGCTACAGGAGCTCATCGCGCCTGGGCTTCTAGTATTCTTGTCGAAAGAATGGGAAGAACTGGGCACGAAGATGGAGCTGGCCGAACTACTGCAAGACATCACGACCGTACCCTCGGCGGTTCTTCGAATGGAGGCTCCGGTATCTAGCATGAGCGTAGCCTGTCGCCTCTCCTGGGCTGCAGGACGCGAGACGAGACGTTTGGAAGATCAGGCGTACTGCTTGATGGGCATTTTCGACATCCACATGCCCACTCTTTACGGGGAAGGCCAACACGCGTTCCATAGACTTCAGGAGGAGATCATGAAGAATTCCACGGATACCTCGCTCTTTGCCTGGGACAGTGATCCCACGCTGACGAGACTGAATTTCAGTGGGCGACCGCTACCAGATCATTGCTCACCCGCATGCTTGCACGACGCTCCATCAACCTACCTCTTTGCTCGCTCTCCAAGCGACTTCTATCTCTGCTCGGGGATATCATTTGAGCCTCAGGTGTGGGCTATAATCGGCGATATACCTAGTGCTCGGGTACGTCTGATATAGTGCTCGTTTACTCGACGTGGCTCCTAACCTAGGCTCCGTCTGTGCAGTCTACTTCGTCGCGGCGAGGTCGCAACGCAATCACAAGGCGAAGTCCACGAACCCCTGCTCCAGCTGTCCCTTCTTTTACCATGACACCTTTTGGGTGTCACGCCCAAATGCAAGTCGTCGAGGTCTCCGAATCCGTCGCTGTTGGAGTCTTACGCTGCTACTCCGACGAGCATCTGTCCGGGAGGAAGCACACACTGGCATTGCTCCTAACTCCTTGCCTCTCCGCTCAAGACCCACTACGTTCCGTCTATCACGTCGGATCATGGGATACGACATATAGCATCATTCGACGAACGGCGCTGGTTGCGGTGACAAGCAACGGCCTGCTTCTTCGTGGCAGAGAGGTTACTCCTCGGTGGACAGACATCTATATCACACATCGACCTCCACCTTCCTCATCGAATTTACTTCTGAGCATTCCCTGCAATTTTACCCTGTCGCCACCCTTTCGTATTCCTCTGCAGACTATCAAGGACAAGTTCCCAGACTGGACACTAGAGGAAGTGACCCCGACAGAGCCTTCCTGGAGCGGAGACCCGCCCATGATGCTGGTGTTCAAGTACTCAGGCAAGAGTGATTTCCTGGTGACGAAGCCGCGTCTTGCTGTCATTCTCGGTCGATGCGCCTTGACTTCGGGTGGCGTGGAATCAGCATCGTCGGCAGAGTCTCATTGGGCGGACATCCTCTTCTTCAACAAGCTCATCTCCGTACCGCATACCATCTCTCATCAGGGCAACCATATTCACACCTGGCCCAATCGGCGGCGGACGCGTACATTTGAGACCCATGGGGTGTTCTCTGGATGCCCATCAAACTTCATCGTGAGCGTGACAATATCCTTCACGCCGTGTCCAATGAGCCCTGTTGGTACTCTAGTACTACATTTGGAGTGATGTACCTTTGGAGTACGAAAGATAATACCCACGGAGTATGACCACGATATAGCTCGTCATGCATTCGAGCATGCGACCGCTTATGACCTAGGCACATTTTGATCGAGGCTCGAGCGTGAATTATACGCGCAGTAATCCAGCCATTTCTATGATCCTCATCCCGAGATTGAAGGAATGTCACTGAGCATACCATGATACTGTCCAAGTATTGTGATCAGAATACATATCGCGGCTGCACTCCATCGCTGTTACATAGAAATTTCAGATGCGATTCATTGAGAACCAGTTGGGGTGTGCTCCAACCCCGTGATGCCGAGTACTACAGCATCACCGACAACCGTCGTGATGCCAAATCTCGTCTATTCACCGATCTCATAATTCACTGTGCAGTTCCCTTTCGTGTCCTCTTGAGATGCACTGTGAGTAACCCAAGACCACCTCCCCAAAGGGAAACACAACACGAACCTTAGTGGGCCTTCCACCATCATCCTCGTCTCCGTCTCCATTGGCTGCGCGCTCTCTCTTCTGCGACGACCCCAACTTCGGTCCATTCCTATTCCAACCACCCTCACTTCCACTTGACTTCTTGAGACTTTCACTCCAATATTCCGCCTGCAAATCTGCTCCCGTTTCCGCTTGCGAGGTCTTCTTGTTCTTTGACCCTGGAGGACGGCCCCTCGCCCTTTTAAGCGGCATGGGCGGGTAGTCTGCGAGCGACATTGGCCCGTATGAAGGCCCGGGAGACGTTCTCATGAAGGTAGACGTTCTGCGCGCCTCAGTCTTACTCTTGTTGCCCTGACGTCTACGATTACTCTCGTTGAGATGTATCGGGGATGCCGTAAGTAACAGCGATGCTGACGCTTGAGCTTCTGCCTGCGGATCGGCACGTCCCTGCTCCTCGACGCCCCCATCGCAGAACTCGACGAATTCCGCAGCCTCTTCCGGCAGCACGCGGGGCTGCCTGCGCTCGCGCAAACCGCACTTGTTGCAGAGCTGAAACACACGAGTCAACAAGGATCATTCATACGCTATGAGCAGCGGGAAGATGCGGAGCTACATACCCACTCGCTAGGAGTGAGGATCGAACGCCTCCAGGTGGAGGTTTCAGTCATGTGGCAGTTGTAGCATTGTCGGCGGACGCGGTTGAAGAGCTTCGTTGACGCGTCGTCCGTGTGGATGACGTAGTTCTGCTGTGTAGGAGATGCATGAGAAGCCATGGTCGCCAGAGGCGCAGGCTGTATATGGCTAGCATCTTGAGAAGGTGACATTCCCGGGGCGCAGAACGAGGATAGCGCAGCAGCGAATGGCGACAGACCACGGGACACAGATCGAGACCGTGACCGGCGGCCGTTCCGCCCCGATCGACGACATGGCAGGAGTCGCGCAGGCCCCGGCAAGAATTGTACCATTGGCGAGCGTCTCGGAGAGGAATCACTAGTGTCCGGGGTGCCATCGATAGATGCATTGTTGTGTGCAAGCATTCCAACTGGAATGCATATGTTAGACTGATTTAGGCTCTATGGGACAGAAAATGTTGCATACCTCCGCCCGTCACAGTGAGAATGGGTGGCGTTGTGGTGAGGTGGTCCGACACACTATCTGGCAGGAAGCCTTCACTACCCTGAAGCTAATATGAACATGAGATATAGCAGAAGAGGGATGGACTAGTCAGGACCTACAGCACAGATCATACTGATATCCCTGTCGGAAGCGATGGCGCAGGTTGCATCTGTTTTCTACAAATCACTGTTAACGTTGACTAGTGTGGACAAGAATTGCCCTACTTCGAGGATGTAATCCAAGATATCGTCGAGCATTTCACCGCCCTAGGATTATCGGTCAAAAAATGCACGACTAAGCAGACAAAAGCCTCTTGCCTGATGAGACCAACTCGGGACCATTTCGACCTCCGTTGTGGAGGCATCCTCTTCGGGAATGTGCACCATCTGATCGGGCCCCTCCGGGGTAGGAGAACGACTCAAATGCGGTTCCTCTGTGCCCGCGCGAATGACCTTCGGTACGAGGAAGGGGCGATGCTTGACCTTGTAATAGTGGAGAAAGATGCACTGATCGCTTGCTGATTCGTCTGAGCCCACCCTTGATGCGCCTTTGGGGCCACTCCGATGCTCCCAGGACGTGGAGACGTCCTGCGTGGTCGAGAGAGAAAAGGTCGCTTGGGAGACCGGGGCAAATTGTCCACCAAAGGAGATCTCCCCATCCCGCGCACGGTGAGTCGCGGCAGCAAGCGCCCATTCGGCTGTCTTGACACAGCCGCAGACGAAGACGATGTCTTGGGATTTGAGGTCGAGTCTGCAGACGTTCCGAGAGAACTGGTGCCATCCGGCGTGATTGAGGAGGATGTACTGCGTGAGATCCCGGCAAGGGTGCAGGGCCTCTCGGTGCGCGTCGTTCTTCAGGACGAGGATGGCTCCTTGCTCTTCTGCAAACTTGAAACGGAGACTGGCCAGGCCCCCTGCGTTCCCAACCCCTGCTTGACTGCATTTGGATGTGAGAAACGCATACCACAGTATGTGGGTATCAGGCGGCTTACAGCGATGCATCTGCGGTCACTGCGGTGACGCTCTTGCTGCAGATCGGTCCAGCTTGCAGAGCATTGGCTCGGGCGTGCTTCAATGTCGAAGGAATTTTGAACGGCACGTAGCCATCGGGCACTCCGTATCTTTGGTTCACCGCGTCGTCAGCTGCAAGGGTCGCGTTGAAGAGACGGTAGAAACCGCCGTCAAGGATGTAGCCGACGTCGCCGATGAGCACCTCTCCTGATGCTGTCGGCTCTGGTTCCCAGAGAGGATGCCCATGGCCGCGCTGGAAGAGCAGTTTGGTGTACACTTCGCAGGCAACGCCCATAGATCACAGACAGAAAAAACAATGGCTCTTGAGGTTGTGGCGGGAACGACAGCTAAGTACATTATCAGACGCTTGCATGTCACTTGAGGCTGTGAGAGGCTATGTCAGAAGCTGTCGGGAGTTATATCAGTCAATTCAATCCCATGGCCAGACTACTTCAAGTAATGGGACGTACACGCACGGTGCACCTTGTGGCATAGCAGCTTCGAGCTGCGCATGGGTCATTTGCATATTGCCGTTGCCTTGGAGAATGTAGCTGCCTCGCTTGTAAGCTGCAGCCAGACGCCTCAAGACTGAAAGATTCTCGAGTGGGCTATCAAAAATTCGTAGGCTACGGATCAGCCCTTTATACACACCTGCGGTATCGAAAGCGCAACACATGCAACACATGCATAAGATCATTCGGGGCAAGACGGCAGTGCAATAATCTATATGTAGGGCAAGACGCGACCTGTAAGTATCGGCAGTTGCCGGGCAGAGGCACTTTGCGTGCAATGTCATGCACTCGCTTCGAGGCTTGTCAGCCTGCGGTATCGGACACATCGCGCTGAGGTGATTATGGGAAAGCTTTGTCAGGAGAATCTTTAACTGACGAAACATCAATCTGAAAGTAGAATTCGTATAGCCTTTGCCATACCGTACGTGTCTATTTCTGCCGACATCTGGTCTCGACCCTCCTTCTGACCGTTTACTACACCTTAGAGCCGTGACAAACAGACTTCCTTGACGTACATCTCGCATACAGTACCATTTGCTGACTCAACTCCATCCTACATCCGCGCTCGTCAATGGTTTAGGTTGTGGGCGCTGTGACCAAGCTCGGAATACATCTACCAAGTGGACGCTCGTTGTCTTAGCCTGTCAATCTTGCCGCTGTGGAGAATTGCACTTTTGATACGCCTCCATTCTGATAAACGTCGGATGTCCTCTTCGCTGTTCGTGATTCTTTGAAGCCACCGACGTGGGAATACGGGCGATATATGATATGCTGAAAACTTGGTGACGAGTTCGCGACATCGTTTACGTTACTTGTGCTGTCGCATACAGTTCTAATACTGGCGCCCGCGAAGTCATCTCCAAACGAACGCTGGAGACCGCTGCTCGGGACGAGATCACCTGGCGAGCCGCAAGGCATGATTCTCCACCGCACTGTCGACGAGGTTGATCCTCGAGCTATAAAAACCGCGGGCATGGGCCCTTGACCACTGCATCCAAGCACCCAAGCACCCTCTCAGCCTCCCAGCCTCTCAGCGCACTCTCCAGCACTCACCTAACTCTCTAACACCACGATGGTCCTCAAACTCTACGGCAACCCGCACTCGACCTGCACCCAGCGTGTGCGCACCGTCCTCGAGGAGCTCTCGGTCCCGTACGAGCTCGTCGTGATCGAGCTCCAGAAGGGCGAGCACAAATCACCCGAGTTCGTCGCCATCCAGCCGTTCGGCCAGGTGCCGTACATCGACGACGACGGCTTCAAGCTGTTCGAGTCCCGCGCTATCGCGCGCTACCTCGCGCTCAAGAACGGCGGCGTCGACAAGATCATCCCGGACCCGAAGAACCTGCAGAAATTTGCGCTCTTCGAGCAAGGGGCGAGTATCGAGCAGAGCAACTTCGACCCGTCGGTGTCGGCGCTGGCGTTTGAGAACGTGTTCAAGCCGTGAGCGTTCGTTTTTCCCGGTTCTGGTATTGAGTTCAGCATCGCAGGGGGTTGGGAAGGGGTAGAGACAAGGGGGCTAACTGGTGATTGCAGGCTGCTTGGCCAGAAGACGGACCCTGCGACAGTCGAGAAGCACAAGACGACGCTGGCAGGCAAGCTCGCAGGCTACGAGGCCCTCCTCTCTCGCCAGAAATACATCGGGGGCGACGTAAGCTGCCATGGTCTCGTTTGTTGTGACCATCGCTGACGATGTATGTGTGCGCAGGAGCTCACCATCGTCGACATCTTCCACCTTCCCTACGGTGCGCTTCTTAAAGTACAGGGCATTGACCTCCTCGAGTCAGACAAGTACCCCAACGTAAAGAGGTGAGTACCCAATGTGTTGCATTTTGAAGTGTTTTCTCATGGATGTATGCAATGTGACAGATGGTGGGCCGAGCTCACCTCGCGTCCTTCGTGGAAGAAAGTTTCCGGGCAGTAGACGACTGCACAATGCAGATAATGCGCATGTAATCTGTAAAGTAACTGGTCCCGAAGGCTGAATGTACAACCATATTGTTTGTCACTCACCACGTGCTGTTCGCTCGCGCACTCCTCCATTGCTTGGCTCTAGCTCAGATCGAGATCACATCGCTCTGCTGGACCTACAGCACGACATCTGACGATGATTTGTGCTGGACTGTGCTTCCTCCGGGAATTTGTGCCAACGCGGTAGAACACGAGGCGTCGGTGAGGACTGGAGCCAGAAATAGCCGAATGCGTACATAGGTAGACCAGGGAGAGGCTAGAGCTGCAGTAGGGCGTCTGTCTGACATCTACATGTACTCGCTGTTTGCCGGTCCGCCCGATCTTGTGTCACGGGACTGCGGTGTTCACCTCCTCAAACTTGAACGCGTGTTCCTCTCTTGGTCGCCCTATCATGGGGCTAGGGCCAGTGAGCATGGTCACGACGAGGACTACTTTCTATCTCTATCTGGTCTTGCTGTCACTGGGTCGCTTGATAAGCTCATGTGTGCTGCGACTGTCTGGCACTCGTTCTGCAAGCGGGGGCAGTTAGCGGCACTAGTACTTAGTTCCAGCCTGGGCACGCTCATGGCACCAGTCACTGTGAGTCGCTTCGTCTGACGGACCATCCTGAGTAAACTCGAAGGTCCATCTCGTCAGTGCAACGCCAATACATATAGTCAAGCGATGAATTGGGTACTCGAAAACTGCAACACAAAGGCGTACACACAATCGTAGAAATCCCTCAATGGAGGAAACCACCGGTCGATCATCCCCAATGGCTAGTCCGTTAGTATATCACAGATTATCTGCATGCATTTTTCACACGAGAACCTCTACGACGGGGAGCCCAGAAACGCGGCGGGCGATGCGAGCAGCACGAGTGCCCTGTGCAACGCGTCAGCAAGTGCCCTCAACGGTACAGAACACAGACGGGAGGTACGTACGACGGCCTTGTTCTTGAGCTGAGACTCAATGAGCTGCTTAAGCTTGTCAGCCTTGGTCTGTGCCTGAGCTTGGTCTGCCTCGTCGGCGGCACTAGTAGTAGCCATGGACGTCGACGTCGCGGCGGCGTCAGTCGTCGAGGCATCAGCCACCGAGGTGGCGGCGGCATCCGTCGCGATCCCGGCGTCCGTGCCAGTCGTAGCGTTGGTCGACGCGCTAGCACCTTGGTCGACGACGACGCAGTTGCCGAAGCGGCCCGCGGTGACGAAGGATACGAGGCACTTGCTCTGCGACGCGCCGCCCGTGCAGGTCATCCCCGCGGGCATCTGGACGACGAGTTGCTGCGAGCCCGTGCTGGTGGGTCTCTGACGGAGAGACGAGCTACAGTTAGCGGCTTGATGCGAAATTCTGCGGGAAGGCGAATGGCATACCTTCTCTCCGTTCTGGAGGACCTCGGCGTCGACGAAGTCCTGGCCCGTGCCGTCGGCGCTCACGGCAGCAGTCACTTGACGTGAGCCATCGAGACCACTGTCAGTAGTTATCCGATCAGTAAAGGCGGGGCTATCCATAGTAGACCCTCGACACGCACGGATTGAAGTTGGTAATGGTCGCAACGAAACTGCCATTAGCAGCAGGGGTAATGGCGGTGGAGGTGTCGATTCCGCTGAGATCAACTTTACCACAGGGCCTCGCCTTGGTGGGGCGTTGGACGTCGCTGCGGACGGGAGTACCCTCGACGTCAAGAGCCGGAGCAATAGCAGCATGGGCGTGAGCTTGAAGAGAAAGGCTTAAGCAGAGCGCGGAAATAGCAATGAGGCTCTTGGAGAAGAACATAGTGCCAGACTTGTTTGAAGAGGAGAGGAGTGGCCGAGGAAGTTGAGAACTAAGAGTAGAATGTTAAGAGGATCCGGCCTCAGTATGTTGCAAGACTAGGTGCAAGTGGGGGAGGAAGCCTCGAGACCCCCGTGTATTTAACAGATCCGCGGTAACGCGCGTACTGCAATCCTCGTCGCTCAAGCGGAAAGCCCGTCATTATCCGGAGGTGTGTTTGACTTTTGGGTTTTGACTTTTGGCAAACCTGTAACCTAGATTCGGAGCGAAACGTGACAGTTACCATGGATGACTGCCCGAAAAACACACGGCTCGACGGAGACAAGCGAAAGGACCCCAAACATGAACAGGCGCGAGAGAAACGTTGACGAAGCAGGGTCCACCGAGCGTTGGATTGACCATGAATTGGACTCTACAAGGGGGATGAACGGATGCATTCATTAATGTGACGCATTGTGGACTTCGACGAGTACTCCACAAATACACAGATGAGAGTCGTCTTCGTCGATATGGCAGCCACCCTTGCAATGGCAGCTTGTGCGAGTCCGAGCGCCGCTGGCGAAGAACGTCTGTTGGTTTCGATCCATTAGACAAACGTCCAATCATGCAAGAAATATGAGAAGAGAAGGAGCATGGTGGCACGATAGTGGGAGAGATTAACGGGGAACCCGGGTAACGGTGATCGGATGGTGCCGCAAAGTACTCTTACCATGGGAAATGTCGAACGAGCCAAGAGTTGTCCCGTTCCGTCGTCATGCAAAAAGTCCGGCGATTGACACTGTCTGTAGAACATTGGTCGATTCACGGAGCCTTGTAGGTCCACGAAGCCGCCATCTTGGAGAACTTGTCATAATCAGAGGTGTTCATAGAGTTTCTCAGCACATCTCGTAGCAGGTGCGAGGCGGTAGGGCGGCCTCAGAAGACACCGTCTCGACTATAAGTTCTCCGCAGCGTTTCGTGGATCAGTTCGTCCTTCACCGTCCGTGCATCAATCACAGTCATGTTGCAAAAGGATGGAACCTGCATAGCCATGTAGAGGAGGGTTTGATCTAGGCAGTTCATACGGAGCGATTCAGGCCGGTCGACAGGGAACACGGTGAGCTGTCATCTTACGGCTTGTCCTCTGAGTCTTCGATACATGGACGATGTGAAGCTTCTTCCCGAGAGTCGGCCAGGGAGGCTGTGGTGACCCACGATGTCACAGCTACTTGAACGGTCGCCATGGCTAACCATTCTTCCACATTCAATGACGTCAACGAAAGTGCTTCGAGAACAGAAGTCGCTGCTGATGCTGGTTACACCGCATCGAGCTGAAGACGGTAATCATTAGATTGGAATAGGCAGGGATGCATTGTGAGCTTCACATCTGTTGGGTATGCACCTATTGAGTGACGGCTTCCAAGATTGCTCCGTGCAAGGCTACATTGAGGGATTGCCGGTAGCGGTTTCATCATCGTCCCTTGCCCTCTGAGGTGACGCATCCAAAAGCAAAACACTCGTACTGCGGTGACATTCAGCGTGCCTTCTTTTCGCTCATGACGGGAATCGGCATTACTCCCCAAATACCATGGCGACGTCTTCGTGAGGAGGTCAGCCGAGTTAGGCATTCCACTCGTCTATGTGAGCCTTCGTTACAATGGTGAGTTCTTGAGCAATGATATCGCATGATCAAAGGACCTCGGAGTTGTCTTCTCGTGCATAGCATTCGGCTTCCTCGGTAGTCACAAGGCGTAAGAGGCTGGAGTTGACGACATGGTGCGTCATCCCCTAGAATGTCATTTGGCGTTACCTGCTGACCTACCGCCTACGTAATTACTACGATGTCGAGCTCTTCGTTGGAGTTGGAGAGTGCCGCCATGTCCGTGATATCTTCTGTCTTCGTACTGTCGTCACATGCGCTGACTGCTCCTGACTCTCTGACATTTTCCGGGCGCACTGTAGATAGCCTACACATGCTCACCAATCACGACAACGACGGGGGCCTGTTCCTGGATCCATCATGTCGGACGAATCCTTTCCACCGTCGGGAGACATCTGGACTCAGCTGCCATCCTGCAATATGTTCGTGCAGACCGTCGGCGTGTCTTCGCCAAGCCCCCGCGGACACATTCGTTACGGCTGCTAATACAGCGCCCAGTCTCTTTGGCTGCTGAGCAAATTGAGACTTGATTGATCCTCTGTGATGTTTGGATCCTGTCAACATTCGGACGGGGAATAGTCGATCGACTCGCCTTCAATTCCCCATGTAGATGGCGTTCACGTTCCCGCTGTATAGAGTCTTATGTGGGAAGAGCAGCATACAAGTCGTCATCAGTGAGGTGTATTGTCGTTTCATCCAGTAGCGAGCGTCGGTCTGCGCACACTCTCTTCAGGCAAATCTTTGAACCAAGGTACACTCTTCGCTCCCGGAAGCTTCAATATTACGCATGTCCTTTATCATGCTGCAATACCTTATGGGTCTTGAGTGTCAATTGCTGCCAATTAGGAGTAACGGAAATTTGCGAGGTTTGTCCCATACGTACTGAGATGAGGCGAGAGGAAAGCAGATAGACCCGCGGTTCATGGACGGCTCCCATGAGGGAGGGGAATCGAACCACCGTTCTCCTTCTACGATGAAGGTGCCGGAACCATCCAACAATTCCGACTTTCGTCGGCGAACGCCATATTTCCCCAAGATCCACTTGTAGGGATGCCTTGCTTTTTGAAGGAAGCTTTATAGACCCGCGGTAAGCACTGGCCATAAAGCAGCAGCTGCTGGAAATCGCAACGCCTGCAGCTGGGTCCACGTGGCCGGCTATCCGGAGAATCACATGGTGGGAGCGCCAACGAGTTACAGTTTGGGCGGCTGTGCTACTCCATGGCGTGCATGCTGCTCTCGCCAGGCGTTTGCTTCGCTTTCTTCTTCTCACCTTGATCTCAAGATCGACACCCACAACGACTCTGCCGCTACCATGGTCCTTCAGAGGCGAATACTGAACGGTCATGTCCATGTTGCATCCCCAGGCACCCCTGCGTCGTACTACTACGATGACGGGGACGTTCAGCCGCCGGCGCCTGAAGATGTGGACGCGAAGTTGAATCGCGTCGGCAGTGTTGGGGAGGTCGCCGACCGCGTCGCGGACTTCATAGCGCAAGAGGCAACGGAGCGTCGCCAGATGATAGGAGGAGTTGACAACTTTTGGCTACTACTCTCCGACATCACTGACTTCAACCCGGTATGTGTCGAAAGATGGCTTTGATCACGTATGACGTAGTGCCTTACTTTCTTCCCAGGCATGCACATCCGTCTGCATCCTGCGCGACTACGTTACAGTTGAGAAGGTCGCTCAAGTAAGCCATTTAACCACAACATCCTCGTTAGTTTGGCTTCGGCTAAGCCGTCGATGTTCAGCAATTCACGCGCCAATCGGAGAGGTTCCCCCGATTCCGGCAAAAACTCGAGTCTGTTGGACGCCTATTCCATGGCCCTACCTTTGTCGACGACCCAGATTTCAACGTTCTCAATCATATCCATGTGCGTAGGCTACCTGAGCCCGCAGGAAAGCGCGAGCTCGACGCCTTGGTAGGTCCAACGAGTCTTCTAAACCCCGAGACGAGTACAGAATTACCTGACACGCGTGACAGGTGGGCGAGTTCATAGCGGAGGATTGGGATCTTTCAAAGCCGCTTTGGCACACTCTAATCGTGGAGAATTACCACGGCGACGATGGTGCCTGTGCTATCGTCGCAAAAGGGTATGTCGTCGTGGTGCTGCCGCATACACCTGACTGACCGCCTCTAACGTAGGCACCATACACTTTCTGACGGTCAAGGTACGCATATATGCGCTCCTTAAACTCATACCAGCCTGTCTGACCTGTTACATGAACGTAAGGATTCGTGATGAGCCAGCTGTACCTGACGTCATTCTTCGATGACCTAGCCCAGATGATAAACCGCGCCTCAGACAAGCTTGACAGAGCGAAGCGGGGTCTGCTCCTTCCGTCCGAATACTCTAAATCCTTCAAGCCGCTTGACCCCTACGCTTCCGATGAGCGCGTCGCCCCTTTCCTCCAGTTTTTACTTGGCTTTCTCTTCTGGCTGATCGTGGTCGTCAAGAACATATTTTCTTTGTTCTGGAGCACGTTCCAGGGACTACGCATGATCGCCTTCTTCCTGTTCACCTTTTGGCGCGTCGAGATGATCACTGCTGACCAGCCTGGCAAACGCACGCCCCATCGAGAGTTCTCGAGCACGCGCATCTTCAGCCTGCAAGATGTGAAGGTGTGCCAGCAAGCGTTCTCTGGACCCCGCCCTGGATACGCTGTCGCTGGCGTTCCAAAGGACCAGCGACGAAACGTTCGCAGCAAAAAGAGGCATGTCACCCTTAACGATGTCGTCTGCGCCGTCATGGCGGACGTGCTCGGGGATATCATTGCTTCCAAGCCGGAGCCGCGCACGGCGTGGGGTAAAGTAAGGCGGACCGTCAACAAGTATTTGCCCAGCCCAATGGGCTTCTTCATGTATGTACCAAGTTTCATCTCGTGTATGATTCATTGTCGTTGCTCATGAACCTACCGTGCAGACCGATCAGTGTCCGCAAGCCCGGCGACTGGTCGATGCGGAATCTGTCGACCGCCTCCAACGTCTACCTGAACCCGTCACCCAACCTCACATCCGACATCTCCGTTCACGAGATTCATGCGCACATCCACAGGTGCCGCTACGAACTCTCGTTGTTCAAGCACAGCGCATGGCCCAAGTTCTGCTTCCGCCTCCTGCAGCTTACAGGACAGGCGCCGATCCTCTTCCCGTTGTCGTGGTTCTCGAGGTCGCGTGCACATTGGAACCCTCTCGTGAAGGTGTTGAGAAACGGCGTCGTCAAACCGTTCCTCGACGTATGTTTGGAGTCGTGTACGTTCTACTATGTCCTTCAACGACTTGCGTCGCTGATTGTCTATTGTTCACGTTCTAGTTACCGCCATCTTGACCAAGTATGAGCACCTTCGGCGACCTCTTCTGTTGTACATGTACTGACAGCGATATTTTCAGCGTTCCGGGACCCTCCAAGGGTCCGATCACTTGGAGCGGAGTCGAAGTTGTAAAATGGTCCGCCATCCCGCCCCAGGCGGGGGCGGGCACCATCGGCATCGGAATCATGTCGTACGCTGGCGGGCTCTCCGTCGCAGTCTCCGCCGATCTCGTGCCCGGCTCCGAAGGCGTCGCGCGCAGGATATGCGAGGGCTTCGAAAAGCGATTCGAGCTGTACGTCGCACGCGCTAAGGAGGTGCTCGACCATCAAGACTAGAAGCCTTCGTAGCACACGCGCTCGGGACACGGAGGCACCGGTATCATTAATAGATCGCAAAGTGGAAACGTCGGCTAGCGGCACTCTAGCTGACTGTGTAGCGCTATTGTACACTCCCGCCGCTCGTTATCTGCTCGCTCCGAGCGCTATCAGTAATAGACTCGTTCAGTTGTAAACTAGCGACAAGTCCTAATACCTATGCATGCCAGAACTCACCATTGTATCTCTATGCAGACTCAATCCTCATGTATTGCGACATGAAGATGTATGGCCTCCACAAGCTCGCGGACGTCCGTCGGATGCCCGACGTGATTGTCTTCACAAGGTAGCGGCGGCCGCCCTCTTACATCACTCGCAGAATTGGATGTCCGAGCGATATCGAAAGCCACCCTATTCAAGTCAGTGAGGCATGCGATTTATTTGACTCGTTCGCGAGACACTGGGCATTAAGTCGGTACGATTGCAGCGACCCCTCGGGGTCTATGTGGGGTTTATGCGGTGCCTGTCCCCAAGGTATGTACAAGGTTACAATGAAACCCATGCGTGTCCCCGGTGGCTGACATGAACATAGTACATTCTAGCTCAAATGGGCTGTAGACTGTGTCGGCCGCCTCGAACAGGCCGCCGGTGTGCACCACATCCCGACCCTAGGTCGAATAGCGCAGAGCATAACAAATGATGACCGCGCGAAGCGCACACCTGGCGACAATGGAGGTGCTGCGGCTACAGCATGGGTTCGCCAAAATGCCTCTATCCGCTGCTTTTGGCTGTTACGTTTCCCGCGGTGAACGGCTATGTGGTGTAGCGATGCAGACTAATAGTGCAATTGACAATGAGTGGCTAAATTTGGGTGTAGAGCGGTCATGGTGGCGCTTCTGGCTGTCTTGCACGCTGCCTTGTGCGTACTGGTAGATGGTGAGTGGAGTGTCACTCCTGCTCGGTCGGGCTAACAAGTTGAGCTGTATGCAGTGAGCGTTTGCAATGACAGCGACATCGAGGAGAGTGCGAGTTCAGTGCTAGAAAACATACGATAGAATGAACACTTCGAACATAGCCGTGGCGAGGTGTTCCTGTAAGCCCCAATACTTGGTCAAGGCGTCCTGCGACGCCTTAGACCATGTGAGACGCGATTAAGACGCCTGCTGTCGGGCCCCGTCTTGCAGTCGACGCCACTGCGGACGTGTCGTTGCATGATTGAGACGCAATGGAGCGTCTGGACATCCGGTTGGTAGCGTATAAAGCTCAAAGAGAAGGTAGCCCTGCTCTTCACCTCCAATTCATCTAGAGGTACCTACTCACTAGTACACGAAAGCCACAGCTGTTCTCGCCATCATGAAGCACCCTGTCTTCCTCATGGCCTCTCTCGCCTACTTGGTGCACCGCTGCTCGGCTCAAGCTGGTCCGATCACGACGCTCAACATCGTCGATGCTGCGGTCACTCCCGACGGATACACTCGTCAGGCCGTGCTGCCCAACGGGACGTTTCCGGGACCCTTGATCATTGGCAACAAGGTCGATCTCTTGTATTCGAATCGAGCGGCGATCGCTAATTACATCTGCTCTCTAGAATGACAACTTCCAGATCAACGTGATTGACCTACTTACCAACGAGACTATGCTCACGGGCACCACTGTCGTACGTGCTCTCGATTGATTCAACCTATGAGACGGGGCCGACATATTCGTCGGGCAGCACTGGCATGGCCTCTTTCAGCACTCGACGGCTTATGCCGACGGGACAGCGTTTGTCACGCAATGCCCGCTTACACCGAACAACTCCTTCCTGTACAATTTCACTGCAACTGGACAAGCCGGTGAGTTGCTTCCCAATCACACGACATGTGTGATGTACCCCAACTGAAGCTTTCCCAGGGACATTCTGGTACCACAGTCATTACATGACTCAGTATTGCGACGGACTCCGTGGCCCTCTGGTCATCTACGATCCGGAGGATCCGTATCTATCGTCATACGATGTCGACGATGGTGAGGCTGTCGCTTTCCGACACGGTTCGATGGCTCACTAATTACATCTCACAGAATCTACGGTAATCACGCTTGCTGACTGGCTGCACATTGCTGCGCGCCTTGGACCTAGGTTCCCGTCAGTACAGCCTGGACTCCGTAGAGCCGTCTTCACACCACTTACTACTTATTGTGCCCTAGGACACCTAACGCTACACTCATCAATGGTCTTGGCAGATACACCGGAGGCCCGGCTGAGTGGCCTTTATCAGTGATCACAGTGGAGCAAGGCAAGAGGTACGCGTCGCATCGACTAAAAGTATATGCCCTGAAACTTTGCTTATTCGCTCTAAGGTATCGGTTCCGGCTGCTCAACATGGCGTGCGAGCCCAACTACAACTTCACCATCGACAGTCACAATTTCACCATCATCGAGGCGGACGGCGAGTACACTGAACCGCTCGAGGTTGACTTCATCCAGATCTTCGCGGCTCAACGATACTCGATCATTGTGCGTTCCCCTTCTCATTTCCTTGTCTGGGCTCTCACGCTACAATGTGCCGCAGCTGAACGCGACTCAAGCCGTGGATAACTACTGGATCAGGGCAAACCCGAGCGTCGCGCTCCCCGATGGACAAGGCTTCGCTGGTGGCATCAATTCGGCCATTTTGCGCTATGTTGGCGCTCCAGATTCCGATCCCACGACTAATCAAACTCCCAGTGTGATCCCGCTAAACGAGTCGAACTTGCACGCCCTGGTGGACCCTATTGCCGTGAGTGCTTCTTGCTACGTCTGGATATGGTCATGCAGCTGATGTAGACTAGCCTGGTCAACCCTTCCCAGGAGGCGCGGACGTGAACATCAACCTTGACTTCACTTTTGTGAGTTCACATGTTTGCGAGAAGTAGATCGTCTCACGTCGTCTGTCCAGAATGCGACTACACAGCTCTTCTATGCGAACAATGTGTCCTATGCGTCGCCTTCGGTTCCTGTTCTTCTCCAGATTCTGAGTGGCACCCCTGGTGCGCTCGATCTCATGCCCGCAGGAAGCGTGTACTATCTGCCGCCCAACAAGAGCATTGAGATATCGTTCCCCGCGCTCCCTGCGGCCACTCCGGGAGAGCCCCATCCCTTTCACCTGCACGGCGTACGTATCGTCTTCATCCTCGTCATATTGTGAAGCAATGTCGGCTGACAGCAACTGTTGTAGCACGCGTTCTCTGTCGTGCGGAGCGCCGGTCAGGTTACACCCAACTACGTGAACCCTGTTCGTCGCGATACCGTGAGCATTGGAGAAGTCGGAGACAATGTCACGATTCGGTTTGAGGTACGGGCATACTTCATATGCTGTATCTCGTGCGATTCCTGGGTCTAACGAGGGGCCGCGGATACTGCTTATGATAGACCAACAACCCAGGGCCCTGGTTCCTTCACTGTCACATCGACTGGCATCTTGAGGCTGGAATGGCTGTGGTCATGGCAGAGGACGTGCCTGACATCCCTAAAGACGTCGTCCCGTCTAGTGAGCCTCTTGACATTCATGTTCTATACGATGGGTCGCTCAATGCGTTTCGCAGAGTCTTGGGATCAACTCTGCCCGACTTGGTCCGCCTATGGACAGCTTTGAGCGAAGTGTATTGCTTCGTGAAAAGGCTTTCGCACAGGCTTTAAGGAGTATACAAGTGTAGTAGGATGACTCGTCTTGGGAAAGTACTCAGTCGGTCAGCTTTGTGAATGTGGATGTCTTCGTTCTCAGGTCTTGTTCAAGTAACCTTCGATTCCTGAAAGAGTGTAAGATGTTCTCTTAGAATGACAGCGAACGTGCTTATCACCATAACGAGATCCAATAATGTATCCCGTTGACGAGGATGACACTGCTCTTCTAGTTCGTTTGATCTTTGGACGAGTCACTGTGATTGACTGACGGAAAGGACATCCTCCTGTGCCTGCAGCGTGCGACTGCGCGATACCTTTCGGGCCATTTTTTTGGATTGTCCGACGATTGGACTCGGGTTGCTAGCGATGTGTGGCTTGTAATATTCAAGGCGGCATGATGGTTTCGACTCTTCTCTACTAATGTGGAATACTGCCTGTTTCTACTTATGCAGTTGGTTCGGACTGTCCACTGATGCGAAATCGACGCAATCAGACGGTAACAAGTGAAGACGAAGTTGAGCTTGGCCTGACCGTTTCTCATGAACGTGAAGTGTGAATGATGGACTAGTACTAGGTAGACGCTGGATTGTGGCAGTAGGGTCGTCGGTGCCTGGGAGGAGCTCCCAACTCCCACGAGATTACGTCCGGGAGGCTCGCCGACGCTGACATACTCTCTCTGACTCTCCACCACTCCTCCGCTCCCCATGGACTGACTGCTCCAACTGCTCTATGCAACCGTCGCTCTTTCTTTCACTCCAAAAAGGACATCAATCAGCCCAGAATGATTTCAACGCCCTCAAGTCCCTCTCACTCGGCCGAGTCGAGCACCAGCTTCAGCCGTCAGCCTTCCGACGGCTCAGACTCTAAAGGCTTGCTCGTCCTCATCCCGGATAGGATTGACATAGAGGAGGAGGCGCAGTTCTACGACGACATCGTCGATGTGAGTCTTGCCATGTTTTCGCTGCTCGGGCGTCCGTTCCGTCATGGCTGCGGTGATTTTGACCGGCGATCGCCTTCGTAACGTGGACAGAGCGCGAGCACCACTGGACAAGATATCTACCCTTTCGGCCAGCCAGACTCCCCTCCTCTCTCACCGGTCGAGGCGCGATCCATATTCTCGAACGACATCTGGCTGGGGGATAACTCCGGAGAGAGCAAGGCCTTCGCGAGAGGGGTCGAGATTCCAGGGTGGACGAGTGTGGGAGACAAACGCGGTGGTGCATATGTTGGTGCGTCCCGCGATGCATGACCGTCGCACCTTCATACCGAACTTACGCCTTCGCAAGTGTACGACTGTGCGATCAGGACGAAGGAGGGAACCGTCATACACGCCCTCAAGCGGTACAGCGCATTCGCACAGCTCTACGCCAGGCTTCGCGCGACGCTTCCGGTGAGCATACTTCAATCTCTAGCCTTTGTGGTGGCTAATATGCACGCTGCTCGTTCAAGGCAAGTCAGCAGCCTTTCATTCCCTCCCTCCCGCCAAAGTTTCCCCTTGCGAAGTTTCGACCGACATTTCTCGACCGGCGGAGGCGCCTCTTGCAGCACTGGCTCTCTGCGGTACTGCTCCACCCCGAGATTGGGGGCTGTCAGGCCGTGCGGGAATGGGTTGTGGATAGGTCGTGACTTTGTTCCTTCACTACAGGATTCGTGCGCTGTTCTATTCCATGCTTTGCTTTTCCCGCAACCCGTTGTTCCAGGAGGAGGAGACTGATCATGTCCGGAGAGGTGTGAGCAAATTTTTGCCCAACGGCCACCTCCGCGACTCGCTCCCAATTGCATGCAAAGCGGAACTCCATGTGATCAACGTGATATCTTTCACCAAAGTTGTATACAGAGGCAAACCCCTTCTAGTGGATCATCTCTACAGCAGTCCGCATCACACTCCTCCCCAGCTCTATGAGCACTGCGCGTCGATCTCGGAAATGATTTTCCACTCGGCGCGAAGGGTGTTACGGCTGTAGCTGAAGTCAGGGAACCTGCTCGCGACCACACCGCTAGAAGTCCTGAAACACTGCACTGTGAACTGGGCTGTCATTAAGGCCAGGAGGATGAGCTGGCCGGTTTTCTCTGTACATCGTGAACACGAGTGACTTGCCATGTCACCAAAGGGGCGAAGACTATGAAGTATCCTCACGATCGAGGAGCGATAACTTGCCCACGGTCTTCGCGTCCACCTAAGGTAGGGTTTAGCTTAAGGCCCCTATTCTCGAGCTGCGCCCTCAAGCTCCAAGCTTTATGAGTATTGTCACTTGTTTCTTTATATACATGAGACCGCGACACTGTATCTACCGACAATCGAAAACCGACAACGTCTGAGCTCTCTTAACATATTTTAGTGCACGTTAGCTTCCCGCCTAGGCGGTACTAGTCCCGAGGGCCACGAAGAGGCCTGCACCAGGAACATCCATGCATGTAGGCAATGGACGACCGTACCTCGGGGCGGCGTCTTGAATCGAGGGCAGGTTGCGCCCTCGAAGCCACTTCCAGTCTTGTCGATTGCCATCCATTCCTGGACGGATCCGAGGATACGGCGAGGTCTTGAGGTGAGCCCGTATGCGAGGCACGCCGTGCGCAGGACCCCCGTCCATGGGACGGGGCGGTCAACCGGGCATAGGGTGGGGCAAGGCGAGCTCAAGCCTCGACGCCCGCATCTGTCAAATCGAGTCAGCATCACGACGGGAAGAGGCAAAGACGAAGAGACTCACTTCAAACTGCGGGGACAGCGTGGGTGAGGGGAAGGCTGATGTCGTCGTCCACCTGTATAGAATACGTTAGCCTGATGAGGTTGGGATAGGACTCGCCTGCGCTAATGCCCCACAGCTCACAACGCCCCAGCTCCGACTGCAGATCACGGCAGATGACGTCCGGCAGAGGTGCCCCGGAATGCGGGTGCGGGTGCGGACGCGCCGAAAGGGGGTTGCTTCTAGTCCGCTTACCGCTGCACACTCAGTACCTTGACCGTCGCCTGGTGTCGCGTGGCGCATGAGGGAGAGGTCGGGGGCTTCCGAATAAAAATGAGTATAGTAGTAGACGAAGAACGAAGACGACGACATACCATCTCAAGGCAGCAGTCCGCTGACGACGCGACGCCGTTCCGCGACTTCCATGTAGAACAGTCGGCGGTGGCGCGTACGTCGTCTACCCGTGACGGTTTACGAGTCACGTTCCAGGTTACGGCGTCCGTCCTTTCCCTCCCACCCCCGTGAAGGCGGAGAGGTACTCGTCCCGGGTGCACTCCGACTTACGCGCGTTGTCAGGAAAGACGTTGCAGCCGCGGAGCACCGACGCCTGGGCGCAATCACCCGCTCGACCCATGTTGGCAGCCACACCACACTGTAGAGGTGAGCCGCCACGGTGAACAGGCTAGATGGCCGCTATTGCCCGGGATGGCACGCATCGAACCTAACCACCACAACAGTCAAGATGTGGCGCAGAACAAAGAGGGACGTGAAAGACTCACAATTGACGTCGAGCGCACCGGGTCTCCGACACTGTGAGCGGTAGATGGCGATGAGAAAGGATTGAACGGCAAGGTGAGCGAGGAGAATACCCGTGGTCGTCGGGACCCATGCTAATCACCGTCGGTAGGCTGCGAGGCCTGAGAGAGAAGGCACCGAGCGTGGAGAGCAACCATGCTGGCGGCGGGGGGGAGATGTTGGTGGGTAGGAGAAGAGACGGTGGTGGTTGTGAGGAAGGAGGGAAGGGACGGAATAGCGGCTTTATGTACCATACTGGGCGCTCTGTGGCGGACTGCGCTGAATTGTTTGTTTTGTGCCAACCTCGAGGCTGACACGGCTAGCCGCGATTGTTCGCATCCGAAAACATAGCATTCGCCCGAAAGGGCGAAGCATGGAGCTCCCGGAGACTGACTCCAGCTGATCGATCGTCTGTCTCCTGCCCGAATGGTCGATGATTCAATCCCAGCTCGTTCTTCTCGCTTCAGAAGACGACGGCGCTGAGAAACCGCCAGCGAAACAGAAGTCCGCTTTGCGATAATCGATCTGAGGGTCACTGATGCTAGGCGTGCCTGCTCAGTGGGCGGTGCCCCGACTGTGTCTTCCCTAGGAAGGGTGAGATACAGCAGAGTGCGTCATTCTATACAGTACTCACCTTGGTGATTCATGTGAGCCTCGTTCGAGCTGACAGGCTAATGAGCAAAACTGATCGGTCAACTGGGGCTCATGGGTGCCTCTTTCCGCGATCTCCTGTATTTACTGCTATTTGCCAATGTGGGCGATCTCATCCCACGCCTGTCTGCTGACTCGGAATCGAATATTTAATAGGGGTGGTGTATCGATCTTCATTTTTATCCGTCCTCATCGCCATTCTGCGGAGAATTAGTCCCAGTTGGTCAGTACCTCCCATTCGGCGGTCGACGAAATACGTTCAACAGTCACCTTGCTCTCGTCTACGAAGATTCAACGACTTCGCCTGACGCGCATCCCACAAAGAAATCGGAAGCCTCAAGCGCGGTTTCCCACTATCCTTGACGATGCTGTCGGGGATACACGCCTTGCGAATTTTTGTGCGCCCGTGTAAGGACGACTTGGCGAAGATCGCGTACAACGCGCCCATGGTACTCAGGATGGGTCATGTGCGCACCGGTCAAAGCATGACAAACTCAGTAAGAGGAGCAAACCTTCACACCAGCTCGTCAACCTGTACCCTCGCCATGTGTCAGCACCCGTAGTTGAGCTCTTGAACTGACTTAAACCGACAGCGCGGAGCCACACCGCTCGCTGGGATAGCCGCTTCTGTTATGCTACATCTGTATATAAAGGGCAGCGAGATCGACGAAGATGTTTTTAGATAGAGCCTTCCCAGAACCGCATTCTGCTGAAACGAGCGCTGCGTGTCCATGAAGCATATTGTCGGCCATCCAGGCCCTTCGCCGGACTTTGAAATCGAGCATTGAGATGAGATGTCGGGTACCCCAGCTACTAGCGCTGCACCAGAAGTGCAAATAGTGAAATCATGCAACAGAAGTGCAAATTAAGGCGCTATTCATCAGATCCCCATCAAATGACCGGATCCTTTTTGTGTCGTGTGCGTATGAAGCTTCTCAATAGTATCGTAAAAGAATTGGAAAAAACGGTCTTGAGGTTGTCAAGATATTTGACTATTAGTTGGAAAGATGAGGGGCTTCACGACATCAATGCCCTCGGCTCACTGTTCTTGCAGTCTGATTCTCTCCAAGGTTCAATATGTGTTCGTAAAGTGCAAGAAGAACTTGCGTCTATTTTTCCGAGGCTATAGGAGCAATAGGTGGGCCTAGAGAGCTGAACGAGTTCGTAGCCACCTTCGGGCTGTCGGAGCTCCAAAAGGACCCGATCTCAGTCTAGCCGGGATAGCGGAGGTGTGTGTCTTGTCCCAGCGGGGTTACAAAATGCCGCCGATTGCCGTTCGACCGCCCGTGACGCCGCCGTTACTCAGACGCTCCAACTAGTTGCATTACTGTTGCACTCAATCTTCTCCCTCGGGTCTCCCAATCGCTCCGTTCTTGAAGCTCGAAAAACTGTAGGTGATAGGTGAGATGTCACAGAATGTACTTATGAAGATCCGGGAGTACAATCTCGAGTGACTCGGGAGATTTGTGAGTAAGAGCGCGGATTTTGCACTTCTGGTGCAGCGCTAGTACTTGGAACGCTCTGGAAGGAAAGAGCTCAGTACTTGTCCGCAAGCGATCATTGGGTATACGAAATATACAGTCGACACTTCCTCCTAACCCATACCCCTGGTAACCCATAATCTCCAATAACCCATAGGATTTTGGCTTTCCCAAGTCGGGATAGGGGGAATTCGACCCCATAACCCATAGGCCCCCAATACCCAATAACCCATGGCCTTCTAGGGCCCAAAACCCATACGGTAATGGGGCTGGCATGGATATTTTGCTCATCGTTAACCTTCATAATACTCAATGCATGCTTCCAAGTGTCCTCCAAGTGTCCATCCATGCTTCGACCACGTTGATGGTAGGTTAGTGAGTTCGAAAACCCATAGCGGTCTCTCAAAGGTTCGGTTGACGCCTGTTCAGCTCTTGCTAACTGGGACTTATCGGGGGCGCGCTTAAGTGGCGCTTAGGGGCGCTTGAGTCCTCGTAGCCCATGACCCCTCAAAACCCATACATTTGGGCCTGTCCCGAGGGCTATGGGTTAAGAGGGTGTCGATTGTATTATGTCAAGATAGAGGATCTGAGACACTTACGATGAGCCTCGGGGCTATGGTGATCGCAAAAGTCAGAGGTGGAAGCGCCGGTTCCTACCGCCGCAGCGCGTCTGAGTACACCGCCTCCGTTGCGGGCGTTGTTCTTCTACTAAGTATCATGACGCCCTCCACGTCCAGGGCCACGTAGTCATATAAGAACGCAAGGCTTCGTTTGCATCTCACATAAAGTCATCCGCAGCGACCGAAAATACCAGTGGACACATCGCCATGCTCATTTTTACGTCGCCCGACATCGTCAACGGCAGCTTCGTGCTCGCCGTCGCCCGCAAGAGTCCTGGCACCTACCTTGTCGTTCTTGCTCGCGCATACGGCATGGCTGCCACTCACCTATACACTGTCCTCAACAGCTCTACACCGCGGTCGACCGTACCTCCTCTCTCTTCTGCCGGCCGCCCCCTGATCTGGCTCGACGCAGACCTCGACCGTCACCCGGCACAGCTCGGACCCCCAAACGGCGTTCTGGCCGCTCTGCGCGCCGCAGACTCGGAGATCATACGACCCACGGGGCGCACGCAACGCATGCACGCGGAGCTAGGCGGGGAGCGTGACGCGCACGAAGTTGAGCTCATACTTGACGAGGACCAGCTCGCGCGTTGCTGCTGGTACTGCGACGCGCTCGAACTCGATTCAGATGTCCGCGATAACTATAGGTTCCCTCTCTGTGGCGAAGAAGGCTATACAAGCACCTACATGTGCCAGACGGTACGACCTCCGTTCACGCTGAAGTATCGACCTAACTTGTGATCCTTGTCAGTGCGCCCAGAAATCAGCGTTCGCCAGAGCCATCTCCAGCTTCTTGCGCTCGCTCTCATAATTATACAGTTATGGTTTCTGTACTCTATCGGTTATCATGGCTGTTTGTGGTGCTACCACGGCTTTCCATTGACAACGTCCGCGCTTCCTCGCTGGCGTGAATACAAGTACAGCATTACACGGATCTGGCAAACCATGTGCGGTATATTATAATGCAGTGTGCATTACCGTCTGCGACCACCCGCATCGTCAATTGGGAGAAGCCCTTGAATATAGGTCACCACTCTGCACACCTCGATGGTACTAGTTTGCTCAAGCCCCTTACCATCCCCATACAGTATGGGAGGGACGTAACGTTTCAAGGCAAGGTGGTCTAAAATCGTTTGCCATCAGTGCTCGCTGTTGGTCCGTGCTCATGCATCTGTTACTTCTAACGCATGTCTAGACGTAGTCTATCGATTCACACATTCTAGTTCGATCTATGTTCATTCATGCGGTCCATCGTGCGTCGACAGAGGCTCTCTTAGCTCTTCTCAGCCTGGTGCGGCAAAGGTGCTGCAATGGGATCCGCTGAGACCCGTGATGCCCAACTAGAAAGTCGTATCGATCACATATACATCATGGCATTCGCTTTCCATACAGAGATTTTACAAAGAACCACTCGACTCATATACTGCTACGCCGGTGCAAGATAAGGCCGTAGACAGAGGAACCAACAACACACGACCTTCGACTGATTTTAATGACCATCTCAACCCTCACCGTCGCAGCGCTGTGAGAGCGCGCCGTTGTAACGGCCTAACTTGACTAGGGGTCGGCCATGAGGACCACCGCGTCCTTAGAGGCTGATGGGCACGCAGCCGATGGAAATGAGGCCGCCCTGCATGCAGTTGAACATGAGTATGCTCCCACCCGCGGACGTTGACAACGGAATGAACTGACGTAGGCGTTATCCTCACAGCAGACCACGTTGCTGGAGCAGTCGCCTCCACCGACGCCGATGACAGTGAGCGGGGAGCAACTTAACCCAACAAGGACGTCGACACCCTCGACGACAACGCCGAGCAAGCCTAGGATCGCTGCTGCGTCCGGGTCCGTAGCCTGTCATGGGCACAAGTCAATCACAAAGGAAAATATAAATCGCATCTCTGGAGGACGCTTACAGCTTCGGTGGAGTCGCAGCACTGGATGGAACCGGTGGTGCAAGCCGAGGTCGGCTCGGGACCCGAAGCGGTCTGGGTGATGGTGACCGTCGTGGGCGAGGGAGGGGGGCTACCTCCGGGCATGGCGACCGCAAGGATAGAGAGGGAGAGTACGACGTAAGAGTAAGCGATGGGGCTGGCGAACATTTCGACTGGAGTGTTGTTGCTGAGTGCTGAGACGAGTAGCTGTGAAATGCCTGAGGGACTGTTTCGAGCTGAGGAGACAATACTGGGGTCTGAGCTCCTTTTATATGTAACCGGAGGAATGTCTCACATGCTCAGAAACGGTGTGAGTTTAAGGTTGGTTTGCGCACTCTGAAATCTCGTCTTTAGAGAGGAAAACATGAGCAGACGCTGTAGGCGACAGTATAGATCGCCTGCCAGTGCGCGCCCAACCCAAGCGATCCAATGGACCCAGACCGATTAGGGTGGGTGCGACGTCGCCAGCACCCTGTCTACCCGAAACGATCTCCGCGTGGGTGTGCGTCATACCCCATGCTGTTCGTCTGGGTCGAGTAAGATCAGCCACCTTGTTTCCCTATACATTCGGGATGCAGCTACACACTGCGAGAGACGTTCCGGCTTCTTCCTTGGGGTTCGCCGAGTCGAAGCTCAAGGCTTGCCTTGGCGACCTTTGATGGTAAAGTTACTATCGGCCACTGTACAGGACTCATGACATCGCTGGTACAAACGCATGTATCGCAACATAACAAGACATGTCGAGCCATCTCAGGGGAGCCCCTCGGTACATGACCGGGCATCGCCAACTCGGGCGACAAACCAAAGCCGTGGAGCCAAAGACGATTCACCGAGCATTTGCGCCGCTTAGCCTCCGTTTGAAAACTGGCCAAAGCAATGGACGGGATGCGGTCGAGATCCGGGGGAGACCAGAAGACAGCAGTCGTCAGGAGAGTGCCCGCATTCACGCCGCGGGAACATGCGTAGGTGGAGCCAGTGACAGTGGTGAGAGCATCACAAGAGCACGATGTGTCGTGAACACGTACTGTGCGAGCAGGAAAAAACCTTAAGCATGCAAGAGCATCATTGGAATCAAGACGAAAGAGTAGGTTTGAACTTCTCAGCGGCAGGCCAGGCTTCCCGACGTCGCTTGTTGCTGGGCGCCTTTCCTTTAACATTATGATGTGGATAAATGCCTTGCAGGGCGTCACGCATGACACTCAATTCAATCTCTTGGACTCGGGGCTCAAGTTGCTCGCTGCCGTCTCTTGTGTAGACGTAATGAAGCTCCATGATGGTCTTATTCAGTTCTTCAAGCTCCCAGTATTGGTTTCCCGTTTCTCTCTCAACATTGCGCAGTGCCTCCAGCAGCACCGAGCATTCGGCTTCGCACCAATCTCTTTGAGGAGTTCCCTTTGTACCATAGCCTAGTAATGCTATATATGCCTGGAATGCTTGACGTAGCCTTTGTGGCGTGGACATTACGAGCCCTTCTGAAGTGGCAGTGCTCAATCACCTTCACAGTCTCATCCAGGGCAGCTCTGAGAGAAGTATTAATCGGCCTTTGGCTCAACCTGGGCAACGCATGCGTCCATACTCATGAGCTGTAGCTTGGAAGTTGACATTGGATCCAACGTGAAACACCGAAGCAAAGGGTTTCTACCGACGGAAATTTCGTGAAGAGGGAACTCACGGGGTGAAGGGTGTCAAGGGCGGCCTTTCCGGACAAAAGCTGTTCACGCCAAGACAGGGTAGGCAGATATCTCTGCAGTTCGTTCCAAGGCTATATGGGACGTAGCACAATGGGCCAATGCCACCCATAGAACTATGCGCTGGTCCGCATGCCGAAAGAACTACCTAGCGCGGTGGTTCGTCATCGTTCGTGTAGTAGCTTCGTCGAGCACCTGAACTTGAAACATCGGCACGCCCATCGTTCAACTTGAAGACCTATGATCTTGTTGCGAGCAGACCGCCTTCGGCAGCCTGCGTCTTGGAGCCGATGACACATGTCAGCACTCACCTTAATCTCCGCGTTTTTTGATATCCCGACCATCGTAGGGAATGCTCAAGTATTCCTCCTCATCAATCTGGTGTTCCGGTCGCAAGAACTGGGATTCGAACGCCTTCTGAATTGTGAGTATTTGATGGTCATGGTCACCTTATACAGGCCGTGAGTAGCGCTAACGCATGTCGCTCTGATGATGGGGCATGGCGTCGGACATCAGTCTAGTACACCAGTGCGGATCTCCTATAGCTGCGTGCTTGAGTCTCGTTGACGCGTACTCGAAGTTTTCGGTGACCGAACGAACCGCTGAGTGATGCACACCTTATAGGCCCTTATGCATTGTATGGTAGTGAGGTAGCTCGGAGATGCGTGGACGTACCATCGTAAGTTACGTCCCTTGGGACAGAGCTCCCGTGCCGCCCGACCGAGTCAGGCGCGTCTAAATAATCTTTACCTCATTCAGTCTTTAGTGCGTTCCGAAGATCATGTTGCCCCTCGCGCGTTGGTGTGAGTCGGGTATGCGGTGCGAGACCTGGGTGCGAAATCTGGAGACGCGCCGTAAAAAACGGCAGCATTTGAATGCCAACTTACTCGTCGGAGGACACATGACACAGTGCGTGCGTCTAGGGCCGTATAGCGGATGGGCCAATGTCAACGGGGTGATGCGCCGATCTCCAACCCCGAGATGTGACAGAACCCAATGATGTGGAAGCACGGACCTGACAACACACCGCCGCTCTCCGTGTCCCTAACTGTCATGAAGTGTCATTCGACTGAATGTGATCTTCGAGAAAGATGGTATCACTTGCGTCATGATCCTTGTCCTGGGAAGACAACATATTGTGTTCAGTCGGAGCTCTATACGGCAAGTACGCGACTGCCGACTGCCTGGACCGATGTCGAAAGACAATTCAACAAGGGCAGTTGACACAACAATGACAGCAGGAATGGACGGCAGAGCCGTCATGCGACTTCCGGTGCGTCTCAATCCAGGCACTGCAACCACAATGCGCTCAGGCTCGAACGCCGTCGCTGCATTCGACCGCCTCTCAGCGCTAGACCGGTGAGTTCTCGTCATGATGCACGGGTAGGTGGGACATCTGACGCAGAACGAAATAGTTCCAAGAGCCCAGAAATGAATTTGCATTCGCCATGACGGGAATTGCAGACCCCGAGGGTAGATCACCAAGTGCAGAGGCCTCGGCTTCGAAGGCTGTGTATCCGTCGTCATGACCTATAGGGCGGGAGCAAGGGTGGGCCGAATCATCTACCATACAGACATGAGTTCTCCTGTTAGTAGTAGCGTAAAGCACCAGTCTCGACATGCATGGGACACTTACGGTGACCTTTGTTTCGACTTGTAGGGCGACTTCGAGGTACGACAGGGCTGAGTATCCAGCGAGAACGACCTAAGGCCTGACGTTTAAGGTCTATACTAGTATCCAGCATCCTTGCAACTCGAACTCACATTTCGTATCACAAGCCTGCGCTCGCGCCTCAACGCCTTCGCCTTCGTTGCTCTCCCCATCCTTACGCCCGCCACCCCCCTGGAGAGAAGCACAGAGACCGCCAGATCCTGCTGTGCAACTACAATGCTGTCGGGGATGTCAGTGCGTCCCATATCAATATGTTGAATATCATTTGCAATAGATAGCTAGGCTCACGTCGGAATGTCACGCCCTCTATATCCAAGGAGCTTGGTATACTCCTTGTCGTCGTTCAAAAGATCGACACGCTCATTGGTCTCACCTGTAGCACAATTATTGTCGTCAGCGTGAGCAGCAGTGGATCCCGCTCAGCCAACGCTGTGTGCCGCGAGGAGAATAGCCACATCGATACATGTGTTCGCTGTCATGTGCAGACCGTGACATACGCATACATTTTCCCTTTTGCACAGGATGGAACTGACTGCCTCGGCTGCGTGCCTGTCGACCTCTGATCGAGACATCTCCTGATCAGCAGAGCACAGAAAGCTCGAACCGGTTCAAGCGACCATGTTCTCAAGCATTGCCATAGTGTGATTGGTTTCGTCTTTCAGTGCTTTTGAATTATCCTGCCGAGAGTAGTTTTGGACCGTACAGCGCGATTCCCTGGAATGTCCCATCGTTCAACGCCGTATCCTAAGCGCGAGATGATAAGACACATGGTAGGTCCTGATCAGCTCAAATTCTTGAAGATTGCATGTGCGAACACCAAAAATTCTGTATAAATAGAAGAGCTTACCCAGATATTAGAGGCTGTTGGGACCGTAGGGCGAATTCCAGCGCAAGCCGGGCTAGGACAGGTACAGCCGTGCAGCTGGTACGATGTCTAGATGGATCCGATGTTAGGTTGCTAGCTCAATACTCGAAGAGCGGAAATCTTTCTACCAGTGGGACCCAATGCGGAGCAGAGCAGAAGCTGGAGACAAGATAGAAAAACAGAGAAGGCGGCGACTCGGACTCGAGGGCGGCGAGGCCAGGTGAGAAGAGAAGTCAGATGCGAGTCAGCTACACCAGCACCAATATTCCAGCTATCAGAGTATTCCATGACGTATCTCCTAGGTGAACAAAGCGTTTCGAGGGAGTCCTAGCCTATGCAGGTCGCCTAGTATCACTACTACTGAAATGGAGAAGCGTTGAGCAGGCCGCGGCCATGAGCTTTCAGATTCAGGCGCCTATGGTGTTCTACTACGTACTTCGCCTATAGCTATGTCCACCGCATGTCTACCGCTCCTTCCACCCTCTTTGCTTTGTCGTCTTCACACTCAACTTCCAGAAGACCTCACCTACAGTCCCTGTACCTTGCGTTGCATCCCTTGGGGTAATTTGCATTCAGACTTGTTGGAGAAAATGGGGAGGGATAGCAGATGGTGCTAGTCAGGCTAAGGTATGCCTCATATTCTGACCGACTATGATGCTATAGGGGAGTGCAGGGGATTCCCCTCGTTGATACGTGTATAGGACGAGGAGAAGATATACCACGTCGGCTGCTTCATCATTCTGCATGCTGCTGTCGATACATGGCACATCTAAGACCACTTTCCCCCAGCCCTCGCCTCTGGTCATGTGTACTGCCAAGGGTCATGTTGTTCAGCTAAGACGTCGTTGGGGTGAGTACGATTCATCCAGAGTATGAACTTCGGATAATAACGCGGTAGCCACATCGAATGCATACAGTGCTGCCGGTAGGCTGTATGCCGTTCACGAATGCTCACGTACGTGCGTCTCTGATTCGCTTCCTTTCACCCTCGACCATCTCTATCTCTTATACGGCACGTCCTGTATCCTCTCTCACCCCTGCTCCTCTGCAATATGAGCTATCTGCCTTCCATTGGCGATCAGCCAACCATCCCCCTTCCGATAGAGATATACGAGCAAATCATCGACTCCGTCGGCATTGGCGTGGGCGCAAGAGATTATGTGGTTTCTGTGGCCCGTGCCACACTTTGCAGCTGTTGTCTGACATGCCAAGCTTGGCTGCCCCGAAGCAGAGCTCTGTTGTACAAGTCCATCACACTCAAAGCTCCTCGTCCATCCGATCTCCAAATCAGCTTCCAAAAGCTCGTCCGCACGATACTCGATTCCCCTCTCATCGCTGCGCTCGTCGAGAACATCACTCTCTCGGAACTCTCCGCCTCCAAGTCCGGTGTTGCATCTGTACTTCCTATCCTGCTGATAGGCAGGTTACCCCACCTGCGCACGTTCACCATACACGAAACCACTCTCGTCGTCTCCCCTGGCTTCTGTAGCTCTATTTCAAGCTTTCCCGCACTCGAAACGTTGAAATTGGCCACAGTGATGTTCCCGAACATCTCTGCGTTCCGGAGGCTGCTCACCGCACTGCCGAGGTTGCGCGATCTCACGCTGGACAATGTGTTTTGGCAGACGGTCGGTGCAGTGCCCGAGACGATGATTCAATACATTGGAAGCATGCCTCCCATTCGTCGGCTTTCTGTGATTGGCGGTCAGGTATGTGTCGTTGCAGTGAAGAATGCGCGTTGGGCTTACACCGTCGCTAGGTTGTTGGCCCTGCCACATGGGCAGTGCTCGAGCTACTCGCCCCCTACTTGGAACAGCTGATATTCTCCGACTGGAACCAGGACAAGCTTCTCGGTAAGTTGGTTGTTGCCCTTATGATATAATATCAAGCTCACCCACCGTACACTCATCCTTTGGGGGATCAGCTCCAAATAAGGAAGAGAACATGCTGCAATTCCCTCGTCTCGTCTCCCTTACCTTCCGAGCTCATCCGCGACCTCTGGCACGTGGGTTCAGCGACTTCCTATCGAAGGCGGAGGCACAACAGCTGCGCGTCATCAACCTCATCAACCGGATGATGCTCAAGAGTACGTCGGACCTCCCCACAATGTCGCGGCGATTACTCAGGAATAGCCCTCTGTTTGAGCGTGTCGTCACTCAAGCTCGACTTCCAGCCCTAGAGGCTGTCAATATGGTGGTGGAGGTGTGGGACCTCAGCGGACGTATTGTCGAGGAACTGGAACAGCGAATGCCTACGATCGCCGAGGAATGTCGGGAGAAGCTCGGTGTCCTCCACAGACGCGGCATTCTAAGAGTTATCGGGGTCAACTTAGGTAAGTGGATCGCTGTCATCGGTCCTGGTACTGTTGATGACCTCAGTCCCCAGTCGACGACAAGATCAACGCGTCCTGGTTCTGGCTAGGCCCGTCTAGGTCCTTGCCATCGCAGTACTCCTGCATCTGGCAGTATGGAGTGCCTCTTTTGGATGCTATCACGATCGTCCTTGGGAGCAATACCTTATAATCAGTGTCAAGCAAGCATTCGTGATCAGAACGAAACCGAAATGAAGTCGCTAGACCGTGTGACAGCTCCAATTATTCTACACTCTCCAAATCCCTCCTACTCTTCGCCTTCGGTGCTAGGTCTGTAGGAGGCGCCATTGACGGGTTGTACATACGTCCTAGTTCCGAATTTGAAACATAACGGTGCAGGTGCTCTAGAGTGATAAGACAGGTCTCTGCTGGAAGAACACAGAAGTGCGAACGACACAGTTCAACGCGAGAATGGGGAACGTAAGTATCTGCGCCCGGGTGGTTTAGGCTTGCATAGCCCGGGAGTGAAAACAGGGGTTTGGTGAATGTACAGTATAGTGATCTCCAGATCGTTGAAACGGGAGCCCTGCTTCAGGTGGAACGGTCTTGGCGGGTTTCGAGCCGAGAGAACCTGCTGTGGACGCGCGACCGCGAAATACAACAGACTGTCTCGGCGCTGCAGCAGTGCAGCTTGCTCGCTGGCAGGTGTTCTCAAGACCGCGCGAGCGACCAAGCGCAAACACCCATCACGCTCAGCAAGAATGTGCGCAAGGCTGCCGCCCAATTTGGCGTCCGCTTTTTCCACACACGCTTTTAGTGCATCATAGCTGCGCATCACGCAAGTGGCACGCCAAAGCATGAAATGCCAAGTAATGGATTGGGTACTCGACATTTGCAACACACATACTCATACACAACCGTAGTCTTGCAGCACGAGCGAGATCAACCGCCCGACCGCCCACAATGCCGATCCACCAGTATAGGCCAAGTTCCTGAAAGACACCATCTACGCGAGGACCTCGACGGCGGGGCCCTCAGCAGCACGACGAGCAATGCGAGCAGCGCGGGTGCCCTATGAAGCACGTCAGCACGGACTCCCAGTGACGCATGACAGAACGAGAAAATACGTACGACGGGCTTGATCTTGCGCTGGGAGTCGACGAACTGCTTGATCTTCTGCGCCTTGGTCTGCGCCTGGTTGGCCTGAGCGGCGGCAGTGCCGTTGCCAGCCTGAGCAGCAGCAGTACCGTTGTTGGCCTGCGCTCCCTTGGCACCGGCGGCACCTGCAGCGCCTTTCGCGCCAGCAGCACCCGCAGCGCCCTTGTGGTGGTGGTGCTTCTTGCCAGTGGTGGTGGTAGTGGTGGAGGTCGAGGTGGCAGCAGCGTCAGTGGTTGAGGCCGCAGCGGCGGAGCTAGCAGCAGCGGTGTCGGTGGCCACAGAGGTAGCGGCCGCGTCCGTCGCGGTGCTGTTGCCAGCGGCGGCGCCCGTGCCAGCGGCATTGTTTCCTGCACCGGTGGCCGCGCCGGCGGCCTGGTCGACGACGACGCAGTTGCCGAAGCCTCCAGCGGTAGTGAAGGAGACGAGGCACTTGCTCTTGGACGCGCCGCCCGAGCAGGTCGTGCCCGCGGGGATCTGGACAACGAGCTGCTGCGAGCCCGTGCTGGTGGGGTTCTAGCGAAGATAAATACGGTGAGCGGCCTGATGAAGAAATCAGACGGGTGGGTCACATACCTTGTCTCCGTTCTGAAGGACCTCGGCGTTGACGAAGTTCTTGCCCGTGCCGTCGGCGTTGATGGTAGCGGTCACTTGACGCGAGCCATCGACACCACTGTTGGTAGATGGCTAATGAAAACATGTACGGCAATGAGGTGTATAGACGATACGCACGCATTGAAGTTGGTGATGGTGGCGGCGAAACTGCCGTTGGCAGCAGCCGTCACAGCAGTAGAGGTGTCGATCCCGGTGAGGGCAGCGTTACCGCAAGGTTTCGCGGTGGAGGGACGCTGCACATCGTTGCGAACGGGAGTACCTTTGACGTCGAGGGCAGGGGCAATAGCGGCATGCGCATGGGCTTGGAGAGAAAGGCTCAAGCAGAGCGCAGCGGTAGCAATGAAGCTCTTGGAGAAGAACATAGTGCCAGACTTCTTGGAAAGTTGAAGGAAAGTGTGTGAAAGGAACAGCCGAGGAACCTAAGATGTACGACCAGAAGAACAAGACCAAGTGAAGACTACGGTTGTGAAGAGGATCCGGCCTCAGTGTGTTGCAAGACTAGGTGCAAGTGGGGAACAGCGTCTTGAGAGCCCGAGTATTTAAGAGATCGGGGGCGACGGCTATTGTCATCGGCAAAGCCAAAGACGGGAGTTGATCCATCATCATTCGGGGGCGTGTTAGGGTTTTGGCGAGATTGTGCATAGCCGGAGCTTCTGACCAGAAAGAATGTGACCGTTGCCATGGACTCGGATAGCTCCCTACAGCGCTCTTCAAAGCGATATGCGAGCCCGATCTGCCACAAGAGCACTGAGAACTTGGAACTTCCCTGCTCAATGGCCCAGTTCCAGAGCGTCAGACGACACGAATGTGTTCGAAATTGCTAATCGGCTTGAGCATGTTCTGTTCATGAGGGCCTATCGTTTTGAAAAGCGCTGTGAAACGCACGACGTTGAGGCACGAGGACGAGCGGGAGAACGATGGCGAGACGCAGGAACAACGTGGACTCAGCCGCGCGCGAGCGGAGCTTCGGATTGGACGCGGATTGGACGCGTTTTCCACGCAAGGCACATGAGCGATTTTGTTCGACCAATAGATGATTGCGAAGCTGCCGAGGCATTGCGAGCTTTGATAAATCGCTCCACAAATGCACGGTTGAGACTCGCCTTTGTCGCTATGACAGCCTCTGTGAAGACGACGGCTTATACACGTACGATTAGCATTGGCGAGTAATGTCCGTGGGCCGTTGGCACCCCATAGAGCGGAACCCCAATTGTGCAAGTTGCATGGGGAGAGGACAATGCGCCCGGGTGACAGTGTCGTCTCGTGGCTCCTCGGAATGGAGGAAGCGCCAGCCCGACGACCCTTTTTGTCCATCATGCATCATGTCTTCATGTCTGATGAACGTCCGTGCTGCATCCCCACCACCGTAAACCATGTACCGTTTCACTGGAACATCGCTAGACTTGTAGGTCCACGGAACCGCTGTGCTGGAGAACCTATCGTAATCGAGAAGCCCCGACAGACCGGTTCCCCACCAACTCCTGAAGCCAGTGCGAACCCGTACCATAGCCTCGGAAGACGCTTCGACTGAACGTTATCCGCAGCAGTTCGTGGATCGTTTCGCACTTCACCATCTACCCATCAGATTTGGCCACACTGCAAAGGGGCTGAGCGGTGAACCTGTATAGATGCGTAGTACGGTTTGACCTGGGTGATACAGTAAGGAACTTCACGGTGAGCGATCAGCGACATCTCGCCATCTTGTAAATATCTGTTTCAGACCACCATTGGATAACTGGTCAAAGGCTACGGTGGAACACGATGCCGAATATCTCTATGGACCCCGATCCTGAAGTCGCAGTACGACGACGGCGACAACAGTCTGCAAGAAGAGAAGTCGATTATAGCTGGTTACCGACCACTCAACATCATGCCGCAGGCGCTGCGTATCAGCACCAGGAAGAACGTCCGGTGGGCTTGGTCAGGGCTTGACTTCCCTCGTATCGCAATCTCTACCAGTATCCACCCTATGACCCAGAGCTGTCAAACGCCATCCCAGAACCCTCATGTATAGAATACTATAGGGGCCACGCGATGCCCATTGCTTCACTGGAATCTGCTTCTCCGCTCAATGACAACCCTAGCCTTCTGACAACCTGGAGCCTCCTGCCTACGCAATCCCTTTGCACGTCAAAGCTTTCCCAGCGTGATAGCAACACAGTCAATTTCCTCTACCATCTGTCCATTGTCGATTTCGACAGACTACGCCGTAGTACACGCTGCGCCACTATTATTCATCGTCGATGTCGCGAGAGCGTTCGCCCAGATAGAGAACAAGGGCTGGTTGATCCGCCTACGGGTGATCTCCAATGAGCGCATCAAACAGGGATCAGACATCAGGATGCTGAGCAAGATGCCGATTTACGGGTGGGGAATGACGCATTGGGAAATGATAGTGCAGCGCCCAAGTACCGGCTGGTTACAGCCTGTTGCATTTTGGTGCGGAGAAGACAAGATCGTCCGGTACGTATATGGTCCTTGTTATTTGTGACTTGACAACATGGTCCGAGGTCCGAGGAGTGTTGCGGATACTTGAGCAATCGAGACCGTGGCAACATATGCAGGCGATACGACAACGTGAAATCGTATTGTACATGCGGCCTGCGGTCAGCAAGGTGCTCCCAACGGATTCCCGGACATTTGAGATGATCGTGCCCTAATCCCTCGAGCGAGCACTGTGGTCGTGCCGTAGATCCTCGGTAGCAAAGGTAAAAATAGCTAATCTGAACGGCTATTCAGTCCTGCACCTCGACGTGGACAAGACAAGCGTACCTACAGGCCATCATGCCCGAACAGGAGATGAAATCGCGCTCGCCATCTCCTCACGCAGCTTCCGGAGTTCAGTCGGCGCTAGGGTGCTGGAGACGAACCGCAATTTCTCATGAGCTTCAAGGCCCGGGACTTCGATCATGTGTTCCGCGCCGGCTTGCATCTTGCCATCGAAGCCCGAGTCCAGCCCGAGCCATTCACCACTAAGCTCCGCCTGCGTACTCGGCAGCCCGCTGCTACTGGCGCGTGCGGCCTGCTGGAACCCCCTCACGAAGGCATCATTTTGGTGCTCGTCTGAGGGCAGCTTCGGAGGTTTCCCATGTCTGCCGGGCTTGCATATCTCCTTGTGCTTTGGCCAATCCTGGAAGATGAGGTAGATGATCATGGCAAGTGGTACGCCGATGTCTAGAGCGCACCCTTCTTTGGCACTCTTTGCTGCAGTAGTGCGGCTTGAGGTCCGGTGGACATCTTCCCGAGCACGCCTTGAGGGCAGCCTTGTGCAGTCCTTCTACCTTACACCCCTCCGCAGCGCAAATATACGCGTTCGCCTCCTTAGCCAACTTTGCCTGACGCCGTCGCTGTTCAGCGAGCACTTCATCCTCCCGCTTTTTCACCGCATCCCAGAGCGGTTTAAATCTCGGCGACGTCTTGGTGACGTCAATACCAAGCTTCTCCATGACATCCTTGACTCCTAACCCTACGACGAGGACTGCCGGACTGACGAGTCCCAGACAGACGCTATAGTTCGCGTGCACCGCCGCGAAGACGAGGGACGCGTATGGTGACAAGCCAACAGGGCGCTCAAAGCGGCGAGCTTGCGAATCGATATATGCGCGAGTTTCTGGGTCGATAGTGCACCAATCTTTCCAGTACGCGTAGGCGGCCGTAGAATGGCCTATTGCGAGTAGATCGTCGGCCGTGTTGTGCGCCATTTCGACTGTCAGCGTCTCCAGCACAAACAGAGCGCCTTGTAAATTCACTTCATGGACGCCGCACCCACTCAGATATCTAACAAGTATGAAGCGATGAGTATGTTCAAGACTGATAATCCACGGATTGAGGAATGATTCACCAACCTGAACCCTGTTTCTAGGAACGCTTCCGGGTCGCCGGCGTCGCGGCGTTGTCCAAGTATGGGAGCTTGGGTCTCCGTGAGATAAAGAGAGCATTGCCTCAGATGTTCCCCCATATCTGGCCGTTTATTGTGGTTGAAGGAGCAGTTGAACTTGACGGACGCGTATTCGGTCATCTTGTCATAAATGACATGATCGTTACCGAACTCATGGATGTCCACGTGGACAGTTCGTTGAGGAGAGCTCTGCGAAGGCATCTCAGCTCACTTTGAGACGAAACATGAGTATGTACGCGCTTGGTGCAAGACATGACGCATCACTCGCCTTTCGTCGGATGGTAGAAGTACGAGGATAGGAGGCTGATATGTATGAAGCGCTCGTATGCCCCCAAACCGGGCATGGCCGAGGTGGGAATACCGTTATAGGTTAAGCGGGTGTGTTCAACCCGACTGTCGCATCCAATAGATAGTATGCGAGGTAGTAGCCTCGACCACGGAATGTCGGATGGAAGACAAGCACGTTGAGCACATTACACAAAGTTTTACGTAGGATAACCCTTATCATTCACAGCCCAGCAATAGTGTCCACATCCAGCAGCACAAGTTCGGCCTAGCACCGCATTCGACGAAGACACCACCACATCTTTTCCACTCTCCCAGCTTCCAGCAGTCCCATTGCCATCCCCTTGAGCGCTCGCACCATCGTCCGACTCCCCGTCTCCTGTGTACGTCGAATTTGTTCGGGACAACGCGCGACCGCGAGAATGGCCGGTCTCCGGACTCCTACCCATGCGCATAGACGGCGGGAGTGGAGGTGGGGTGATCTCATCTGGCGGTCGGCGGAGGTAGTACTCCTGGTAGCAGTCCTGATGGCCACCATGCATACATACAGGGCATTGGATCATGAGGGAACGAACAGGTAGATGACTTCAAGACGGCTGACGTTAGTCATAATCGCGATCTATGCGCCCAATAGCAAACTCACCATATAGTACACTTCGTGACATTGGTTCGGCATTGCATACAATACGCATAACTGCCTGATGGTCTTCCCGCGTGCACCATGGGAGCTGCAGGGGCAATCATCGGTTTGCGGCACTTACCACAAGTGCTGTAGATCGTTGTCGCCATCTGGCAGTCACGAGAATTAACCTCGGATGTGGAACGAACAGACACAATGGCTCACAGCGGTTACGACGCGGATCTGTTCAGCATCGACGAACTTGCGGATGTAGGCCGCGCACGTGTGCAGGCGCAAACGACTCAGGATATCTGAGATTCGCATGGGTTATCCGAGACGACAGGACCGAGGAGTGGAACTCACCGATGTATGCCTCGACGAACCGAGCTCTCCTCGTCTTTGCGATCTTCAACTCCTTCTGCAAGACCAACGACAACATTGCACACATGATGATATCACCCTACTTATGCATCAGCCAAATCAATCGACTTCACCTATCGCGCCAACAAACGTACCTCATCAGAGTACTGTTCAAACCGCTCCCGCATGGTCGCCCACGCAAGCCGCCTCAACCGCTCCTCCGCCTCCCTCACAGCAGTTCTCGCTCGGTCGCTCTGCGTCCTAGCTACGCTGATCGCCACACTCCGTGACCTACTCCCATCCATTCCCACCACCTCGCGCTCGTTCAAGGCGAGGTCACTTGACATCGCTTCCGACGTGGCCCGCTGGTGCATCGACCCCCGAACCGAAGCCGCCCGTGCCCCAGCTATATCCCTGATCGTGTCGTCCCTCCTCAGACCTCCAGACTGGATCGCCAGGCCGTCTGCCCGGCTCAACGTCCCCGCGGGTGTCGTCTCTCCCGCGATGACCGTGCGTATACTACTCTGGCTCTCCTGCTTCGTCAGTCTCCTCGACAGCGTGGGCGCTGGAGCAACGAGCGACGCAACGGTCGAGCTCCGGCTCCTCGTTCTGCTCTGCGTCGCCGAGCTGCGTCGCCGCCGGTGTCCCCCAGACAAACGAGACGCGATTCTCCTTCCTGCGCCGCCCCCATTCCCTCCCCGTTCCTCATCGTCGTCATCACCCATCCGCGCGTCGTCACTCTCGTCCTCGCCCCCGTACCCTTCTCCATCGTCGTCCGATCCGGACGTAGACCCCGGAGAAGGCGAGTCCTCATCGTCCTTCTCGTCCTCCGTCAAGCCCTGCTGACTTGTCAGCGCGAGCCGTGACAGCGGCGACGGGTGCGCCGTCGTCGTGCTGCTATTGCCCCTGTGTGCATATGGCGAGGTAGCGCCCCTCGAGGGCGCACGAGGGTGCTGGGCATGATAATCATCCTCGTCACGCTCGGGGCCATCGCACCCGTGTTCACTGCCTGAGTCATCCGAATCCGAGTCGTCCAGCGCGCCTTCGCCGACGTGTCTCAGGCTCAAGCTCGTGTGGCTGCGCATACTGTCGCTCGGGCTCTCGCTCTGCGCGCTCAGAATGCTCTGCGTGGAGAACGACGGACGGCGGACCGACGAGGAGAGGCGCGGGCGGAGCGGAGGCGGGAGACCCGCGCCGGACCCCCGACGCGCGAACACGGCTGCCGGCACGCTCGGAAGGCCGGTGCTCGGTTTGCGCGGCGAGGAGGCGTTGGAGGATGTGGGCGTGATACCACGATCTGATCTGTGACTGGACGTCGAGCGTCGATGTCTGTCGTCAGCATATTTGGATAGTGACCCGGGACTTCTCTCCTTCGCCTGGGCGAGACCTGTCGCGTCCGCCGTAGCCGACCGTACTGGATGTCCGGATAATGGGGTCTGTGGCGGCTGGGTGAGGGACGATACTGTGGGGATGGCAGCAGGAGCAGATGCAGAATGCGGTAACTGTGGGCTTGCTCTCTGCAATGGGGAAAGAGGGGGCGTCGGCGGAGTGACGATATCTGTAAGCAAGGATGCGAGCAGCAGCCACGTTTGCGCCGCATCATGGGCCCCTGCATCAATAGCGACCTACAGTCCACCCAGGCGTGCGTGAGCGTCCATGAGTCCGACAGACTAAGCGAGGATGAAACACTGACCTCGGCGTTGTGGCTGCAAATATCCGCTTTGCTCTTGTCAGCATAGATATATCCCCTCGCGAGCTTCTCGATCATGTCCAAGTCCTCTGCAGCGCCGTCGGGTGCATAGGCACCCACATTCTGAGTGCTAGGTCGGTACGGTGGGTCGCCTAGAGCCTTCAACGGAACCCTCTCATCCTTGCTCTCCGGATCGCTGTCATGCATTTCAGGAACGATAACGGAGGTCGGTGAAGGGGGAGAAATAGGACGCACACATCATCGTACGGAACCTCCCATCTCTTCGGGCGGTCAGTCACGAACGCGATGGAGCCCGAGGTGTTCCACGACACCGCGGTGCGCGGGATGGCGTCGAGCGGCCGCTTGGACTGCCGCAGGTCGAGCTGGGAGAACGTCCCGGACTGGTGCAGCGCCCACAGCGCGTGCGAGTCCGCGAAGTCGATGTCTGGAACGCACGTGCTCAGTACCGACTCGCCAGCTGCCTCGGACCAAGAACATAAACATCGGCGCACCCGTTACCCCGCTCTCGATTGCCGACCCGCTCACGACCCACTTGGCGACGTACCCCCTCCGCACGTCCCATATCTCCACCGGGTCGCTCCCGCTGCCCTCACCCGGCCCCTGTGACTTGGCCCTCCCCTCCGGGGTTGTCGTCCCATCGCTCTTGCTGCCACTCCCACCCGCGAGCCCCATCCCTCCAAGAAGCGCAGACGGGACACGCGGACTCGGCATCCCCGCACTCGCGCTTGATGGCCCGCCCCCCAAAGCGCCATGCCCAAAGTCCGTGCCGGTGCCGAAGTCGGCGTTCGACACGACTGCGAGCTCGCACTCGTACCCCGGGCGGAAGAGCACGCGGCGGACGGGGAACGAGGTATGAAGCGTGTAGGCCGGGTAGTACGGTTGGTGGGACCGCGTCGTCGGTGGCGGGCGCGACAAGTCCCAGACCTGCCCCAAAGTGGGCTGTCAGTGACGCGCGCGTAGGTCAGAAGGGCGACGTACTTTGACCGTGCGGTCCATGCCCCCGCTGACCACCCACCCCGGCCCGCTCGACGTGTCCGTGTCCGGGGAGGGCGCGTTCCCGCTGGCGATGGGCACGGAGGGGAGGATATCCTCGAAGAAACCAGCCCCTGGGCCCCCGTACCAGTTGCTCGCGCCCGCTTGACGGGTGGAAGACGCAGTTGGCGCCGAGAGAGTCGAGGGTGGTACCCAGTCGAGCGAGAGAACGGGCCCGGAGTGGGCGACGGGGAGACGGTCGAGCTGGCCGCGCTGGCCCATAGTGAGATCCCATCTGCGGGCCGGAGGGGTGTGTGTCAGGCGGGCGGTATAGAGCAAAAGGGATGAGTGGATCGCTGAGAGGGTTAGCATACCTGTACATGCTGCCGTTGTCGAGTGCTGTGACGACGTGACGGGATTGAGAGGAGACGGGGGAAAACGCTACGGCTCGGACAGCGGCGGGATGGTGTATTCGCATAATCGACTTGGTGAGATCTCGGACATCCTGCGAAGAGCGCACAGGTCGGTGAGCACGATATGAACCTCACCTTAGAGGGAGTACCGACCCATATCCGAATATCGCCGTCGGCGGACCCGGTCATGCAGTAGCTTTGCAGGATCGGAGAATACTGCAGGACATGGATAGACCGTGCATGATCGCGGACGCGCCGCTCTAGTTATTTGGAACGCATGAGGAACAGAACGCGTTCACCGACAGACCGACACGAGCTCACCATACTTCGACGAGCCATTCTTGTTCAAGTCCCACATGATCAGTTCGCCATTCCGCGCGCTGGTCAGTATCTTGTTATTGAACGCTTCATTGACCAGGCATAAGCGATGTCCACCGCCAATCCGGTGGGCTCTGTACGTACCTCCATGGCACCATGCGACGTCGGTGCTCGAGCTGTCGACCTTCAAGCCGCTCCCCTCCCAGAGGTTGCGCGAAGCTTCAATCCGATGGCCACCCCTTCCCGTAACGGACTTGTGGTCACTGGACGGTAGGTTCCCTGAGCCGGACATGTCTAATATGCGCAGTATCCGGAGCGCTACAAGCAGATACGTCGGTCATCCTAGCTTCAGGCGATAGAAAGCGAAAGCCGGGGGTGGGCATCGACACGGACTCCAATTGGTAACACACAGACGACATACTCACATTCCCGTCCAGCTACCACGCATCTCGCACCGTCGTCGCTCTTCGCTATGGATCCTCCACCGTGCGTGGTGGAGCGAGGGAAGCGGACATGGCGCGTAGGGCCTTTGTAACCATGCTCCCTCGAATCAGAGAAGGCATCGGGTAGTGTGAGGTTGAAGTTGTTTGTGCTGCTGGGGGTGGTGGTGACGGAGCCGCGACGGTGAGAAGAACCGGCATTCGAGAGGAGCATTCAGGACGACCGAGAATATGAGAGAACGAGGCGCGAGCTCCGGACGCGGACCAGCAACGCTCTGCCCGAACCCGCTGCGAGGGCGCGGCACAGTGCGGCCCGTTACCGGTCCGCTCCCTAGCGGCTGTACACTGCATTGACTTTGTCGTGGATGAGAGAAAAGGCATTCGTCCTCACACATGAGTTCATATAGATGGAATTAGGTAGAGATACACATGGTACAACACGAAGTTCCCAATCATGCCGAACAACACGCCAGCGGTATCACATTGGTCAAAGGGCAGACCCCAGCGCCTCACGCTCACTGCTCGCTGACGAAAACACCCGCCATGCCCATACCCGAACCAATGCACATGCTCGTGATGAAGATCTTGCTGCCAGTCTGCTTCGCGATGTTCAGCCCAGTCGCAACTTGACGAGCGCCGGCTATAGAAGCGGTCAGCCACGAAAGGCTGCAGAAGGAAGACATAACAAGACTTACTGCAACCCAGTGGGTGGCCAATGGCGATCGCGCCACCGTGCACGTTCACCTTCTCGAACGGAATGCCGAGTTGCTGCACGGAGTAGACGGCCTGGGACGCGAACGCCTCGTTGATCTCGTAGAAGTCAATATCGTCCTTCGACAGCCCAGTTGCCTCGAGGACCTTAGGGATAGCGTACGCCGGCCCGACACCCATGATGCGGGGGGGCACGCCGACCGCGGAAGCTGCGACGAACTTGCCCAGGATCGGCAAACCGAGCTTCCTCGCGACCGAGCGGCGCGCGAGGACGACAGCGGCCGCGCCGTCCGAGACCTGCGACGCGTTCCCCGCGTGCGTAGAGCCGTCCTTCTTGAACGCCGGCTTCAATTTCCCAAGCGACTCTGCCGTCACGCCGTCACGCACGCCGTCGTCGCGGTCCACTATTATCTCCGACTCCTTCTCCGTCTTCGGGTCGATAAATTTCACTTTGAGCGGCACGATCTCGTCCTTGAACTTGCCCGCCTTCTGCGCCGCGGCAGCCTTCTGGAACGACTTGGCCGCAAACTCGTCCTGGACCTGGCGCGAGATGCCGAAGTCGGCGGCGACGTTCTCCGAGGTGATGCCCATGGGGATGAGGCAGTCCTCGGCTTCTTGGTTCGAGAGGACCGCTTCGGAGAAGCCGTCAGGCATTGCGCCGCCTCCGTAACCGAAGGTCATAGACTCTACACCAGCGCCTAGACATCAGAGGAAGAGCAGTCAGAAGAACGTTCAAACGACTTGTTGAGGAATATTGCGCGTACCAATGCCAATGTCAATCTGCCCGGTGGTAATTTCTCCCGCGATGATGTTCACAGCCTGGAGGCCGGACGAACATTGCCGGTTGACGGTGCTGATGGGGACGGTATTGGGGATGCCAGAGTGGAGGGCGGCCATACGAGCAGCAGTTGCGCCTCCACCAGCGGGGAGGACGTTGCCTACAGTGATATCGCCAATAAGGGAAGGGTTGATGCCAGCCTTCTTGACAACTGCACTGAGGACACCAGAGAGGATCTCTTCTGGCCGGGTGTCCTTGAAGCCACCCTTCTTTGCCTGAGGTCGCAATTTCGTGAGTCATTTCCCGTTCCGAGTTTCCCTCACCGCATGCCCTTCCATTCATCCTCCACGGCTTTGCGAGGACGAAGAAACGACACGTACCTTGGTGATTGCAGAGCGAACTGCTGCGACGATAACGACGTCATTGTCGTTCTGGGCGAGCGCCTTCGCCTTGGGCGTGATGGCGGTGAAGTTTTTGATGCTCTGCGAGATGGAGGCCATGTCGGACGATATGCAAGGCGAAAGGCGTGTACAGGGGAAAGAGAGTAGGCCGAGCAGAGGAGGAGACGGGTCGGTTATAAGGAGAGCGCGTCCGGTGCCGAATCCGGGGATGATGTGAGCGACCGGTTCGTCTGCTGTCCCGACCCATGTGAATTCTACCCCGCAACTCCCGTTCTGGGGTTGGGGACGTCCCCCGCAGTCCAGGCAATCACACCGGCTCCGGCGGATGGTCTTGTTTTTCACGGTCCATCTTGACGAGTATTCAGTCACAAGCTCAATAAAACGTGTGCATTTACTGAGACTCTTTACTAGAGAACAGGAGAACTGATGGTCCCGCTGAGTTCCACGGAGGGCCCTGCAAACAACCTTGTGCTCCTGTAAGCAAACTACGTTTTCTTGTACGTGGCCCAATGGTCTAGTCGTATGATTCGCGCTTCGGGTTTTGAACCATGTATTTGCGCGAGGTCCCGGGTTCAATTCCCGGTTGGGCCCATCAGTTTTACTCATGACGGTAATGTGTCTAAGTTGGCCCTTACATACAGTAATGGCACAAGGCACGAGCTGGATACATGTAGTACCGCATGTTGCGACACAGTACAGCGATGGACAGGAAGATACCGAGTACGCGTTTTGCGCGAGACCGGTGCTCAGACCCAGTGAGAACCTTCCCTGTTGCTCACGATTCTCATCTTTTTCGGCCCGTTTCAGTCCGCCCAAAAGGCAGAAGTAGTCAGATATCCACATGTATGTAGGTGAATGCATATATATCTGTCCATATGCACACAAAAAGCTATTTGCCGTTCGTCGTCTTTTCCCGTCTGTCTCCGTCTATTTGCATATTTTTCGCCCGATATCTGTATGTTCCACTCTATTGAACACCTGGCAAAAATATAGGAACAGAGTGCAACAGTCCTATACAGTTGGGGCTCGTTGCGCTAGGGCACCAGATCGAGCATGAACGGATATATATATTTATGGGTGGTTACTCTACGATACAAATTTCGCATTACATAATAATACGCTACTCCCCGCGCCCGCGCATTGTGCCAAGCCCGCGTACAGTGACCTACCACGACGTGCTCTAACCTACTGCGTTGCTGCACCCGCACGACTTACCTGTATGCTGTGTGACAGCGAGTAACCCACTCACCTGTGTTGACGTGTACAGACAGCGATACCCTACCTGTTAGCGAGGCTCACGGTGAATGAGAGTACCGAGGACAGAAAGGGATGGTGAAAGGAGGGAAGAAAGGGCGCAGAGATGGGAGGACGGCTTTCGCCCACTATATATAGAGCATTGCGAACACCGATGGCGTCATGGACGAAGGAGCTGGGGACGAGATCGTAAGAATGGATATGGTAGGATAACCGTCGGTCGGCACACAGGGAGGCATATATGTAATAGATGTGGATGGAACAGTATATATACATCGGACACCGGTTTAATACTATCGATCGACGTCAAACGGCCCATTGTACATATAGAACGGCCCATTGTATATATAAAACGAGCCAATCGATGTATGAAACGAGCCATTTTAGACGCCGAGCTGTCATCCAAATCGCTCCGAAAAGACGGCATCAGACGGCAATAGCCAGCAATCTTTGGCAATAGGCGGGGTTTTCACTGGGGCTCAGAGACGGGTCACCGGCTCTCTTCTGGTGCCCGGCAGCCCGTCAAGAACCCAACAGGCCTCGCCGGCTCACAAAAAAATGCTTACTCCGTCTAATTTTGCGATTGCGGTAGGCTTGTCTCCTACCATGACCTCCTGCAAGCTCATGCACCGTCTGTGACCTATACTGGTACGTTTTCCTCGCCGGTACACCGCGTACTCTTTCCAGAACACGAAGCCTCGTTGCGCCCTCGTGGAGCCGGAAGCGCTGCGGAACACCTCAAAGAGCCTGAACGGCCCCTCGGGAGTTGTTGCAGCATCTCTCTCTTCTTACCATGGCAGACCCCAACGACGTCCCTTACGGTCCTCCACCGAGCAATGGCTACGCCGACTCTTCGCCCTTCGGTCCACCCTTGTCTCCTCACCCGACAAACCCTCGACGAAATCGCTATAATCATTCCAGTATGGCAAGCTGGAGCTCTGAGCCGTTCCGTGCTGTGAACGGAATGTCGCCGCCGCCTCTCGTGTCCCCTCGCGTACCATCCTCGGCGGGGTCACGCCCGCTACCGGTCCCCTCTTCCCATTCTCGCGGAGCCTCCGAAATTCATGATGTCGATGTGACTCCTCGCCCGTTCACCATGGAGCCGGTGTCTGAGCCCTCGGATGACCGCGATTGGGAGCCTGAGGAGGCCATGACCATTGGTCAGAGCGAAGAAGCGTACAGTTACCGTGAGGCCCAAGAACACCCGCAGCCGCCTGAAGGATATGCGTTCGCCGACAACGATCCGTACGACAACCCACGTCAAGTCATTTCGCTCGACGATCCCAATGCCCAACTTGTCGCTGAGTACGGCGAGCCGGGTCCCAGTAGCAGATCGGCGGGTGGGAGGTTCGTCGGCGGATTCATGGCCACGCTGACGAGACCACTGAAGGCCGTAGCGAAGAGTTCTCTATTCGACCGCGGCGCGACGAGGAAGGGCGCTCCCGGCACGGCCCATTCCACAGGCGATTCGCATTTCGTCCCAGCGCACGCCTACGACGAGTCCGGTGCCCACGCCTCGTACGCACAGGCAATGGATGTACCCGTCGCACAGAAGCCCCCCACGGAGATCCCATACTCGCAGGAGCCAAGCCGGCACATGAGCCTGGCCCGTTCCACCCGCCGCGCCAGCTCGCACGTGCAGAGCCCCAGAAGCGTCGGGTCCCACAGCATCGCCCCAGACACCCCGCGATTTATGACCGAGACCGCAATGCTCGCGCGCCCCGAGTATGCGAGCGACTATGCGAAGTTGGACCCGCCTCCGGGGCCGCCCGACGACTCGTTCAGCGCGCACATCACGCGTGCCCGCAACTTCTTCACCGAGCTCAAGAACCTTCCCTGGGTTTCGGACCGCATCGCGCTCGACTACCGCCCCACACAGTCCTCCCGCGCGCGCGTCGGCAAGAACAAGGACTCCGGGTCCTGGTACACCCGCAAGCACCAGGACCTCGACCTCCTCGCCCCCGGCCCGGGATCCGCACGCCAGGCGACGCTCCAGCTGCGCAGCGACGCCGGGCACTCGACCGCCCCCAGCACGCGCTCACGCTCGCCCTCGCGAGCACACCACCATGCCCTGCATCCGCACCCGGACCGCACCCCGCTGAGCTTCATGACCTCTCCAGGGACGCTCGCCTCCCCGGGCGCGTCCTCGCACGGGCAGGGTGCGCACCAGATGTCGTACAGCTACTACTTTGCGCCCCCGCAGCCGCTGTACGTCTACCCGTCGCCCATGACCTCTCCCCTGCAGCCCGTTACGGAGGGCTCTCAGGCGTCCTCGTCCCCACAGATGCATCCGCCCCACCCGCAGGCGCTGCCTGTGTATATGGTGCCTGGGCCGCCCCCGGGGCTGTTGCCGGCGACGCCGCCGCCTATGGCCCAGACGCAACGGAGCCATATGAGAACCACGTCGCCGACGTCGGTAGTGCCTCCCACGCAGCGGTCGTCGCATTCGAGACACTCTGGGTCGAACACTCATTGATGTCTCCATCTCCGCTGATTATGATTCAGATACATGATATGACCGACACGACCATGCTGCGCCGCTCTTTTCGCTACTCTTCACATCGCTATGAGACTGTATTATTCACCTCGCGTTGTATCCGTAAGGCTCTCGACCTGTGTATCGCTCTGTTATGGGACTCGTTCAGATACCACATGTTTCGCATTTACATTCAAGCACACTGGCAATCTAGTGCCTTTTTGCTCTCTCGGGGCGTTGTTGTGCGCAATAATTTCCTCTCTTCCACGGCATATCTGAACGAAAGGATCCTGTTAGGATGTGAGTCTGGACCAGCCCTCTCTACTTTACTAGGAGTGCAAGTACTGATGCGTGTTGTCAGGTTCGTTGTCAGACCAGCACGGTGGATGCTATTCTGTCGTACCTGTACGATGGGAGGGCGAAGACATAGGATGCATGGCTGGTGTGAGTCTATCTCGTATGGAAGAAATCGGCCCGAGCTAACCATTGGCGGGTTGTAAACGTATCTGGTCGCTATTTGTCTAGCTCTCGGGCGCTATCAAAACATCCTTGCTCGCGATGAAGTCAGCATGCTGTACATCTCGTTACAACCCGAACCGGCCCTGTCTACCTCCGTTGCTTGAGGCTGCCATGTCAGCCTCAAACTCGACCTTGCAAAGACATAGGGCGAGAGGTGCATCTGTGCTCTGACTCCCGTTTTCAGTTTATCTGCTGTGCGCGCCTTGATGGTGTCTCGTTCGGCTATGACCACATCGCCTCAACTCGAGAACTTCAAGACTACCGACTTCTGGTTTTCTGACGGAAACGTTCTTCTATTCGTTGGGGATATCGCGTTCAAGGTACATCAGGGCCAGCTCGTGCGCCACTCAGATGTTTTCCGCGATATGTTCTCTCTTCCTCAACCGGTCTCTGAGACCATCGACGGTATCCCCTGGGTTCACCTTCACGACGACCCGTCCGACGTTCTACACCTCCTGCGTGCACTTTACGACGGGCTGTGCGTATTTCACCGATTCTGCGGCTGACGCTTCATTATCAACACGCTCCACTTTGTGACAGATACTTCAAGAAGCCCACCGCCGGCGATTTCTGCGCGATCTCCGCCGTCTTGCGGATGTCGTCGAAGTACCTGATTGACCACCTTCGCGAGCGGTGTCTGGCGCGCCTTGAGGCTGATTGGCCGACGACGTTGCTCGGCTGGGACAAGCGCGAACAACAAGCCACGGTGGACACGCGATACAACCCTCGTGAGCACTTCCCACACCCCGTGCTCGTCATCCAGCTCGCGCAGGAGCTTGGTCTCGATGAAGTCCTCGCAAGCGCGTTCTACGACCTCTGCCGCTACGGCCCGCGCAAGATCGCTATCGGTGCATCCGTGGGCCCCGCATTGTTCCCTCACAAGGCCCGCACACAAGCCCAGGCCTCGGCTCAGCCCAAATGCAGCCCCGCGAACCCGCACGGTACCGTCCAGTTGCGGCTCGAGAAGCCACATCTCCACGCGACGTTTCTTGGGCGCGAGGCTGGCCAGCGCTTCCTCGCGGACTTCATCCAGCGCGAGCTGCACGGGCGGGCGATCTCGGACAACTGCGCAAACAAGAGCCACGCGAACGGGCACCATTGCCGCGAGTCATACTACTTCATCATGCTCAACCTCCTCCGCGCCGTGAGCGGGATCGCGACGGGCCGCGACGCGGACCCGCTCTTCTCGCTGTCGCAGGCGGTCGAGATGCTCTCGAGGACGGACTTCTCAGATGGGACGCGCCAGTGCGGGCTCAGGATATGCGCGTCGTGCAAGGAGGACTTCTCGTTTGTGGTCGGGAGGGCGCGGAAGGAGGCTTGGGACTTGATACCGGAATGGTTCGGGCTGCGCGAGAAGAGCGTGAAGCCGGGTGCAGAGGGAGATAAGGTCGAGGTTACGAGTTGAACGGTGTCTGGATCGCAGTCTCGCTATGCGCTTGCTTTGTTTGAAGTTCTGGTCTTGGTTCGTGAATTTTCCCTGCTGCTCATGTCCTCAATCGTTGAGCATCTTATAGACCTGTTGTATTGAGCGCGCGCGAAGCCCAAAGCCTGCTGTCAATTGCAATGATACCGGAAAGCAATCTTTCGTTCGTCTCTCGGAATACTGTGGGAGTTGATCAGGATCTCCGCTGTTTATCATATGATGGTGCGTTGCATGATCAGCGACTTGTCATGTCAGGAGGAACATTTTGCTCTGCGGCAGCATGTTCAATGGCCTCAACGACTTGGGCAGAAAAAAGGACTCGATATAAATGGGGCATTGCACGTGTGCTGCATCTATACAATCCCAGGAAGGCTTCCTGGGGGCATCGCTTAGGTATCCGGATCTCGCGTGGATCAATCAAACACGTATATTCAATCACATCGACAGAACGAGACGGATGACCGAAACACTGCGGCGACGACTCTCGATAACTCGCTACTTCGTATCACCCGCTTTCTTTCTTCCGCAGTCAAGAAATACCTCGATTAGAGGTCAATGGGGACGCAGCCGATGGAGACCAGACCACCCTATGCAGAGAAACGAATAAGTATATCTCTGTCCGCAGATTCTAGACCAAACATGCACTGACGAAGCTGTTGTCATCGCAGCACACGGCGTTGGCCGAGCAGGAGCTACCGCTGCCGACACCGATGACGGTGATCGGGGAGCAGGTGAGGCCAACGAGGGCGTCCACGTCTTGGACGACGACACCGAGCAAACCAAGCTCCTTGGAGATAGAGGGGTCGCTGGCCTGCGTGACATGCCGGTGTGAGCTCTTCCTTTCAATGAGGTCTAAGATATCAAAGATGGATATACTAACCTTCCCAACGGTGTCGCAGCACTGGACGGGGGCTGTCGCGCAGGAGCTGGCGGGCTCGTTGCGTCCCTCGAGGGGGGTGGCGGCCGCAAGAATGGGGAGAGCAACGACGACAAAGGCGGCGAGGCGAGAGAACATATTTGGAATGGTGAGTAAGGGGGGGGGACTGAGAGCTCGAATTGTGAGAGGGCTGAGTGTTGTGAACGTGAAGCCTGAGGAGCACCCTCGCTGTATGCTGAGCTCTTTTATACCCCACAGGTCTGCCTATATCTCTTGTTGACAGACGTAAGTGCCTCATGCATGTCGAAGGTGGAGCTCTGGCACGCTACCGCTAACGGGCGAATTCGCCTGTGCATCATAGATGTCATGAGAAAGGCAGCTCCGAATCGTATCCGGAACAAACGAGCACTTGTCGAGTCACCTTTCATCTTCTGTGGGCACGTTCCTAACAGATCGAACAGATCCCACTCCCTGCACGTTGTCTCTCCTGCTTGTTCCCAAATTAGGCGCATTTGGATGATTGGTTCGCTGAAACAGTGAAAACGTGCGGCTTAAGCACAACTCTCGGTCCTACCCCAAACGTCATGGGAGAACAACAGATGAAATACCAATACCTGTCTCTATCTATGGCTACCTACGTACAGAGGTGAGCCCCAGTGACCGGACACACGAGGTGTCATTGACATCGAAGTGCTGTGGTGGCAGATATGTTTAGAATCTCCTTTCTCCCATCTTTTCGGTAGCGGCAGCGCACACACAACCCTCCGACCCTAAGCTTCTATTCACCCCCGCTTCGCTGATCCGCCATCGGAGCTCACAGTTCTCGTCAAGGAGATATAGGTCCCGTTCCAGCTTCCTGGTTCTCCCCATAGTCGATTTCCCTACGCATGACGCGGATCTGGCGATATGGTGCTACGACGCGCTCGAATCCGGTGACGGTTAGCTCGGTGTCATCGCTATCCTTGCCGCTCCTACTGAATGGCTTGTTGAGAGCGGTTCACGGCAGTCAGCAATGCAGTATTTTCGGCATGCAGGGCTGAATGGGAACACGATTGGTTCGGTGTCTTTGCTGGAAAGGGGGGCATGATGCCGGTGGCCCCTTCTTTCTCTACGATTACATTCATTTCACCAACGCTTCACGGTATTAGAGGACGCGGACAGCGGCGATGTATTGACACAGCGTTGCTAGGGCTTTCTCGGGTCTCACAACCCGGGGAACAGTGCGTCATGCTGTTCGTACGTCCGCTGTGTGGCCGCTAGGCGCGCACGCTCTCAGGCCATGTGTCATTCGGTGAGTAGATTGACGTTCCGTGCTGCCGTACGTACAACGTCATATATCACGGCTCTTCAGCTGTTGGCGTTCGTACTGGATGGGGCCAGAATACATCGAACCCGGAAGTCCGCATGTCGATGCGTCGCATCCGAAGCCCCGATGCGCGAATTTCACAGCCCAGATATTCCGTCTTCATACGTTCGGGCAACAATCCCATCAGATTGCTCTGTGAAAGCCGACCGAGTTGAAGATATGTAGGACAACCCGGCCGCAATGACGCAAAAGAATCTCTGTGCTGGGAGCAGCAGCAGTAATGGTAGGTGGAAGCATTGTCAAACTACTCCGCTGCCATATGATGTGAAGAATCGGCATGTCATGCATTTCGTAGATCTGAAGTCCGCCACCGCGGACTCCGAGTGCGTATCTCGTCATAGCGGGCGATGAGAAGAAACCCCCAAGAACAGGCGATTTGGTGGGTCAATCTCTTTGCGAGTCAGGCCACAGAACAGACACGCATCAGGGCGTTCGGAGGAAGATAGAGAATATTGATAGTATCTTTGACCGCTCAGAGAAGGACGAACCTGAAACCCTTGTGACAAGGAAACTGCGATGACGCTCATAACACATCAAGCATGGCCTGTGAGGATGAGAACATCAGAACGCACGGAAATTAAGGCGGGTATCAATATTCATGATGGCTCTCAGATGACAGGAGCCCCAAGCAGGCGGCGAGCGGAGGGCTAGATGCAACACGTTTGAAGGTTTGGAGCGAAGGGTACACCAATAGCCCGAGCTAAGCCACTAGGCGAGCCCGAGGACATATGAGGATGACTCCGGACTAACCGAAAGTGCAGTTCGTTTTAGAACATAGTAGATACATCGGTAAGGGAGTTGGCTCAGAACAGTCAGGGCGGAGCGTCTGAGTGCGTTCAGATCCGACGTCGGACCTTGGGAAGACTTCACTTATATTTTGAACCACTAATACGCAGCAACTGCAAAGTTTCTGCGAGCGTTCTGTATATAGAACGACACTTAGGTAGGCGTCCGGATTACGCGGTGCGCACTGGTAGGAATCAGGATTATCGACTGTGCATTAGCCTTGTATGCGGCAGGAGTCGTTTTTTGAGAGAGGCACTATATAATCTCACGTGGTGGTAGGCGAAGACCTGTAGGATGCGCACTGAAAGCTGAGTATTGAGTACTGTAGAGGGTCACTGCGCGTTGCAAACTCCGATGGCGTGTGGCGCCCGACTTGGCGTTGATCCAAAAGTGGAAAGGCGCCTGTTGTCGGATGAGGCGGCCTGCAAGAAACCCAGCTCCGACTCCATCGTCCTCCCAGATTCCGATGAGGCTCTTGCATGCTAGGGGTTATCGTCATCCTCTTACAGCACGCGTTGTCAACCCGTGGCCTTGCGATTCTCTCACCTATGTCCGGACTGGCTCCACGCTCGCGTGCTACGCGGCGTGAATGCGGCCAACCATATATACTGACCACCGCTGTTTTACGGCAAAGCCCCGCCTTCCTGCCCCGACCGGCTCCCACTGCTCTCGAACGCAATTTGCTCCATTTTCAATTCTCTTACAATAGACGTGGAATGACGCATATCTGTGATCCTCCAATATTCATGCATGTGCTTCGCATGCTCGAGTCAGGGATGCCCCGTCATGAACCCATGAGCACGAGATGCGGTCGCGATATCTTGACTCAATGGCATACGTGCGTGCTCGAGATACATGACAACGTTGACACGGCCAGCAGCCGCATGATTGCCAGAAGTGGTCAATACAGATCCTGAGCTTCAAGCCGGCCGGTGGACCTCGAGGACCAAGAACTGTGCTGTGTTCTCGGAGTGCGTAGCGCATCCTGAATGTATTGGGGAACAGAGAGGCTGATGCTTGTCAATTCAGATGAATAACATGTGATTCAAGGTGTACCCATGCGGGTGTCGATTCGAATTGTCGCGGTGCTTGTGTCACCACCGCTCACCTTATTGATCTTGGTCCATAGGAGCAATTCACTAGCGCGGGCACAGACGTTCTCTACCAATCATTGCGGCAGATCGACTTTTGTCTTCCGGCACACGTCGCCGTCTAAGTGTCTTCGGCGTGTCCCAATTGGTCCGCCTCTCCAGCTCGCTCTACAGTACATAGGACTCCTGCGAATTCAGTCACACCATTCCCATGCATACAGGAATCCTGCCACATATAAAAGGAGCTCACGCCCCAGCATATCTCCCCAGCTCGAACCAGCCTCTCAAGCAGTTCACAGCTACTCCTCGCAGCACTCAGCAGCAACAACAGTCCAGTCGATATGTTTACTCGTGCCATCGCCTACTTCTACTTTATCCTCTCCCTCACTATCCTTGCGGTCGCCATGCCCGGAGGCAACCCTCCGCCTCCGACTCAGACGATCACCGTCACTCAGACCGCTTCTGGTCCCGAGCCGACCTCGTCCTGCTCCACTGGTGCCATCCAGTGCTGCGAGTCCATGACGAAGGCAAGGTGTCTCAATTTTGCTCCAAACGTATCCTCGACTGACTCGTGTGTTTCCTAGGCTACAGACCCCACTGCCACGAAGATCCTCGGCCTGCTCGGCATAGTCGTCGAGGGCTTGGACGTCCTGGTCGGCCTCACCTGCTCTGCGATCGAAGTCATCGGTGTCGGCGGAGGCGCCTGCTCCAGCAACGTCGTGTGCTGCCAGGACAACAGTCACGTCAGTTTTTTTTACAGTACCAGCTTCCTTCCCCGAGTAGAAGTGTGCTCATCCTCTACCGCACTCAGAACTCCCTCATCTCCATCGGCTGCCTTCCCATAATCCTTTAAGGCGCAGCGCTGCCAACAGCCCGCCCATTGTAAAGTCAATACGCCGCAGGTCAAGCGCCTCAAGGCCGCGGTCGGGGCTGGAGCATTCTGAATGGATGAACTGTTTGGTGGATTTTGGACCTGTGACTGAATTTGTATGGTTCCAGCTCGAGTTGATGTACCAGTGTAGGGCTTGAGAAATTACCTGTGCGTTAAAGGAGAAGGCGTACAATGGAAGACTGGAGTAGGTGACCGTCTCGGCCGTCTGTCTTCGAAAGTACATGAGTTGCAAGTCAGCCCCATCTAAGGAATTCGTTAGGGAGGATCTCCTGGACCGTTGTGTATTGGCTCTTGTCAGCTTGAGCTTGCTGCCTCCGCAGAAAGCCCGTCTTCTGTTAAGCACCGAACCATCAAATCGAGACACGTTCAGGAAGATTAACCTTCTTACACAGCATAGCCACCAACCTGTAGACATATCTTCAGCTCGCTTAATGACTATTGGACATTTTACCGCACTTCTAGGGCCCGATCGCCAGAATGGATAGGCTGACAGATCCCTCTACCGCCGGCGGGCTCAAGCTTAGCTGACATGGCAATCATCGGACTCGACTGCAAAAGCAGTGCCAGGGCGGCATCGTGAACATTGATTGACGCTGCCTCGTACATGATGCCAATCTGGGTTCGGCTTCAGTACATATAGAGGTGTGAAAGTACCATTGGCGACGTACCTAGTCGAACAGTACTATAGGCGCTCTTTCCCAGGGACTCTTAACTCGTCACGATATGACTCGTCTCCTGAAGGAATAAGTAGGGGTTTTCCGCTAGAACTTGGAGATGACAGGAGATCTCAGGGCCTCCTTGAAGAACCTATCCTCCCGGGCCCATGCCTTCATCATTGTCCGTCGCACTTGAGTGTCCCGCAGCAGCAGCGAGCATGTCCAACGTGCACAGTAATCAAGTAGCCCTATATTCGCCCCGCAGCTAGTACGGACATTCAACCTCTATGCTCTCGAACACTGCGCTCATTCTCTCGGGGTACTTCTCCCAGTCGATCGGCCCACGCGCCCACTCGCTCGTCCCGGCTGGCGCGCTCGCGTCCCATATGCCGAACTGAAGCCGGGCCGGGTGCGACGGGTAGTGCAAGTTGCCGTTCTTCCTGGTGTCGTCTGCAGCGACATATCACGACGGGACGTCGTCGGGGTCAGGCGAAAGGCAGAACACCGAAGGGGAATATAAGGCGTACCTGCGCGTAGCGTCCGGACCTCCGACCCGTCGACACTCCAGACGATGCGCTCCGGGTTCCAATCGATGGTGTAGGCGTGAGATTCTGCGACGGTCTTGTGTCCGTGTGGGTAGTCCTCGAGCGAGCTGAAGGTGCTGTAGAGCGGTTTGTTTTCGCCGAGGGCGGGCGCGAAGGTGTTGGTCTGCCATTGCGTCGGGCGGCCGCCGACCAGCTCGATGTCGATCTCGTCGCTTTCCAGCGCTGCACACAGACACATTCGAACCTCCTACATAAGAGAGATAGAACGACAAGGGAGACAGACCGATGAGGATGGCTGCAGTGACGACGCCAGGGACGGCGGGGCCGGAGAAGGTGTAGGTGACCTTTCCGTAGAGGACAGTAAAGGTTGAGTTGAGAGTGGAGCCTTCCGCGACCTTGTTGTTGGTGCCGTCTTTCGTGGTGATCCTACCGTCAGGTTTGTCGAGGAAGAGGCTGAGGCCGCCAGAGCCGAGTTGATAGGAATGAGGGCCGTCTAGAGGTGAAAAGTCTCTTTCGAAGTCAGGGTAGTTTGTTGAGGAGTCGAACGCCATATGAAACGGGTCGCAGTGACTAGGGCGTGCGCGAGGAGCCATTACGGCTGCAGAGTTGCCAGGAATTCCGCTCCCAGAGCGAGTACCAGACAGAGTTACGGCCTGCACAAATCCATGAAGATACCCAGCAAGGATGACACAGACAGCGGCCCTCGTAGAAACCATACTCAGGATCAGAGTAGACCAAGGCAGGAGTGACAAGCAGTGGGTTCAGGCTGGGCGTAGAGACAACCTGCCTTGGCGCGCGATCGCGAGCGCGGTCCCGTGATGGAGGAGAACACGCGCGGGGCGGCAAAGAGCGAGCAGGTCGTTGTAGTCACGGTACTACTAAGTAATAGTACGTAGCCCTTCTCTCCCTCTCCCCATTTCTCCCATCACAGCCTACAATGCAACAGGAACCGTGCTATCTTGCTCGATCTCCTTCATCCTCTCCATCACTAGCCCCGGTAGATTCATCCCCACCCTCTTCTCCTAGTCTCACAGCGATCTACACGCCTCCTGCGTCTCCAGGAGCGGCAGACCCTTTCGCAGGATCCACAAAGTCCACCAAGAAGCCCAGAATATACGACAGGCATGGCTCACAAAAGTTTATAGGCGCGATAGACGCGGTCGGTGTCGATGGGGAGGTAGTTCGTGTGTTCACACGACCAGGAGCCGAGGATTTGCCCGACGCGACCCCGACGCGTCTGACACGCGTTATTGACCCCCTCTCCGGCTCTGCGAAACCTGAGTGGAGGCCTCCGACGTATGAGAAGAAAACAAAACGCGTCACTACGGCGGAAAGCGCCACGAGCACGTCCTCATCCTCGCATGCCTACGCGCACAGGGCAGTGGGCACGTACGCCTCTCCGACGCCCAAGAGCCATGCCATCACCATGGACGTGGACGATTCCTCGGACTTCTGTCTCACAGATGACGAGGCAGACTTGCCCAAGCCCACCTCGCGGCCCAAGACTCGGGAGGAGCTGGAGGAGAAGATGTGGGACAGCGCGATTACGAATGCCATAGACAAACTCATTGGCGTCATTGACCTGAGGCGAGTCCATGTCCCTCGTCTTTATCCGAGCTCCGATGCTGAACGCGACATAGCGCGTCGAGCCTCAACAGAGGCACTATCACCCACATCCCTCCTTCCGTCGCTGACCTCGAGAGCTTCACTGTCCTTCCGCCAGCTCATTCTCCGTCAAGCGCACCTTCATCTCCTATCTTGTCACCCACAGTCTTACCCCCTGTACCTTCCTCGACATCGCGTCCGTTCGCACGTGCAACGACCCTTGCCGCACCTGTCTTCGATGTCCCGTTCTTCCGTAGCAAGGACGGCGAACGCCTTCGCGGTACACCCGCCGCTCGCGCGGCTTCCATGCAGGCGGTAAGCCAACAGCCTACAGCGCAACCACGGCGACGCGAAATCCAGATGTATCTTGCCAACAACTCCATCTCAAGGCTCCCTCCGGAGCTGTTCCGGGTGGCCGCCCTAACAGTCCTCAGTCTGCGTAAGTCTTGTCCCTTCCGTCAGGAACTTGCAGTGTTGACGATGCATTATTCCTAGGCTCCAACGCTCTCACTTCCATCCCTCCCCAGATCGCACAATTGACCGCATTGAAAGAGCTCAACCTGTCCCAGAACAGGCTTCGCTGGCTGCCCTCTGAGATGCTGAGTATGCACCTTACCGAACTGACCGTCTCGGGGAACCCGTGGATCGCAGCACCTCCACTCCCACCTCAGCAAACACCGTCGCCAAGTACCAAGGACACGGTAGCTAGACGGACTGTATCCCATACGGTCGTGCACTTCACCATCCCACCGCTGGCGGAGACCTGTGTCCGTGTCCTCGTCACGCCCTATAACTCGGCTCCCCCAGCCACACCTTTGCATCTCCTTGCGTCTACTTCGCTGCACTCCGCTTCGGACCCACCCTCCTCCTCTCGACATACACCTGCTGACCCAAGCGCCTCCGACGCTCCCACGGCCCCGAACGCGAGACCGCTCACCGTGCTCGAAGCGTCGTACGTCCTCCCCCTCACCGACGACCTCCACTACTCCCCCGCGCTCCTGGCTACTCTCCGCGCGTGCGTCCCCGCGGCTGTCGCGCGCCCGCCCGAGTTCGACAAGGGTCGCCACCATCAGGAGGGCGCGCAGGCGAAGCGGGCAAGGCGCGATTTAGACGACCCCCGCGCGAGCTCCCCACCGTCCGTGCGGGCAGAAGACGACGATGTCTTCGCGCCGCCGCGCGCAGACGCAGAAGTTACGGGGGTGAGCCTTTGCCCCTCCCCAGTGCACCGTGCGGAGGAGGGGTCGTGGAAGCGCGGGCGCGTGCCCGTGTACGTCCGGCACGCGGAGGAGCGGTGGACGTGGGAGGACGTCGTCGCTGGTGTGCGCGTCGGGGTGGAAGCAGGAGCGGGCGGGGGCGGGGTGCCGGTGCGGTGGAGAGGGTGCTCGCGGGGGTGTTTGGCGTTCCTCGACCCGCCTGCGCCTGCCCCTCCGGCGTCCGCTCAAGCTGCAGGCGAGGTGCCCGCGATCGGGGAGGACGAGGTTGCGTTGGACCTAACTCTTGGTGGGACGGGGACAGGCCCGAGCACGGATTGGGGAGACGAGGACGTGCAGATGGACGACGTCCAGGCCGAGACGCTGCAGTTCGCGGGCGGGCTTGCAGACCCGGAGGACTTCGAGGAAGGATTCTAACGCCCGTATATGCGCGCGGCGGCGCTGGCACATCGATTCCCATGGGGCGGGAGGGCCCAGGTGCTGTTGTATCGTTGAAGTGTGATCTGATGCGTTGTCTAGAAATGTAGGATGTACGATCTTTGGGCATCTACTGACACGCGCGGCGCGCGAGAGTCTGCATCGACGGCTGAGCAGCGGACGCGTTGAATGTGTGCTCCATGCGCTGGCTGGTATACCTTCAGCAGCTGGCGTACTCGACAGTCCACGGTTGGTGAAGGACCATGGCACGTAAAGCTCCATCATTACAATCTACCCGGAGAATAACATACACTAATTCACTTGTCATCACAGACACATCTAGCAAGCCGTGGGTCAACACAATCCGGCTAAGTACGTTCCAGCCGCAAGGCTGGCACACGTCCCTCTACAACTTTGAGAGAATTTTCTCCAACGTCTTTGCGAGTACCTTCTTGGGCTGCTCGACCCGCGGCCAGCCGATGCCCAAGCCCTCCTTCTCGTTTGGCTTCGGGATAACGTGGAAGTGCACGTGGAAGACATGCTGGTGCGCGATCTTCCCATTGTTCTGTGCGCAAAGACAGTCAGTAGTACGGTGTGTCCACAACCGGGAGAAGACAGCGCACCTGGAGGATGTTGTAGTCGACGACGTCGAGCGCTTTCGCGATCTTCTTGGCCAGAGGCAGGATCTCGGCGAGGTATTCGTCGGGGACCTGGTCCATTCTGTCGGAGTGGTCTGCGGTGATGGTTCGGTACAGGATCGTCATGAGAGTGGTGTGTGACTGACATCTGGGGATGATCAAAGTGTGGCCCTCAGCGAGGGGCCCGACGTCGAGGAAGGCATAGCTGGTCCGCCTTTCAGACGCTGCCTAGTTTGCGAGGAGGGGATCTCTCCTACAGTCTGCTTTAGCAGGAATCACGCGACTCAAGTACACGGGCAACTGTCGCTCACCCTTTGTGATCTTGCAGAAGAAACAGCTGGGTGAAAAAGCTCGTGTCAGTCACGGTGACAGTGGACAGATCGCAGAGGTCTGCCTGCCTGTCGTTGAGATTGTTCGACATCTTGAACGGTTGCTGTGAGACAGGCATGCATAGCGTTCGGACGGGGGAATATATACATGTGGCGACAACACGAGAAGCATTGGGATGGAAGTCGATAGAAGGACGCCCACAAAGGAAAACCACTACGGCGGCACACGGACATGGCGGCGCTCTTAAGGACGTTCACCCCCGAATTCCCATGAAGTACAATTGAGCATATGTGAGCGACCTTGCACAATTTTTAAGCTCATAGATGCACCCAAGCCTTGGGGGCCTTATACTGCTACTATACACCAACGAATAGGGTCCGAAGCACCTTCGCATCTCGTCAAGTCCTCCCATCAGGATCAGGCAGTCTCATGCCAAAGGGATCACAGGACTAGTCGGAATGGTCCGCGTCCCGTTCCCAGACCACACACTCTCCAACGCGTAGATAGTGACATTCACGACGGCGCCCGCCGAGAACGCATGAGTGTTCACCGTGAATTGTGTCAGCGGCTCCTGCGGGTAGGCCAGCGCCGTCGCGCTCTGCACGCCCCCACCCAGGAACAATTCTAGAATGCTCCTATCCCATACCGCAGAAAGCGTCCACATCCCGTCAACGGCCCCGGCGGTCGTCGAAAATTTGTCAGTGAACAGTGGGATCTGGAACCCGTTCGTGTGCGAGCGGTCCAAGTATGCTGAGCCCAATCCGAAGAGGAAGCCTCCTGAGACCGACTCGTTCGTAGTAGGGCTAGAGAGCGTGAACGCAAGCGTCGATCCGAGGTCTGTGCCGTCCACCGAGGGTCCCGCAACTTGCAGCCCGGTGACGTTCACCTCAAAGTAGTACGCATTGCTGGTCACTGCGCTCAAGTCCACCGTCACAGTTCCGCTCCCGTTGAAGCTGTTTTGTATGACCCCGCTGGGGCTGGGATCGAACACAGCGCTGATGTTGGCGGGGAGCGAGACGAGATCCCAACCGCCTTGCCCGGAGTTCGTGAGGAACAACCGGCGGGGGATCGTGTGCGCGCCGCGCCAGCCCTCCTGCGCGGTTGGCACCAAATTCGTGTACGCGGTGTTCGACGCCCAACCCAAGAGGAGCGCGTCGTCGCCATCGGGAAGCCCATAGAAGAACTGGGCGGCGTAGTTGTCCTGCGCGATGTCCACGAAGCGCGTCGCGTCGTCAACAGGCGTGAAGTGCGAGCCATTGAACGTTCCTGGGAAGTACTGGATCGTGGATCCACCGAGCGGCGTTCCAGGGCTGACGCTGACGGTGAGAACATACGTGTCGTCCGAAGTCGGTATTATGGCACCTGAGGCGTCACGCAAGGGTATACGGACTAGGTTTGGGCACTCGTACTGGAAACCAAGGAAGCCGTGGCGTGAGAAGGTAGACACACTAGTCCAATTCTTTAGATCGGGAGAGGTATAGATCTCGAGGAACAGGTCGTTCGAATGCGCAACGACCACAACCCAACGCTGAGTCGCCGCATGCCAGAAGACTTTGGGGTCGCGGAACGAATTCGAGTTAACGTTGATGACCGGGTTTCCTGAGTAACGCGTGAAGGTGTACCCTCCGTCTAGCGAATACGCGATCTCTTGCACTTGCCGGCCGGCGGTGTTGTTGTTGAGAGTGTAGATGGCGACAACCCCATTGGTCTGATTGGAAAAGAGACCGGAAGTGTTGTTGACGTTGACGATCGCGGAGCCGGACCATATGAGCGAGTTGGGATCAGGCGGAGAGATCGCAATGGGCTGGTCGACCCAGTGGTAGAGGTCCTGGCTGGTCGCATGGCCCCAGTGCTGATTCCCTCCGGTTAGGCAAGTCGGATTATCTAGGTTGATGTTTAGGTACATATTATTATATGTGACTGTACCGGATCCTTACATTGATAGTACAAATGGTAGATACCATTCTCGTCGATGTGGAGACCATTTGGGTCGTTCATGAAGCCCTGTACATCCTGAGGTGAGATGCATCACACAAGAAACCGAGGAGAGACTTACTGAGGGAGGCGAGAAGTGCACCTGTGGTCTCCACAGACGCCCATTCACGTCGGAAGTGGCATCAAGCAGGACGCTACCGTCTGGTAGTGTCAAGGCACGACCGCCCACTACAGTGCTCAGCAACGTCCAAAAGAGTGACTTCATCGAGATCATGTTGCCCAGGTGAATTGTGTAGACGTGAGCGGCGTATATGGTACTCTCATCCAAGGAAGCTCCCGAAAGCCAGATGGGGGCTCGCTGCAAGCGTGCTGTGATATTGTCATGCTGGCCTTCGGCCGTTTTAACACTCCATGAAGCTTCCCGAGACGAACTATTCCTTCCGATCTGAGCTTCTCATCATAGACAGGATGATCAGGATGGCGCAACTGGAGTCATCTGACAAGAAGGCCTCCGGGTATACCACACGGGGACCTGCCCGTCCGCGACTCCTAGCCTTACTTTACGCTGCTTCGTTCAGCACGATTGTCAAGAGATCGTAGGCTGGAAATCTTCACGGAGATTCAGTGAGCCGAGATTGAAAGCGGAACTCACTCCAGCATAAGTGTGGAGAGAGTTAGAGTTGTTGAACTCTCCTGGAACGATCTGTCAATAAGCACAGCATTGGTATGATACGAAGACCAACCTAGCCCGTGTGAGAAAGATCAACTATGACCACCCGTGAGCGGGCCGCGTGTCCAAGATGCAGCCAAAAATAAGGAGTTGTGGGCACACCAGCTGATGGCATGCAGACGTGACATCGACACGTGTTTATGAGGTAGATCCAGCGAGAGTCGATGTCGCGGCACATTTGGAGCAACAAGGCGCCGAGTTGTATAGTCGTGCACTTCTGTTTGTAAGTATATTAGGCTCAGCGGCACGCCAGCCGCTCTTTGCGCTACCATCGATCTGTCCAAAAGCCCTTTGCGTCCGTCATCGCTGTCCCACACGGATCCCAGCTGCGACGCTTAGGTGGCGTCCACTCTTGACCGCGGGATACTCCGCGGACGACCGCCCTCCCATACACTCTTCAGCCCATGGACAACGACGTTTACGAGCACGTCCTCCGGTATCCCCGCAGTGCGCACCGCAAGCATGGTCAGGCGCCCCTCCGGAAACACAGTCATCGTCGCGCTCGCCGCGCCCCCATTCACAAACACCTCCAGAATGCTCCTGTCGAACACCGCAGAGAGCGTCCAGGTGCAGTCTCCCTCACCAGGCGCGACGACGGACGTAGAGAACCCGTCCGTGAACAGTGGGTGGTCGAAGCCATGCGTGCGCCCGCGGTCCAGATAGAAGTGGCAGTCGCCCCCGAGCGCGAAAAGCCAGCCCCCAGACACAGACTCGCCCGAAGCAGAACTGGAGAGTTCAAAGGTAAGCCGGGCTTCGGTAGCCGTGCGGGAAAACGTTGGGAGGACTATTTCGAAATGGTACGCGCCGCTCTTGACGGCACGGAGGTCGGCTTCGAATCGCATGTCCCCGCCCAGATGCTCCCGTGTGACTCTGATGGGACCCGGGCAAAGGACAGGACTCAGTTCGACAGGGAGCGAGACTAGAACCCAGCCCTCACGCGAGTTCCTCGTGAGGAAGCTGCGTCGCGGGAGGGTCATCACCCCGCGCCAGCCCTCCCGAGCGGTGGGCGTCGCCTCGGTGTACTGCCAATTGGACGCCCACCCGAGAGAGAGCGCGTCCTCGCCTTCCGGGGTCCCGTAGAAGAACTGGGCGGCGTAATTGTCCTTCGCGAAGTCCGCGAGACGCGTCGCGCCATCCACTGGCGTGAATTGCGTGCCGTCGAAATTGCCGGGGAAGTACTGGGTCGTCGAGCCGCCGAGGGGGGCGCCGGGGTTGATGCTGAGAGTCAGGACGTACATATCGTATTCGGTCTGGGGGGCGCCTACGGCATCACGCACAGGTACGCGGACGAGGTTGGGGCACTCGTATTGGAGACCGAGGAGGCCGTGGTGCGAGTAGTCAGAGGCATGGGTCCAAGTCTTGAGGTCGGGAGAGGTGTAGATAGCGACGATGAACTCCTGTGCGTACGCGACGACCATGATCCAGCGCTGAGTCTCCGCATGCCAAACGACCTTCGGATCGCGGAACTGTGTAGACTGGCCATCGATGACAGGATTGCCCTCAAAAGGCGTGAATGTGTACCCTCCGTCGCGAGAGTAGGCAATCTCCTGAACTTGCGCGCCAGGAGTGTTGAGGGTGTAGATGGCCACTACGCCATCTGATTGGTCTGGGAAGAAGCTGGATGTGTTCTTCACGTCAATTACCACGGAGCCACTGAAGACTTGCGATTCGGCATCGGGTGGATATATTGCGATGGGCTGGTCGAACCAGTGGAAGAGGTCCTTGCTGGTTGCATGGCCCCAGTGCTGATTTCCGGCTAGGATACCCGTTGGATTGTCTGTGTTCATGAGGTGTGAACAATCAGTGAATCTTTGGGCGGCGCATCAAGCGGGCACTGACATTGGTAATACAGATGATAGGTACCCTGCGCATCGACGAAGAGGCCATTCGGGTCATTCATAAATCCCTAACTAGTATTAGACGGTCTATCATCGATTGTCTGCTCAAAACGCTCACCTCGGGCGGCGAGAAGTGGACTTGTGGTCGCCACGAGTCCTCGTGTGGTTCTGATAAAGACCCGACGGGCGGCATGGTATTCCAGTGAGGAAATTGCACTGCAGTATTCTGAGAAGCAGATACAGGTTTACTACAGCCCCCACGTTCAGGCGTCCTGCCGACGTGTTTATGTATACGTCTCGCCGAAGTCAAGACGGGCCGACCCCATCTGAACCTTACGAGAATAGCCACCACCTCTGGAGGGAATAGGTACGCGCCCGAGAGAGTAGGGCGGATTGCATTGAGAGGAAGTTCATGAGCTTCAGTTCGCCCGTCTCAAACGTGTTAGTAGCGAAATCGAGGAAGAGTTCCTCGAGATGCAGGAGAACGTCTTGGTTCCATGACTTGTGGCGAGCAGAGATTTGTCGAGAAGACAGTTCGGTGTAACTTGTGAGGGAGGCTGAGACCACTGAGGCCTTCAAGAAACTTGCAAACATGACATTCCTTGCCGTGTGCGAGCAGAATTGAGAGCACCAGTGCCCAGTTAGACAGCCGCCAGGGCGACGCCTCGCAGTGGGTTCTTATGATGGAGATGTACTGTGCGAACGTGGGTCCGCAGTGTGTATTGATCACGGTCATGTTGTGGCAGAGGCGTACAGGATTCGGATGAAGGTGGTGAGTGGGAGGATGAGAGGACGAAGCCGCGGCGCAGCGAGCAGCACTGCTTCTTTCATTCAGACCAGAATGTGCCTTCCCGACGCTGCCATGGACGTTCAGCCACATTTATCCTTCTGTCTACCACCTTCCCGCTGCCCCTTCTCCACTCCCAGTCCCACATTCCACAGGAAGCCTCCGTTTGTGCACGGCCGCAGTCACACAGACAAGCTCCGAGGAACAGTCCGAGACACCACCTCCCATCGCGATCTATCTTCGCGATGTCCTATGACCTCTTCTCCCTCAACTTCGTCCCGCGGCAAGAGGATCGCACAATCATAGACCTTGTCGATCCCAAGGGACTATCGTACTACACCAAGAGACGTGTTTTGACGACCGAGTACAAGATCGAGGTCTATGGTGCGTCTATGAGCCATGGGTCTCACCGGCTCTTCGGCGGTCTCGGTTGCGACGAGTGCTGATGGCGGTGGTGTGCGATGGTGACGCAACAGACACACTATCTGAAAGCCTCCTTGCCTCTGTCTCTGCACCAAGCGCGTCCAGCAAGCACAAGACGCTTCAGCTACACAACCCCGACTCTGTCGTCGAGCTGAAGTCCACGGGAGTGCTGACGTTCAAGTGGAGTTTCAAATGGGAAGAGTGAGTACTGTGGCATTCTCTTACGCTCGAGCAACTCGCGAACATCCACAACCCTAGCCATGAGTTCGAATGGAAGCGCGAAGAGTGCTACATCCTCCGCAAACCCGACCCTGCCGTGCTCGTAGCGCAGACCAAAGAGCCTCCAGGCAAACTCCAGACGCGCAACGTCCAGATCCTCGACTACAACATCAACCGGTGCGCTCGTCTCGTCTACTACCATCACTCATTTCAAAATCAGTACGCTGACCTAGGCTCAACCACAGCTTCGACATCAACGACCGTAAAGGCCTCGAGATTGTCATACTCACCGCACTGCTGACTTTCTCCGACCTCAACGAGGCGGCCCACTCCGGCTCCCTCCCCACCCCCACCCCAGTCCCCGCTTCTACACCCGCAGCCGCGGCCGCGCCCCCAGTTCTCTCCCCAACTGCGACCTCGCCACCCACGTCCATCGCTGCCCCGAATGTCTTAGCGGCTATAGGGACCGCGCCTCGGCTCACGTCTACTGCGGCACCTGATGGCAACGCGGAAGCTCCGGCGGTACCCCCCAGACCTGCGCCGCGGACCGGCGTCGAGCGCGTCGCGGAGATGCACGCGCTGCGAAATGCGCTGGGCGAGGGCGATGTGAACGAGGTCTCGGTCTGGGAGGAGTGCGACGTGAATGACTACGCGCAGTATGCGGAACAGCTACTGAATGTGAGTGTCTATCTTCATCTCTGCGTTCCAAAAGGGGAAGTTAGCGAGAGGTCTTATGAGACTCGCTGGGATGTAGGACGAGGCGATGCTGTTCATCAGCATACGTTCGGCGTCGCAGCTGCAAGTTCCAAAGGTACTGAAGGTTGTAGAGGAGACGAAGCGGCTACGGTACAAAGCTGGCGAGTTCACATTCCTCCCAAGTCGCCAAGTCAATGCTAATGTTGAGGTCCCTAGGCATCGCGGAGGAGGAAGAGCTGCACCAATATGTCATCTACGAGACCGAAAAACGCAAAGGCCCGCGGCGCATCAATCTCAACGACCCGGATCCTAAGAAGGGCAAAATTCCCGACGCCGACAAGTACGCGCCTCCAACCTCGCTCACCATTCACCTTAGTAAGATCGACATGCCGGAGCTCCAGCCCAAGCCCAACCCCGCGACTCAACGACGCGCATCAGAATCTAACACCACCATCGTGCGCGCGCCGTCGCCACAGTTTGCCCCGCCTCCGTCTCATCCCGCCGTGCGCCCACCTTCTCCGCCGCCGCCGTTCATGCCTCCTTCCTACCCTGTCTATCACCCGCCCTCTCCCCCAGCAGCCCCGACCCCGCTGGCAGCCTCATCCCTCCCCAACCTCCGCTCACCGTCTCCTCCCAAGCCCCCAGCCCCATCCCACCGTGGCGTGCTGCCGCCGATGCCAGTAGCTATCCGTGAGCTCACTGATAAAGAGCGAAAGAAGGCGGAGAAGGAGCGTCAAAGGCTGGAGAAAGAGCGCGAGAAGGCGGCGAAGGAGCGCGAGAAGTTCGAGAAGAAGAAAGGGCGGAGGCAGTCCTCCGCGTACACGCACGTACCACCCCCACCGCCCACAAATATGTTTACGAGACCGTACCCTTCCCCGAGTCCCTCCCCACAGCCACATCCGTATCATACCCCTGCGCACATGGTGCACCCGTACCAGCCCTCCCCGTCGCCGTCGCAGCTGAACAACCCCGGCATATACGGCGCCCCACCTCCAAATGCTCCCAGCCCACGCCCCAGACCGGTGTCGATGGCGTACAACTCCTCGTCCTCGGGCGTGAACTCCCCGAGTGCGTACCAGCCGAGCTACCTTTCGCCGATGGGAAGCGGGGGGAGCAGGCCGCAGTCAGTTTATGGCTCGAGGGACAAGGATGGTAAGGGTCCGGTTTCGGGGTTATTGCACATGTGGTCGAAGGACTAGGTTTGCTGCTTTGGCCTCGCGTTTCGTAGAGGATGTGGAAGCGCTCGATTTGATCGGCGTTGGATGACTCGGGGTGCGTGCAGACCGTTTATGGCTGTGCTGCCGAGTCCTCGGAGAGTCATATGGCATTGCACACCAGCCTTCCTACTACTTCCACTATCCGACCGTGTCCGTTGGCACTACTAGATTGTTTCGCGTCTTGTAAGGTCCGGAAAGAGAAGAATCACTATTAGGACTTTGACTTGACCAGCACCATTTTACTTATGTTTGTCTGTCGTAGGGTCCTTGACCGCTCGCGTCTGTATTTCTACACTCACTTAGATCACGCCGCATACGTACTATCACGCCCTATTATGACTGCGCAGGACTCGCGAGGTCGGCTAACGCTCCACGGCTGCGATCCTGAAGGGTTCCCGTCATGCCGTCTGTCCTTGTCATCAAATCTTGTCATGTATAGGTGACATGGGCACGAGCTGTGTTGTTTGACTTGTGGGTCCAGCAACGAGGGGTTATTTTTACGGGGCGATTGAGCGGTGCGGTGCTCCTCGCTAGGTATCCCGTATCGGGTTCGAGTTCGATGGGCGGTCGTCAAGATTCGGCTGCGAAGGTATAGCGCAGCTTCTTGCTTCTCAAAGTCCTCCAAGTCGACGTGACAACGCAACGCTGAGGCACACCCAGGTAAGGAGACAGCGACAAGATTGTCATGATATCAGCTCCGAGTCGTAACATAGTAGGCAAGTGCTTTGTATTCCTCTTTAGGCCTTCTCAGATCCAGCGAAGATCCGCCCTTGTACTGCACCGCATCGGTTGCCCCGAAGCTCTTGCCCGCGGACGACTCCTCCCTCGGGCCGCCATATGACTTTGCGATGTCGCAACGCTGCTGGGTTTCCTTTCCCATGATATCCTGCTGGCTGATGGAGGTGAACGTTGGCGTTCCAACATACCCGGGCTACTATCCGGCGATGGCCTTGCAACCTGCGAGCAACACTCCGATTCCGTCAGCTCATCCCGGGTCGCCCGTGCACCGTTGCGCCCAGCGCTGGATGAGATGTCAACGGTGCATTTGCTGCCCACCAAACTGAGACGTCAGCCAGCTGGACGCGAAAGCGCACAAAGATGCCAAGACTTCCTCGTGATGGCGGTGAGTAGCGAATGCTCTGCATGTCTGCTGCCTGGGAGACGTATGTAGGCGACTGCAAGGAAGAGGCTATTTCTTTCCCACTCGGATCGGGACATCAGGACGGTACGACAGGCACAAGCATATATGCTTCTCGTCCTACATAGAGCCCTACGCCTTGCCTGTGGATTTTGCATCATTCCAAACATTCAGGAGCCACGAGGATTTTGTTACTGCACGACGAAGCCCTGCCTGCAATTATACCCGGTAACCAGGCCTCGGCTCGGCTTCAGTTCCTTTCTGAGCTATGGCCGCCGGATCAGTTGTCCTGAAACACACGAGATCAGCAAGGGGATGACCGATTCCGTGTCATCGAATGTACCTGACCAATCGCGGCGCGCGGTATGTGGCCTCCGCGTTGGATCTGGTCTCGCCCTATCGCCCTGCCCATCAGGCCCATCACCTTGGGCGCGCGGCATTGCATGTGCAGGAGGCCGCCAGGGGCCGCAATTTAACAAACACGAATGAAGGGGATCACCAATGTATAAAGGCACACCGAGACTCGTCCTTGGCACCTTGTTCGGTCTCTCCGCCGCACGCTCCTTCTCCCTTGCGATCTGGGATCGCCTGCAGGCCATCGACTTCTTCCTTTGCTCGAGACTCAGTGTCCGACTCCATCTCTCCTTTTCAGCGTAGATCGCCTATATACGATCAAATATGAAGTACACTATCATTGCCACACTCTCCTTGGCCCTTGCGGCCTCTGCTCGCCCGAGCTTTATCTCCGCCAAGCGTGCTGAGTTCACGCTGAAGAACGGCCAGGATGCTATCGCCTTGAAGTACGTAAACTATTTCTTGCGAGAGAGATACATAACGGGCAGAGTGGTTGACAAGTCTTCCGATCTTGCAGCGACAAGTTCAAGACGCTCACCCCCGACTCGGCGTGTTCGACCGGCGATATCGCATGTGTGGACGACAAGTTCGCGCAGTGTGTCAGCGGCAAGTTCGTCCTCCAGCAGTGTGGGGGTGGTTTGATGTGAGTCCTCCCTGTAGTAGTCCGCAAGTCCTTCTCCCAATCTCACCGCTCCTACAGCTGCGCCGCGCTCCCCCTCGTCAATTCTGCGGGTACGAGCGTTACGTGCACGTCCGCCGCTGACCGTGATGCGCGCATTGCCGCCACTGGCGCGAAGGACGCTTCTACTGGCGATAACGCTGCAACCGGTGGCGCCGCCGCTGGTTCCTCATCTGCGGCTGCTAGCACATCCGCTGCTGCTAGCACGTCTGCTGCTGTTAGCACATCTGTTGCAGCCAGCTCGTCCGCTGCAGTCAGCTCGTCAGCAGTCAGCACGTCGTCCGCTGCCGCCGCAACCAGCTCTGCCGCTGCTGGAGACAATGCTACCAACGGTACTGCCGTTGGCGCTGATGCCCAGACCTCGTTGACCCTCGACCCGAACTCTATCCAGCCGAACTACGCCAGTGACGGTAACGCGAACGCCACAGCTGGACAAGAGCCTTCGCTCACGTCCACGAACAACTTCATCAACTTCTGCCTCCTGTTCCCCGACAAGCAGAAGACGAACGGCGCGCAGGTCCTCGATGGCTCGTGCAACCAGACTCCGATGGGTCTCATCGCTGCCAAGGCGAACATGCCGTCAGCCAAGTTCCAGAGCCCGAAGAACGGCGACACCATCCCGGCGAACAAGGACTTCACCATCCAGCTCGCGATCAACAACCTTGAGACGGGCCACTTCACGAACCCGACGACGACGTTCCATATGGCGCCCCAGGTCGTGAACGACCAGGGCCTCATCAAGGGCCATTCGCACGTCGTCATTGAGGAACTCACCTCGCTCAACCAGAAGACGCCCACCGACCCAACCAAGTTCAAGTTCTTCAAGGGTCTCAACGACAAGGCGACGAACGGCGTCCTAACTGCGGTCGTACCCGGCGGTCTCCCGGCAGGTTTCTACCGCGCTGCGACCATCAACTCTGCTGCGAACCACCAGCCCGCTCTCGTTGCTGTCGCTCAGCGTGGTGCCCTCGACGACATGATCTAGTGAGTGCTCTCCGTGTACACTACCTGCGAGATTTTACTTACTAGTGGCGCGTTCTAGCATCACCGTGAACTAAGCTGGAGATGCTTTGATATGTTTGCAAATTCCTTATTATATTTGGTCGTATTGATTGGAGTGTGGTACGGGATACCCTATTTCGCGGTCTCGAGTTTTGTATCCATAGTCACTAGTCGCAATGAAGTCGATGGTTCTTTCAAAATAGTTTTCTGGTGTGCCTTTGTGTGAAGGGCAATCTTGACAACTACTTCTTGCTAAGTGCGCCACTTGCAGGGGCTGAACGTTGATCAATAGCAGAATATATTGTAACCGATATGCACTGAGAGTACAGAATACGCGAAGACAGTCTGGTGAGGTAACGAGCACACAGCTTTGCGACAGCAGGGATTCACAAAGGCGGTAACGGTCGTCGACATTGAGGACAGATGTTCTGCAAGGAGAATCTCAGACGTAGTCGAGAGATACAGAGACATCAGCGCACCTTGTACGTCAGCCACTATTTGAAAGAAAACACAAGACGCTAGGTGGTCAGAAATATTCATCAGTGCACACGATACGAAGGAAACTCACCCGCTCCAGGCACTCAGTGTGCTATTGATAATGACGAACGTGAGCTTTGATACCGGAATACAAAGCCGCAGGAAGTACTCACGAACAAATGGTGGCACGGCGCAAGACTGTATGTCTTTCTTGCCGTGGTGACCTTCCTGAGAAACGGGAGCCCGATAGCGGGTCGCTCCTTGGCGTCGCTCGACTTCGACCTTCGGCGCAGGGATGGGTCCACGAGAATGGCCTCCATGCAGATCGCGCAGTCGCCCAAGGTCTGTTCTGGGGCTTCTGGGTCCGGAAGCGGGATGATGGGATGGTAGTTGTACGTCTGGACACGCGAAACGCGCGTAGGTAAGAAGAAGCACGGGTCGACGTGCTCTTGCAAGAAGACGACGAAGACCTGCAATAGCATGATCAGTGCAACGAACCAAATCCATCCTGGCAATCACCATTCAGTGTGAGCACGGCTTGCTAACAACGCTTCGAGAACGATCGCGGAAGAACTCACCTCGAGGTTCGACGTCGAAAATGTTCTTCGGGCATCCCAAAAAGTCTGTTTCGGAACGAGCAAGCACTTAGAGACAGGCTAGTGCGCGAGAAGTAAGAGGAACCTACAACACACGAAGAATAATCGCCCCAGCGTCGACCCAATTAGGTACTCCGCAGATAACCCACTGCTCCGCGCGCGACGCGTAGACCGGTAGATTTGCATCAGCCACATGCATGAGTAGAGCGAGCCGATGAAGAAGAGCGGGAGCGACAGCATGATCACGATCCGGAACACAACGATGAGACACAGCGATATCATCATCCCTGTGTCATAGAAGCCAGAAGTCAGCATCGTATCCCCATGAACGCAATGCGTAGTCAGCGATATGCGCTGCTCGCAGCCATCAATGGTCTCTCGTCTGCATGGTGCAGATACGCGAGAGGACCACGCAGAGACACAACGATGCAGCGAAGAGACAGTTGAGGACGTACATAATCGCGCAGCAGGGTCCGTTCGGATATGGTGCAATAGAAAGCGGAAGAAGGATGGTCTTTCAGGTAAGGCGGGAGGTGGTGTGGGCACGACTGGGGGCACGCCGGTTGGTGCCGGCTGGTCAGCGGGACCCGAGGATGTTGGTGTACTTCCGTCCACCTGAGGTTGCGGTTGGGGCGGGGGTGCTGTGGTAGGTGCAGGTGCGGCTGGTCGGGGAGTTGGGGCATCCTCGGGAGCTTGAATCTGGCCGATCAACACTGCAAATTGCTGTTGCATGACCCGTGAGTATGCGACGACAGACTACACTGGCAGGTGCATACCGCTTCGTAGATGAAGAGTAGACACGCTAGACCTGCTGGCGCAAGTACCGACATTGACGGCCGCCCATCGGCAAGAATGGCCACAGTGACGTGCTATGGACGTAGTTCAGTGGTAATACGAGCAAAATGTTTATTACAACATACCCCAACAAAGGAGATCGCGTCGAGAAGACTTTGTATGAGGAATGTATATCGGGAGACGCGAGACAAACCAGCGGCAGAACTGCTCCGAGCCGCTTGCCTCCGGAACAGTACAAGGAGAAGGAAGTTAACGAGCGTGGATAAGCCAGCGTCTACATAACAGGAATGTCAGGTTTGAGCGAGGAAGCACGCGAAGGACGACGCACAAGTTGTGATCTTCCGGTACAACTTCTGGGTCCTGTCACAAGGTCAACTACTGAATGCGACAAGGTCGGACAATGTGACGTACTGCACTCCGACTGTATGCTTGATCTCGTACAGAATGCCACAGTCCTGGCTAAGTAGGACGCCTCCGAGGGATAGTTCGGGTGCTCTAACAGTGGTGATGCCAGTTGGCTCGTCAATCTCGTTTTCGAGCTCGTCCATAAGTTCTTTTGGTACTGTGGTCACATCAAGTTGACCGAAAAACCTGAACAGGCACTTCGTCTTCGGGCTCTCATCCTCTACAAAAGTTGAGTGTGATAGCCACATAGGAGAGAATAGCTCGTACCGTTGGACGAGGTGTCTTGCTCGAACGATCCTGCGTCGATTTTCTCCTTCAACTTCGATGCGCGAATCCTGATTTCTGCCTCAACGGCTCGCGCACTGTCGTTCCGGTATGTCTCGGGGACCAATGCAGGGAGATTGCGCAGATCTATACCGTGTCTACAGAAGAGCGGTGTTGTGAGCTGTCATTTCGGCTCGCAGAGCTAGGAATATACCCTGTAGATACTGCCAGTGCGTAGACTGTCCCAGTGGAAAGGACGTGGACACCTTCGAAATCCAGTCTGAGATCATCATCGCTCTTGGGTTCTGCCAAGTCGACTTTCCCCTACGCCTCATTCACACATTGTTCACGCGTGGAATTGGAGGGAGCTCACATGGATGATTGCGATACTCTTCGTCTCACCCTCTTCACTTTGCTTGTATGGGACTAGCTTATCACCGACATTCAAAGTGACCTTGTTCGACCGCGTCCAATTCCATGACCCTAGTCGTTCAGGGATCTCACTGAGGTTTGTGGTGAGCATCCACTGCTCAGCCAAATGCCGCCAGGGGGAGGTTTTCTCTGTAGCGTTGAGGGAGGTGAGGTTGTGAAGCTGGAGATCTCCGTGCCAGAAGCCAGTCAGATTGGAATAGTACGACCCTTGCTTGGGGTCGAGCTCGAGTCCAAATGGCAGGAACGCTGCCACCAACGGCGTAGTATTGGGGTCCTCGACGGGCTACGTACAAACAGGAGGATGACTATCACAAACATTCGCATTCGACATCAAAGCAAGGACTGACGAGGGTGAAGTTGCTCTCCGTGCCGTTCAGCCACGCACTGAAGTTGCCCAGCTGCCAGTTGAGAGATTGGAGGCCGTTCACATACAGGTCTCTTGTATTTGCAAGCTCGTCTCCGTGTCCGTTCATGAGCATGAAGAGGATGAAACTAAGGAAGAGAAGAGAAGGCACAGAGCTCCGCTGCTGGCGAGAAGGCGTGTCTGTACCATTCTCGAGGTCTCGGGTGGGGTCGTTCGCGGGCGTACTCATCGACCGGGTAATGCAAAGTAGATCAGGATGGTGAAGCTAAGTGTAAGCACGCTCGCCCTGCCGCAATGTAGCCAAAGAACCGAGGAAAGAGACCTAGTAACGAAATTAGGTGGAGGTTGAAGCGAGGGTAGCGTGACGCTCGTCCTGGCGCCGCCTTCGGGCCCTTGACCTCGATCCATCATGGTCCATCTCCTTTACCTCGATATCCAGCTCAGTCCCCTCTAGCAGGATTGCGGTGGCTTGCTACTGTGCTTCTGCGGATTGCTGCGTGGCTCGAAGATGACTTCTAGTGCCGCTCCGTAGTGGCTCGGCATTTGGTGGCATCAATTGTCCTCGCCATCCTACCACGGTCCAGGACAATTGCGCTCGCCTTGGTGCCTGGGCCGTTCGACAGCAGCCAGGATGATGTGGCCATAGACGGATATGTGTATAAAAGCAGCTGGTCTGTCGTAAGTGTCTCCAATTGCCGTACGACCATCGGCATGAGTAGATTCCACAAAGGCAGCTCGCGAGTACGTGTGCCACTCACTCAATACAAGCCCAGATGCATCCTTCGACTCTATTTGTAGGGCTTCGTACGAAACTCCTGAACAGACTCGCTAGATTTTTCAATAACGGCGCCGATCCGCAAGACGACGGCCAACGCCCCAGCCAAGGAACTGTTCGAGGAACCGCCTCATCCCGCTCCAACCACCATATCGCACCACGAACTCGGGATATTATGAAGCACCTTGCTCTCAACAGGGATTGCCTCACCACCATAGCGCAGAATACGTTCCTCACGGGGTACCCCCGGCCGACTGTCCGGTCTGTCGTTCCAATTTTGCCACCTCACGACTACCCGCGCTCGATGCCTCGCACGTTGGCGAAGATATTCCAGATTTTGTGTACGTCCTGGACGATTCCACTTCCGCGCCGCCCCCAATCTACGTCCGTGAGTGGCCAAGCCTCCCTAGGGACGCTCATGGTGCCCTCGACCTTGATACGTTCTTGCGACCCGGGACCAATAACACAACGCCTCGCCTTACGCATCTACGTTTGAACTCGGGCTGGCCGGTCTACGAAGGCCACCACGCATTTTCGTATCGTGCCGAGTTCTCTTACAGAGCCAGGACCAGTGGCACGTTACTGAGACGCCGCGTCGTGGCGAAGGTTGCGCATCAACGCTGCGTCGACCAGGGCATAACGCGACAAGAAGGATGGTTGCACGAGGCTAGCCTACCCATTACAGCCATGGTCGAATCTCACGGTCGCAGCTTGCTAGGAGATAAACTGGTCCATCGATATCCTGCCGTCACCCCACGATTACTCGGGCTGTACGTTCCATATGGCTCGCCGACGGACCCAAGTCACGCCAGCTGCAAATCAACAAGGGACTGCGCTCAGAGCCCTCCTATCCTCTTCATGGAGGACCGGCATACGTTCCATCGAGGTCGCAGCTTGACTCGGAAGCAGTTGTGTGCCTCCCGCCCCTCAGGCATATGAGGCAAATGCCACCGGGGTTAGGATAGCGGGCGGTGCTTTCCATACGTCGGCGTCTACCCGTGTATCAGAAAGTGTGAAATTGGGGCTACGCAGCAGCGCGCTCGCTTTCCTCTTACATTCCGATTGTGCAGTCGTGTAATCGCGGAGTCGGGTAAGCGACGCTAACTTGTATCCTATTCTGTACTATCAATTTACTCTTCGATGCGCGCAAAATGTGTCCACTCAAGGGCTTTGCAGGATACATAGACTTGAGCCTCGCCCTTCGCCGAACTCCTGCCGGAGAGAGCTCCAATCACAACTTAGGATCGACGCGCAGTTACACGAATGGGTACACAGGGTTGGCGAGTTTTGCCATCAATCGACTGCGTGCGTGAATAAGGACGTGGTTACGCAGCCTAGGGCCACGTAGCTAGTTGCGTGTAGTGGTTCTCCCACAGGCAAATGACATCCAAAAGGTGAGGTCCAAATGGACACCGCCTGCCTGGTATTCAGCCACCCCATAAGTAGGTGCACGGTGCCCCATAGTACTGTGCACGGTGCGTCCCTGCGCGCAACCGCAGATCAGTGCCAGATGGGGCCTGAATACCATAAGCGGACATTGCCTCGAGCGTCACTAGTGCAGACAGGGTTCCGCCGGCTCAGAAACCTATAAGTATCCGAACATACATGCAGTGCAGAACGCGCGCGCCCGTCGGCCAAGATGGCTCTCCGATGGGTACCTTGCGAAGAAGGCCCACTAATAGGACACGCCTGAACCAGCCTTGCTCCAGTCTTGCATGCGTGACGAGCGGCTAGATCCACGTGGTTTTGTAATCAACTGGTTTCGAGTCTACTGGGGCCCAATCCCTGCTTGAATCAACGACCCCCATCGAGGCTTGACAGCGCTTTCCTACCTTGACTCTCTATGGACAGTCCGGACTCCTCACTCACTTGCAGGCTGCTTCTCTCGCATGATGGGGTTTGACATAACGCTCTCTCTGTACCTGTATAAGCAGGGAGCTCGAATCCTTGAGACTCACCATCTCATTTTCTCTCTTCACGTCGCCCCCCTCTCTTTTAGGTTTTGCACTATCTACCTTGCCGCATCGCCCTCCTCGCTGCCGCTGGCCCTTGCGGCCAGCAGCACTCGGCGGACGCGATGGTTGACCTAGCAAAGACGCTTCACAACGTGGACATGGGTCGATTTTGCACAGACTTTTATGCAGCAACCGCGCAACACGGTACGCTTCTTCAAGTTGTACAGTTTACAAGTAATATATGGACTGACACCATTCATGCAGAGGGACTCACACGCAGTCCCATACTGCCAGGAAGCTCCAAAGAACTCAGAGTTGAACGGTCTCTTTCAGTGCCAGTACCTAGGCACGGACCAGCAGACGTTCGTCGGTGGCCTTGCGCTCGGATCGGCGGGCACCATTCCCTTCGAAGGGATACGTATTGGTGCTGGATGGACAACTTGTCTGACGCGCACTACTATCCAGAAGCCTACAGGAAGCGTTCTTTCCGGTACGAGGGCAATGTACCTTACATCACTTTCTTCTTCCACCCATACCTTCACAGACGCGTAACACCCCATTCCATGAACCAGAACTCGAAGGACTCGCCGTCCGATTCAAGCACCTGCGACACCAACTTCGTTGCCACCTTCACGGTACCCCTCTTGAAGATCACCCCATCCCATAGCTCCGTCCAGCTCTTCGGCGAGAAATAAAACATCTGCATCTCGCCGCCGCCTGGAGTCTTCTCAATAGTGGCGCCAGCATCCTCATCGGGGCGCGAGGCTTGGTACCCAATGATCATCGAGCCGGGCTTTGGGGACAGGAGGCTCGCGATGGCGCGTGCGAGGCGGACTTGTGCCTCTTCGGTCCCGAAGAGGTGGAATACAGCACATATGCTGACAGCGGAGACGTGGCCCCGGAGCGGGTTGAGCGAGGTGAGCGAGGTGATGTCGGGGGCGGGCGTAGTGGGCGCGGTGTAGAACGGCTCCACGATTTGGAGGAAGCCCATGTCGAAGGCGTCTCCTGCGAGGAACGGGACAGGGAATGTCTCTTGGCTAGTGTTGAATAATTTGTGGCCCAACTGCCAGAACTCTGTATGTGTATCGACTCGATGAGAATGTGTCCATAAGGAGCATCGGCGAGCTCTGGACATACCAGGTGCTAGATCGGTCGCCACAACACTTTCCATAGGATAGCCATCTGCGATCGCCTTCCTGACATCGACGCCAACTGAGACAGTCGTGATCAGCCAAGTCACGGTACAAGAATGGTCATAATGTACAGAAGCATCCAGTATCGAGATAAATAGGATCCTTGCGGGACCTCCCCAGCTCGAGGAACTTGTCATATCCAGGGAGTTTTGAGAGTGATAATCTGGAGATACAGAGGTGTCAGACTCCCGCACATTATCACTGGCGGAAAACGTGCTTGGTGAAGCAAAAGCGGGAAATGCATGGATAAGCATGGACCTGAATAACAACTTCAGCTTGAAAACCCAGTAGCGTCCGAAGCAGATCCTCCACCTTGAACGCTTCCCGCTGGACGGCGAACATATGTTCCTTGAGTTTGTCTGGATCGTCGATCCCAGTTTCAGCCATGAAGAAATGGAGCTCTTCGCCTGAGAGGGAGTATTTGGACCGCTCAGGTATTATGCCTGGAGTCTCGAATGGCTTCGGTATCGCGGAGGGCATGGTCCGTAAAGGGGGGATGAAGGCAATTTCACAACTTACGACTAGCCACGGGGAACTTGGTATTTAACTACCGCCTGCCCTCTGCCCTCACCCTGCCTTCACCTGCCATAGTTGGTTTCGGACACACTTGAGTTCTGTCGTGACGTAGGTGTATGCGTGCCAATCCGGCGGCGACGTCAGCTTTGCACCCTCAATATGTTGTGACATGCATCAGATCGAAGCATGGACACACTCTTTCCCGCTGCGATTTGCAAATGCATATGCACTACTGCAACGGGAAAGAATTTGGATTCACTGGATCGGCGAAGAAGATGTGGCGGTATGTGTAGAGACTACAACGGCGGTTATAACCCGAAGGGCAATCTGGCCTCGACGGTTTTTAACCTACCTACCGCATGCAGAAAGAGAGCAGCCGAGCAGCGCGCGTAGGCACGGCTGTCACGCGCTCATCAAAATGCGATACCCGAGCTATGGGCGCGAGCAGCGAGGTCGAGGGCCCTGCCCATGGCAGTTGGAAGAGGGAGAAACCAAAGCAATCAGTATGTAGTATGCATGCACATAGCAAGCCTTAGGGCGAGCGGGCCTGTGGCGGCAGTCACGATGGCCGAGGCGGGAGGCGGATATCGGCAGAGAAAAGGTGCTGATGGTAAGCGTGTGATGGAAGAGCCACCCCGGATGTGTGCACAGACAATTCCGGACAGGCACGGTAGGCATCACGTGAAGGGGGAAAGGGAGGTTTGAAACCATCATGGCCCGATCCCCCTTCGGGTTATAACCGCCGTTGTAGGTTACTCCGGTATGTAGAGAGATGATAAAGGCCGCGTGGACCGAGAAGAGTGCCGTCCAACACCAGAGTATGCCGCGAGATTCTGGGAACTTTGGCGGGACGACGACTCCGTTGATCAAAGCACCTTCTGACTGTGCATTGCCTCGCGTAGAAACTTCTTTGTCCCTGTTCGGTTCCATGATGAAAACCCATACAAGGTTAGACTCTTCGTATATGCAAGCCGTAGTCTTCAGAAAGGGACATCTTCGCCCATCAGGCAGCGGTCGTACAACTTCTCAGAGCTTCTGAGTTGACTCCTCAGACCTCAACATTTTGGGAGTGGAACGATGTACTTGCACATCGGAGGTTACATTTAGCAGTTGTTTGTAGCATCTAGATGATAGGAAGATGTCACACGTACAGTATCAACGGCAGCTGAACAACGTGCCGATCACACCCTGACTGGATAGATGCGTCGCATGATTGGGTCAGCCGGGCACATTGCGAACGACCTATCGGAGCCACTTCAGCCCAGTTGTACACATACAACCTTGCGATGCTGTATATCAGTATTTGCAAATTCCGGAGCTTCTTGCAAACCATCTCGTATTCATAGACGCGGTGTGTGGCGACACATCCATAATCGTCACTTACCTGGTGCAGTGACGTCCGTGAGATACTCAGGAGCCATCCTTGATGTATCCTTATGAACTAGTCAATGATTGTTTCCGGAGACCGAATACAGGCGGTCAAACCTGTCGTGGCGTAGTCGTACGATCCGAGAGAGTAGAGAGGGAGACGTTCTTCACAGGCTCAGAGTCTCGTAACAGACCACTCCAACATTTGGTATGTCTGGTCCGTCGTATGATCCATAAGTCGCGCCTCGACCCTGACCGTGCCCTTCCAGAAGAGCTTCCCGTCCCACAGCTCGGTCCAGCTCTCCGGAGAATGACAGAACAAGCGAAAGTCCGTCCCCGCCGTCCCTTGACCTACCCTCACGCCCGCTTCCTCGCGGCCAATATGATAGCCGAGTATCATCGAGCCTGGCTCCGAAGAAAGCAGGCCGGCGATGTTCTGCGCTAGCTGGAATTGTGCTTCTTCGGCGCTAAAGAGGTGGAAGATTGCGCAGACGGATATGACGGAGACGTGACCGTGCAGAGAATTGAGGGACGTCAGCTCCGAGAGGTTGAGACGGGGTGTAGACGGTGCGGTGTAGAGGGGCTCGACGGCCTCGAGGAAATCGGGTTTGAATGCGTCTCCAGCGAGGAACGGAATGGGGAACGTCTTAGGGGTTGTCTTGAAGAGCTTGTGGCCAAGATTCCAGAAGTCTATAAGCTCAATGCAGGTGAGTATGATTGAAGGACAAAGTAAGGGCATATCTACTCGCCTGGGATGATGTCGGTAGTGATGATATTCTGCATGGGATACCCGTCCAGTACAGCCTTTCTTACATCCGTCCCAACTGCACAGAGCAAGTAAGCATCGTAAGGAGCGGGTGGATCTGAATCAACACTCACAGCAACATCCGAGGTCCAGGTAGATGCTGTTGCGAGCCTTACCGAGTGCGATGAGCTGATCATAGGCGGGCAATTTCGACAGCTTCAGCCTGTAACTATGATCAGATCAGACTGTTGATCTTATCGGGCGTAATCACATACTTCAGAAAAGAGAATGTAGCGATGCAGGGATAAGCATGAGACTGAATCAAAGGCCATCAACAGTGTAAGTGACGGCAGAGAGTGTATCAACGAGCCTTGTACGCATCACGCTGGACAGCGATGATATGCTCCTTTAACAGCACTTCGTCGGTGATGCCTGTCATCGTTTTGAAGAAACTGAGCTCGTCGCCTGACAGTGAATAAAACTCCTCAGTGCCATCGATAGCACGTTTGGACGCGAAAGCTCTGGGAGTAGTTTCGACCATGGAAGTAGATAGGGGAGGGGATTTAGATCACGAAGCAAAGTGTATGAACGATGTTACCACTGCGAAGAAGTGACGTTATATACGTACAACCCCCTGACTAGTAAATTCCCCTCAGTCGGCGTTCCTGCGGGCTGAGAAACAAACTTTGGGACAGCGCCATGGTGCTCAGTGGCAGAGCTAGGACTTGATAGAAGAACATGGGCTGTCGTCCCTGTCAAGAATCCCGGATCCCGCACGCATCTGGCATTCTATGGGTTACCACATGACAGGCAGACGCCCGGTAGGGCCTGGAGGTCACGCCGAAGTCTGCCGAGCGTCGTAACGAGGTTTAGTCTGCATAACAATTCGAGGAAGTCCAATGCCTAGTTGTTCGACAGCGTCTCGAGACTTCTTTATGCGTTATCTGGGAAGCACACATGCCATCGGTCGGCAGCCGGCCAAGGTCTAGGAGGTACCTGGTGTCCTTGAAGTACACTGTCGTGTGAGCTTCTCTTCCCGAGACGTACTAGCTACTAATTGAAGTTCGGCCATGGGAACGTCAAGTGTTGATAGGGGTACTCAATCCGAAAATTGCCCCGCTTTTCAACGACGAGTTGGATGAGGCATCGACCCCGGTCGAAAGGCGATGAGTCGATAGCTTCTTTTCTGCTGCTCCAGACAAAGATGATGAGTGTATTCTGGAGATCGAGAGAGTGATCACCTACTATCAATTGTTGATGCGAAGTGATGGTACGTATAATGCGAGGCTAGCTCGACTCAACTGTTGTTGCGGCCAATCCTCAGCGCTAGTGGCCGGCAAGAACCGGAATATGTCATCACGAGAAGTTCCAGAGATGGCAATTCGTAACGTGCCGCAGCCTGCGTCAACTTCTCACAAGTACCACCCATAGATTCTTTACCACTCGAGAAATCTGATTGCTTAACTGTCTACCGGAACTACTCATGTCGAAGGCACCTCTTTCTCGGATCAAGCATACGTTACACTGCCTAAATTACGCCGTTGCTAGGGGGCTAGTGAGTTCATTGTCTACTAAATCTTCCGTCGGTATGTATGTGTGTCGCTGGCAGGGAGTTCGTAGCAGCACTTCCATATTAGCCACGTTGTGATTTATCACTTCATCACGTTATATGAACGGCCGCGGAGGCCAGAACGACCGGCGGCGTCACTTGTCCTCAAGAACCACTCACTTCTTACTCCTGGTTATTGGGGCTCGCTGGGATGCATCGAGCCCAGAAGGCCGCCTGTTCCAGTTGTCTGGGTATGTGTTTAAGGTGCTTGCAGGACCGGCCTTTACCGGGGATGTTCGGAGAGCGTAAGTTTATAAGCAATGGAGCTGTTAGCCGGTTTAGTGGTTTACTAAGCTGTGTCGGTCTTGAAACGCCGGGAGGGATTGTACGTACCGCGTAGTAGACAGGATGGCATGTAAAAGCTGTCTCGCAGAACGGAGTAAGGTAGCACGACCTTCCCCGTCTCAGTTCTTCGTCTGTTCTAGCTACCTTCAGTACCATTTTCAAGAGATGTTTTCTCGCCTCGCTTCGCTGCTCCAGCTCGTGGTCCTCCTCGGGACTGCTACCGCTTCGCCGACACACGACACTCCAGCGGTTGTTCGTCCCATCACAGTGTCCATCTCGACCTCCTCCGACCTCTCCTCATCGCCGTCGTCATTGTCTGCGGCCTCGTTGTCTTCGACCGCTGCGTCAACGTCATCTCCTTCGACACCTCTTGCAACTGCGGCCTTGGATAAAGCACAGGTCATCGGAATTGTCAACGGATCAGTTACCACCTTCAACGGCATTCCGTTCGCCGAGCCACCGTGAGTACACTCCATGATTCGAAAGGGAACAATTTTAATCAGTGCTATCACAGAGTAGGCGACCTCCGTCTCCGCTTTCCCGTACCCATCCACGGCTACAACGGCACAATCGATGCCACCCAGCCTGCGACGCAATGCATTCAGCTCGAACCGCAGATCCGTGTAGACATGCCGCCGCAGATGCTTCAGGATGTGGTAGCCTACTCCGCCAGCGTCCTCCCTACGAGCTCGGCTCCACAAAGTGAAGATTGTATGTGCCAACCTCACTTGGCCACTACGGACACTAACCTTTCTTAAAAACCTTAGGCTTGAACATCAACGTGCAAATACCTACTGGTACTAAGCCTGGAGAAAAGCTCCCTGTGGTTGCTGTATGTTGGAGTTACATGTGGCCCGCTACAGATCACTTACGCTCTTGCTGCCTTTACAGTATATCTTCGGGGGTGGCTTCGTCGTTGGCTCGAATGCACAGTACGTATACGGTTGCCGCTCTTGATTATATATATATTGGGTCTGATTCAGCTTCATTCGTAGGATATCCGGTGATGCGCTTGTCGCCAGGTCGGTCGAAATGGGGCAGCCCGTCATCTTTGCTGCGATGAACTACCGCCTCCACGCTTTTGGCTTCCTCGGTGGCAAGGAAGTCAAGGATGCCGGCGTTGGCAACCTTGGTCTCCATGACCGTGAGTACACGCATCTATTTTCAGCACGATCTCCGAACTGAGAGCATGGGCGCAGAGCGTGCAAGCTGGTTGGCGTCGCCGGTCAGGAAGGGAGAGCCGGCAGCAGGGTCATTCGGATAGAGGTTGAAGAGAGGCTCGAGGAGCGCAGCAGAGGGGACGTGAGGGAAGAAAAACTGGTGCACGTAGTCACGGAACTGCTGCTCAGTCCTGTGTACATCATAAGCGATAGATTCGAAGGAGCATGGGTACTGAAGACGTACGTGATGTTGAAGCTTCCGGTGGCAAAGATCGTGCCTTCGTCCAGCGCGTCCCCCGAGATGAACGGAATGTCCGCGACCTGGTTGGCAAGTACCAAATGCTCCGGAGGCGCGGTCAAGAACTTGCCATCCGCCCGAGGAGCCCAGGGAGTAGCAAGACCCGGATAGCCAAAGAGACTTGGGATTGTACCAGCAGCCGCGGTGAGGTTGGCAGCGGGGAGTTGGCGTAGACACTCAAGCGTGTCATCAGCAACGTTGCACCCTGCAGCATCAACGACGCGGTCGTAGATCGGCTGGAGCTCTTCAATGTACCCAGTGGGGATTGTGGAGCCGGCGCTCATGACTGACCCACGGAAGAGGCCTTCAGTATTACCACCATTCGTGACCATCTGGAGCGCCGAGGAGATCGCGCCAGAGGATGGCCCCCAGAGGGTGACCTTCTCGGGATCACCACCGAAGGCGGCGATATTCTTCTGGATCCAGCGGAGAGCCTGGCCGATGTATAAGCGGATGGCGGCTTTCCAGGGCGACATGATCTTCCAGGCGCCCCGCAGGTTTATCCTCGACCAGCGTTCGTCCAAGCAACCCACTTGGTCCTACAGTACGTCCACCTCCTGCTAATCAAGTTTGCAACGGTAAGGACTGATTCAAGTTGTCGGACATCAGTCAGCGAACGCGGCGCTGTTCCCGGACTGGGCTTCGCACACGGGACCGACATTGCTTCTGCGATCTCCGGACAGGAGCTCGCGGACTACATCATCCAGTTCACAGCGACGCAGGACCCGAACGGGAAGAACGGCACCGCGTCGGAGCATACCATCTACTGGCCCAAGTACGACACCGCGAAGCGGCAGGTGCTGTCGGTCCTCAACGACTCGCTTGCGATTGGAAACGATACGCTGCGCCTGGAACCTATAGCAAGTCTTACTGCACTCAGCCTCGCGTTCCCGCTGTAAGCGAATTTGCGCCATTGGTGATTGGACTGTCAGCAATGAACCGTGAAGTAAGCGATTTGAAGTCTATCTAGCTATCCTTGATGAGATGCTCTGTCTTTACACCGGACTTACCGTATTTACTGGAATGTCGTGAGGAATGCCGCTCTCCATTGCCGTTTAATCACCCCTTCGGACTTGCTAGTAGGTCGATGGTAGCACGCCGAGGGTTATTGCTACTCATAAACCTCTACGCCTCTCTTCCACCACTAATCTTTCAGTGGGTTAGGATGGGATTCTATGAAATACTCAGATTGTCTTCGTCATGCTGTGCGATGGTTCTCCCCTGCCCACCCTCGCCGGCTGTGCGCAAGAGGCGTCCTTACAAGCTCGCCGCATCTAGTCACTTACCCACCGCCTCGGCGTTTCCATTTCTGTGCCCGAGGCTGCTGATATTGCTCCAAGCCTCGACGATCAGTTTGCGAGCTATGTTTCGCAAAAGTGGTTCCTCCGATCCTCGGTAGCCGCTTCTTGAGCTGTACCCGCCCGACGTCTCTGCCGGCTCGCCATTCGACACTCGCACCGCCAACGCGTTCACACCTCAATCTAAACGCATTGCTGCGCTCCAGGTGGATCTTTCAAGCTCCCCGTCGCATGCTTCTCGACAGGTGCTCCGGCGTACAGACTGCGTACAATTTCCGTGCATGTGATTTTTGCTCGTCTCCCTGATACGCCGTGACCTTTGATCCCCAGGCTATACTTCGCAATATATGCCCGCGGCAATCTCCCTAGGATCGGCAGTTCTCATGGCAGAGATTTTTTTGACGCGTACGGTCCTGATGATACGACTGAGTTCTTCGTGCGTTTCGTGAACACCCTCTTGGACCCTAACGCGAAGACTGGCGTCCACTGGCCAGTGTTCCACTCTATCGTACGCCCGACCCTCACGTTCTCAGACAATACAAGTCAGCCCATTCAGGCGACAAGGGATACTGACGAACGTGTGGTCTCAGGAAGTTCCCATGAATGAATACCATGTAAGTATGTCGTGGTCACTAGGGCGCGTCTGTTAGGGCGCTAATCCGCGTGGGCTTTACTTGAACCACGACCATCGTCAATTAATGTGCCCGAGCGGCCTCTCGTCTTCTTCTCTAGGTGTCTAAGACTGGCTGACCTCTCTTGTGTATGAAAGAACGAACCTCTATTCATGGCAAGTGGGACCGACCAAGTGCCACGGAGCCATTGGTATAATCCGTGACGTGTCTATGCACTCGTCATTTATCGATCGTAGAATCGCCCCCCCCCCATAATGCTGTGGGTCCGTGAGCACTTCAGCGGTTCGTACGTATGCAATTTGAGACGCACAGTCCTCTGATCTCTCGGATTCCTCGGCATCTGTCTTCCGTTCACATGAGCGTCGAAAATACCTGGACGGAGTCCCATCATCCCGTTCATGAGGTGCTCGGTGATCCTTCTATTGCCATATCCTTCTGGAACTTCGCAAAGCCTTGCTGCATGGGGGACCCTTGAGGTAACACAGCCGTAAATCGATGGCTTCGAGCATGGGAGTGATAGTCGCCTGACCGGCATTTTGCTTATTGAACGGTGCCAGTTATTTGCGGTGTCCGCCCTTCTGTCTCTACACAAGCTTCGGCCTAGCTCTTGAAGGTACAATGAATTTACTATTGCTGACGTAGATCATGCTGATGGAACAACGCCTCGGTTCCAGAAATGCGCAGTTTCGTATAAGAGCGCAGCCTGACGAACATGTGGGCAAGGTGACTCCGCGATAATGTCGACCATGATTGTACACCTCGTGTTCGTTTCGCTGTGCCTTATTGGCACTGTGTCAACGGTGACTGCAGGTCCCCCTGTTGTCAAGCTGGATGAAGCTACCGTCAGAGGTTTCACGGAAGGGACGTCAACCTCGTTCCTCGGTATTCCATTCGCTCAGCCCCCGTATGTCTGTCGTTTAGACATCTACCTCTCATGAATGTTACTCACTATCACTACGTTATAGTGTCGGGAAGCTTCGCTTGCAGCTCCCCCAACCCATCGCGAAGTACACAGGAGTGATCAATGCGACGACATTCGGGAACCAGTGCATACAGCAGACGATCATCCCACCTACTATTCCTCCCAATCTCCCTCCCGCGATCACACCATTCGTTGATGCCATGGCGACCCCTCTCAGCGTGCCCCAGAGCGAGGACTGTACGTACAGATACTTGCGCTAGTCCATATGTTCCTGATAGTGCTCGCAGGTCTGAACATCAACGTCATTGTTCCTGCCGGGACTCAGCCTGACGCAAAGCTCCCAGTCGCCGCAGTGAGTGGGGGCGGCCGCATATAGTCGCCGATTGTACTCACAGATGCCATGCTGTGATTAGTGGATATATGGCGGAGGGTACCAGATCGGCTCCAACGCGGTGTGCGTGCCTTTCCGTACCACCAGTAGCCCTCTTCTGATGCATCAGTGCCCAGGCGGCCTGGTGCGGTTATAGTGAACAGATCAATCGAACTTGGCCAGCCGGTGATCTTTGTGTCCATGAATTATCGGTACGTCCGCCCGCGGTTCCGGTTATGCCATGTCTAAGCTCGATTTCACCCTCATAGCCTCAGCGGTGAGCATGTCTTGCGATTGCGGACGAACTCACTGGCACTCACATGTTCTCAGCTTTCGGGTTCTTGGGAGGAAGTGAGATACAAAAGGCAGGATTGGGTAACCTCGGCCTCCAAGATCGTGAGCAGCCCGAATACTATCGAGACAGTCTGCTCCCAATTTCGATGACATTTTGTACAGAACGGGAATCTCTCCGATGGGTGCAAAAGCACATATCCGCATTTGGAGGGGACCCGACAAAAGTCACCATGTGAGTCTCACAACGTGCTGAGACCCTCGTCTACTCACCTCTACTCGAACAGCTGGGGAGAGAGCGCAGGAAGCCAGGCGGTGACATTCCAGATGATAACCAACGGTGGCAACACCGAAGGGCTCTTCCGCGCAGGATGGATGGAATCAGGCTCCGCACTCCCCACCGGCGACTTCTCAAAGCTACAGCCAACGTTTGACCTCATCGTTTCGGAGACTGGATGCTCGTCTGCTTCAGATGTCCTAGGGTGCCTCCGTGAGGTTTCCGCGGAAGCTATGTCAGCCGCGATGGATAAGACGCCGGCGTTCTTGTCATTTCAAGTTCGTGAGAGGATACCGGCCATGTAACCGACGGGGGCTGATTTGTTGAAATAGTCGCTCAATACGCCGTGGATGCCCCATGCAGATGGCGTGTTCTTGACAGACGGTCCGCAAAAGCTTGTCCTGGATGGGAGCGTGGCCGACATCCCCTTCGTGGTCGGTCAGTATCGTCCGTACGATGTTTGCTTTCCGAACTTCACGGCGTGTTGGCGCAGGTTCTTGCGAAGATGAAGGAACGCTGTTTTCCCTTGCCTTGCTCAACATCACGTAGGTCTCATAGGTCTTAGGAAAAAGTTCCGATTCTATTGGGAGCTGACACCGTAGACAGGACCGACGAAGCAGCCGCAGCGTACCTCAAGAGCAACTACTTCCCGAACGCCTCGGATGCCACTATTTCACGGCTCCTTGAGCTTTACCCTGCGAGTCCTGCCGCGGGCTCGCCCTTTGGGACCGGGGATGCGTTCGCATTCACACCTGAGTTCAAGCGCCTCGCGGCGTTCCAAGGCGACTTCATCTTCCAGGCTACCCGGCGCTTCCTCCTGAATCAGCGAGCAGGAAAGCAGGTCGTGAGATCCTTTTGTAAGTCGCCAACTCCTTCCGCGCGCTGCTGTCAAAGCTCGGCGTACTGATTGCGAGGATTAGTCAACGAACGTGACAAGATCACTGGACTCGGAGCGGTGAGTGCACTCATTGCCTTAGACGTCCTCCACACCAAGCGCTCTACTCGGTTCTCCAAAACTGTCATTACGTACGTACTAATAATTGCAACTCCGAACTCGCAGACACATACGACGGAGCTGCCGAATGTCTTTGGTGGAGGCGATATGACTGACTTCCTCGTCCGCTTCGTCAATACGCTCGATCCCAACGGTAACCCAGAGATCGACTGGCCTGAATACACTACGGAATCGCCCCAGCTTCTTGCTTTTGTGGAGGGAGGGAGGAACCTGACAATTGTTCCTGACACATTCCGCAAGGAAGGGATGGACTTTGTGATGCAGTTGAGTCTTGTGGAGCCCCTTTGACTTGTGCATATATTCGCATAGCAACATTCAGCATCTATTCGGTTATAGACATTCCTCCTCTCGGCATCATTCGTAGACTCGGGCGTTGAGCGCTGTGCTGTCAAGTACATGTACACCCTTTGTGCTCGCGCGTCGACAAATCTGGTAGGTCTAGTGTCTACCATCCATTGATAGTATCTCCCCTCTCGGTTCGGTGTATCTAGGAGCAGGTGAGTATGCTTCTTGTGAACGTTATCGTCAAATGACTCACGGCCGTGATGTCAGAGTGCTCTGATATGGACATGCACCATCTGCAGTACAGCTGGGGTTCGAACATGCATATCGTGCTCTAAGACGCCGCTATAAGGAAGCAGATGCATGAATACCCCCTATATCTCCTCCAGGACCCCCTCGCATTCTCCACGCACGGTAGTCCCCTGCATCTCAGCTCACTTGCCTTCTACACTCTGACTCATGTCTACGACAACGGAGACCACTGTCATCGCCGCCAAGGTAGCACTGCCTTGGGTTTCCCTTGAGGAGTCCGAGAAGTTCTACAACCTTAATGAGCAAGAGATTGCGTTCTTCAAGTCTGCGACGGGCATCCACGATGAAGCTGCCCTCAAGGAACACATGATCGCTATACAGCGGGAGGCATACGCTGTGAGCCAGCAGTTCTTGCATCGTGTTGACATTCTGATGACTGATTTTGTGTTTTTCGCGGGTAGATTCACGCATTCCCTTGCATACGGATGTTCTCTTTTACTAAGTAAGCCGACGGTCACCGGACACGCCCTGGCCTATCTGCTGATACGAATCGGGCAGACTGAAGCTCGCACGTCTTCCTGGCTATGAAAAACTACTGGAACTTGGAAAGTCGCGCAAGAATCCCATCTTCCTTGACATCGGTTGCTGCTGTAAGTTGTATGCCTTTCTGTGTGACGCAACAGCTCCTCATTACTATGGCAGTTGGGAATGACGTGAGGAAGCTGGTCGCTGACGGCTACCCCATGGAGAGCTGTATGGCTACCGACCTCCACCCCGAGTTTCTCAAACTCGGCCACAAGCTTTTCAACACTACCCCAGAGACATACCGTGTACCCTTCCTCGCAGGCGACTCCCTCAACCCGGAGTTCCTGGCCGTCACACACCCCTTCTACACGAAACCCTACACTACCGTCCCCAAGCTCTCGTCGCTCACGTCGCTAAACCCCCTCCATGGCCACGTCTCCGCCATCTCGGTCTGTTCGGTCTTCCACGTCTTCGACGAGGCTGGTCAGCTACAGCTCGCTCGGGCGATCGCTGGCCTACTCTCCCCCGAAACAGGCTCGATGCTCATCGGTGTCCACTCCGGCCGGCCCGAGAAGGGTACATTCATTACTCGCGCGGGAGGCAAGGATGTCTCGACCTTCTATCACTCTCCTGAAAGCTGGACGGCCCTGTGGGATGGAGAACTCTTCGTCAAGGGCACCGTGAAGGTTGAGACCAAGTTGATTGAAACGGGGGGTTGGGACTTCCAAGAGAACACCGATCGGTATTGGTTCCTGTACTGGTGTGTGACGAGGGTGTAGTAAGTTGGTGGCATTGCTATGGTAAACGGCCCCTTCGTCCATAGAGATCATCTAGACAGGCGGTTCAGACGGAATATCGGGTATACGGTTTGCGTCCAAATACAAGTAATTCATGATCCAGTGAAGCAGGACCCGCGTACAGCATGTAATGGGGAAAACTGGGTGGCCGTG